AGATGAGCCACCGAGGAAGGAGCCAGGTGTTGATGGAGGGGTTCCAGCTGCGTGCTGGAAAATCGAGCCCCGGTTGTGCTAGTCAATCAGTGCGGTGCTTTTTGCTCAGCAAGGCTTCGATGTTACCGAAGCCTGCCGACATCTCCCTGCGAATCTCCGCATTGTGGTCGTGCACAGTTTTGTTGAGGTTGCCGAGCTCAAGTTGCTGGGTCTGGACCTGAGTGGCCAGGGCATTGATCTGGCGGTTGGTGACCTGGTTGGCCTCCGCGGCGTCACCAAACCATTGCTCGAATTTGACGTTCTGTTGTCGTAGCTCGGCTACGGATGACTCCAGGAACTGGAAGCGGGTGTCGAGTTTGTCGCGATCGTCGCCCTCCATGGTCTGGTCGGTGTCCCATCCAGAGGGTTGCTGCCATTGGTCAATTTGCTTCTGGAGCGAGGCAGTGACGGTGGCTTTGATGCGTTCTTCGGCTTGTTGAAGACGATCTGCAGCTGGCTTTGTTCCTGCGCTTTTGCCTTCAGCCGGATGTTGATGAAACCACTGTGACCATGGGTCACTTCCGGCTTGCCAGGGGTCTTGCGAGGCACGGGCGGCTGGCTCGGGGTTGTTGTTCAGGTATTTCTGCGTCCTGTCGAAGGCGACCAGTGAGGGACCGTTGAGATCGGGCTTGAGCGTTCGGAGCTTGGTAACAAGAACATCACCATGAGCTCCTTGAAGGATGTCGCTGGGCGGGGGAGTGTCGGCGCCGACCTCCCATCCGATACCGTGTTGATCACCTTTGCATGGCTGAAGTGGCTTGGCCTTCCATTTCCAAGCCGCGAGGGATTTGACGAGTCCTTGCCGCTGAGTTCCATGAGGAAGGGGAAAGATCTTGTAGATGTCAACGACCTTGACCTGGAGGTACGGCTCGTCGGGCTTGAGCTCCTTGTGTGCTTGTGGTAGGTGGTCTGAGGCGAATCGGAGCCCATATCGGTCGTTGAGACGCACGATGGAGACCGAGCTTTCTGTGGTCCTGTGCTTGTAGGAAATGGTCTGAAGAGTAGCTCCAGCAAGCCAGACAAGCGTCCAGTAAAGTCCCTGGGGTCGACATAGAGACCATCCGTGCCGGAAAGGTTGAGCAGGTTGTGGAAGGCAACCTGAGGGATTCGTACAAGAGCGGTCCAGCTGGTGGCTTTTTCTTTGGGGACACGAGCTCCTTGTGCGTTGACCCACTGCCTTCCCCAGATGTCAAGGATGACACTGGTGACTTGTTCTTCATCAACTGGGGGATGGAATTTTCGGCAGGTGTCACCGCAGCCTTCAGAGCGGCAGAGCGTCATGATGGGGTAGTGCTGCATGACCTGACGCATAGGTCCCTCAACGAAGGTAGTCCATGGGTTGGCCCATTGGTCCTGGTAGATGGCAAGCTTGATCGTACAAGTGGCGATGGGTGCAACATCTGGGAGTGTGTTGCGTACTGGCCGTGCAACTATGACCTGGCCAAGCTGAATGATGCTGCCGTGAATGAGGATGGGTTCCTGCGTGGCAATGTGCTTTGCAGGGAAGAGGATGTTCTCGGTTGGAAGTTGTCCACAAAGCGTTGGTGGGATGCAGGTGGTGGTGAGTATCGCCAGGGGGCCAGTGCTGAGCTGGATTCCTTCCTTGAGGTATGGAGCTGCTTCGCTGATGGTAGCAAAGGCGATGCCAGTGCGAGCTTTGCTGAGGTTGTGGATGGAGAGAGCTTCAATGGGGATGCCGTCTTCCCCAGTGAATGTGCCTGGTATGAGCTGAAGCTCGCTGGGCGTGATGTTGCACTCAGTTTTGCCTTGAGAGGCACGTTCTGGTTTATTCTTGTCCTTCTTTTTGACGGAGGTGCTGATGCCGAACTGGCTAGCAGCCTTGAGCTGGACTTTCTTGAGGAGTTCGTCGTGCCTGATCCACTGAAAGGGGCTCGATGGCCTGGATCCTAGCGCCTTGAGGGCGCTCCATGTTTGCTTGGAGGCCAAGGCCTCAGCAATACTGCTTAGGCCGAGCTTCTTGATGGCATGGGTGGCTCTCTCCTCGATGCGATCAAGTGGTACGCCCTTGTCTGTGAGGATGGCGGTGAGCTGCTTGAGCACTTCCTCTTCATTGCATGGGCCGTTGGCTGCATGAATGTACTCGTTGGTGGGGTTGCCAGCTTGAAGGTGACGATGCCAAGTAGCAATGTCGGGCTGGTTGGACTCAGGCCAGAGGTCGAGAACGGCCGCGAGATGAGCAAGTGCTATGGTGCCGCACGTGTAGTTGTCTTGTTGGTGGTAGTAGGTGAGGCTTTGGATGCACTTGCACGGGATGTTCCATTGACTAGCAAGGGTCGTAGCGATGTAGTGGCCACCTTCGTGAGCCCGATGATCGAGCCCGTCAAAGATGGTTGCCTTGAAGCAGTGTTCGACAGGTTCGGCAACAAGAAGTGCCCAATGACCGTCAAAGGCGAAGATGATGGTGGTGAGAATGGAAGGGTCGAGATTGGTGATGGTTGCAAGTGCATGTGGTTCGAGGACGAAGTGCTGTTCCTCATCTCGCTCGACTAAGAGAGGAGCCGGGCATTGATATGGCTGGCCTCCGAGTTCCCCGTGTATGTGAGCTAGTCGATGCAGCTCACTGCTGATCTGCTGGTCATTGAGCCCGTGTTCAGAGGGTCCACCGGCAACGATGAGGCCCTTGCAGTTGAGAACAGTGTTGTGCCATAGGCGAGCGTTAAGCCGAAGCGCATGGCCAAGCAAATCAACAGGTGGTGTCTCCCTGGGGTTGATGTGCCCTTTGAGGCATGCCTGGAAAAGGAAGGTGCCAGCCTGAGTTGAGATCGTGGTTGTGGTTCTCCCGATGTGGAATTGGATCTCGATGTCATGGTTGCTGACATTTGGGCTGGTGGTGCATGGGGAATGCAAGGTATAGGGACCAAGCAGACCTCTATCTTGAAGGACGGCATCAGCTGGCACCGGTCGGTTTCCATCCCAGAGCTGCAGTTGTTTGGGGAGTTCGGCAAGGCATTCTTCTGCTTGAAGCAGGTCTTGCACTGTCTGGTATCCTTCACGAAGGATGTGAAGGTTGTGTCCATGGTTGTCCTGAAGCCATACGTGTCGAGTGGCGTGGGAGTCGTCTGTGGCCCAAAGGTGGTGCTTCTGCCAGAGGAGCTCGTGCTTGGTGGACTGGATGAGGGTCTGGGGTTGGCACAAAGGTTCCCAGCCGTAGTAAGCTTGGACGGCCTTGACAAGATGTGCGCATACCCATTGTGCTTGAAGGGGTGCAGCGACCTGGCCGATGAGGACAAGCCCAGCTCTGGCGTCCCCAGGGAACTTGTAGTTCACTGGGATGGTACATAGCAGGGCCGCCTCAGACGTATGGAGGTATCGGGGCTTGCCGGTGACTTGGGAGATGATATAACATCCCCTGATGCCCCCACGCTGTAGTCGCTGTAGGTTGAAAGGAGCTTGTCGACAACCACAAGGGCATTGGCGCAACACACTGCCATAGGAATGGAGCAGCGTGGGGCATGTTCCAGATTGTTGTAGTAGGCGAGGTTCCTGGCCATAGTTGCTGTCCGTGTAGAACGTGAGCTCGACCTCGTCCAGTTGGAGTTGTTTCTCGGCCACGGTGTCCCAAAGCGGCCAGTCAGGAATGACGTGCTGGATGGTACTGAAGTGGATGTCTTTGCCCCAGGGCACGAAGTCGGTGAGGTCAAATTCCTTTGGAGCAAGGATTGCCCACCATCTAACCCGATTGCATGGCCACTGGTCCTGCAGCGACAGCACGATGGTTTTCAATTGAAATCCCATCAAAGTGGCAAGCTCGATGAGGTGCTCATTGATGAACCCATGGTTCTGGACTCCCGGGACGCACTCCAGAATCACCGCAGAGGCTTGCGTCAACCAGGCTGCTTGAAGTGTGGCCAGAAAGACCTTAGATCTGGGGTCGTGCTTGCCACGATTGTCACCTTGAGAGCTGTATGGTTGGCAGGGAAATCCTGCTCCAAGTACAGTTCGTCTGTGATCATTGGCTCCATGTAGGCGGGCGATGTCCTGAGGGTTGCACAAGTCGCCGTGTATGATTGGCGCCATTCTTGATGAGGGCCTCACAGGCCAATGCACAGTGGTCCAAGTAGGCGACTGGGCGGATGCCAGTCTTAGCGGCGCCTAGCCATGCCGGAGCACACCTCCTTGATGTGCTGGTAGTTCACAATGCTGATGGGGTTGTGGGCATACCAGGTGGATTGATCTTGGGGCAGCACGAGCGTGGAGCCATCTGAAGACTGGCAAGCCACGAAGCTGTAGACGGTGACGAGCTGCTCCCGCGAGAAGAAGTCGGGGATCCACACTTTCATGCCGATGGACACCTCCTCCGCGGAGATGTACGTGCCCATGCGCACTCCACCAATGCGGAGCACTCCGGTGAAGTCGCCCTCGCGAGAGGCGAGGTCGGCGATCCAGCAAGGCGCAATCATGGCGGGCCAGCTCCCGAGCGTCAGTTGATGGCTAGTCCACCACTGGCAGGTCTCGGGCCGAGACTTCCTCAGATCCGCTCAAAGTGTCACTTGTGGGTGCACTGGAAACTCAACTCCACTATTAATTAAGCCAACCAAAAACATATAACAACCCAACCCAAAGGGTCCAAGTACCTGCTAAGGACGTACTTAGACCCAGTTTGACCCCCAAAAGCCATCCTCAGAAGGTACTTGGACCCTTTGGGTAAGTTGAAGCGGAGGATTCGCTGGGAACTGCCATAAATGATTCTGCTCAAGCAACCCCGATTTCTAAAACCGGGCACCCAGTGAGCCCCAAGGCAAATCGGAGGGGGGAGGTCCTAAGTCGAACCGGAGGGGCTCGCTCACCGAGCTCCGATCCCCGGCTTCCATTTGCGTTTTCGCCCCCTGAAAAAAACAAAAACATATTTCCCATGTGATAGATTCCCTTTAAAACCAAGAGGGCAAAATCAACACATTCTCTTAAGCCACTGGAGGCCGATCCCCGGCTTCTCGAAGCGCCTCTCCATGACCAACTTCTGGGTGTGGAAGGCCTCGAGGCTCACGGAGTGGCCCACCGACACGTAGCTCCCCACCTGCCTCGCGCGGGGCGCCGCGCGCGCCGCGCGCACGCGCGAGGCTTCCCGACGGAAGCGAAGCACCGCGGGCCGCGAGAGGAGCTGCGTTTAACATGCGGCGGGGGGGCATGGCTTTGGCGTTCAGGGGCCGAAAGATTTGTGATCTCTTACTGGTGGGATTGGTTGGGGTCGTTGCCCAGAAATCGGCTCCGGGGAAGGGTTCTGGGTAGGCGTGGGGCAGTTCTGAGTTCCGGCGATGACTGCTGTTGGGGATAACAGGGGGTTCTGGATTAAAATGCAGCTTACCCATACCTGTTTGGTTCCGCTTGGGGGGAACAATTCGGAAATGTGGGCTATTATTTGGCATTAGGATGGGGTTGTAGGGACATATCAAACCCAGGTATCTCATGATCATGGACGTGTGTCACTGTTTAAGCCCTTATGCTACTTGAAGGGGCAAGGTATCTAAAGCAAGCGCGTAGCAACCATGGTTATATCCTGAAGGTCCAGTCTACACAATACGCAAGGGTTGGTGGAACCAAAGGAATTCCAAGTGTTACATCATACAGGTCGTCTAGACCATGCGCAAGGGGAAATGGAACCATTGGAGTTCCAAGGGGCAGAAAAGCCGTCCGCTGGAGTGGGGAATGGGAATGTTGGGGATGGAAATGGAAACTCCTATTTCGGAGACAACAATGGCAACCACAATTGGAGTAGTGCCAATGGTAATGGAAACTTCGGATTTGGAAATAACATGAACGTTGGAGATCTTAATCTCAGTTTACTAAAGGGTCTGGAAATAAAAGGTTCACCTTTTGGGGCCATGACTAAAAATGGACCAAACAGGGGAAATCAAAAGGTCAAAAGGTCGGCTATGGGCAAGTGAGTAATGGTAGTCATGCTGGATTGAATGGAAACAAATCCGATCCCCTGCCTCTTTAGGTTGAGGTACATCGCAGTCTGGTTGGTCACATCCAGCGCGGACGTGGCCTCATCCAAGATGGCGAATCTCCTTGGCACCAAGGTCGATGGATCAATCCAGCTGGTGGATACACAGGGGGTTGCCCTAAAAGTGAAAACATGACATCTCCCCAACTCCTCAAGGATGTTACGCATTGTGGGCTTCGAATAGGAGGCTTGGACTCTGGTAGAAGCCCTAAAACAATCCCAACATCTCCCCATACGGATCTGGGACACCAAATTAGATCTATCGCCTTCCATTAAAGTCACATCCGCAAAACTACCCGCGAGCCGCTCAAAGGTTTTTTTTTTGAACCCCTTGCAAACCGTCCATCAGCTTATTTCTGAACCCCTGGTTCTCACTTTTTGCACAATGAAAAAATCACTCAATGTAGACCCCCATTCTAATTTACTCCGGCCCCGGACACATTCCGTGTCTAAGTGTCTAACTCAGGCCCCCTAGGTGTCTAAAATGACTCAGGCCCCAGGTGTCTAACATGGACGGCCCCCTCCAAAAGTGGACGACTTCCACTCCGCCACTCCGCACCGCCACCGCCACCGCCCGAGTCCCCCGAGCCCCTCTGCGAGATCCCAGGCGCGGTCGCTGCAGCATGAGCCGTGCGAAGCCTAACCGCTGGCGCTCCCCGCCGCTCAGCACGGAGTCGAAGTCCACCGGGGCGTCCAGGCCTGTGCTCGGGCTCGGGGGGTGGGAATGGAACGGAAGGGGATTCAACATAGGGGCTGGTTTATGGGGGTCATTCCATTAAAGCATTAATCAAAACCAAAAGGGAACCCCATCTGGCTGGCGCTCACTAGGGTGTTAAAAATAAACCGGAAGGGGATTCCCGAATGAAGGAAACCATAGGGGGTGGTTTATAGGGGTCATTATATTTCTCATTCCCGGCTGAGTCATGGAAGCACGATATTCTAGTGATCTACATGGGTGTTTTAATTACCCCTGACAATCCAATGTATGCATATATCGCCTACATTGGCCGACGCCCGCGTTTTTCAACTACATTGACCGATAAACCTGAATGTAGCCAATTTTTGGGGACATTCAAACCGACAACTTCCGACAAGGGTTCCGACAAGCCTTCCGACATTAGCTCGCCTCAATTTCGGCGACTCTATAAGACGACGCCCTCCAACCAGCCTTTTCCAATGCCTTTCCGACCGCTAACTTAACTCACAATGCAGGAAAATACAAAGGCACGCCGCAAATTGATGTACGGACAAAACTTAAACTGCGAATGACTGCAACAACTACAGGGCACAAACAGGGCACATAATGATTCGAGCCAAAAAATGTTGGTTGCCTGGCATGCAACAGAAGGAATCAACTAGCATAGTGTAGCAGATCCTGCTGAGGACTTCCGATTGTAACGTTAACCATTTTGACGGGCTGGCTGGCTTGACAAAACAGTGTGGCGACGAAGCACGTGTGCGATAGTTCAAACTTTTCAGGCCACACCGTGAAGCACGTTTCCAGCACTGGGTCACACTAAGGCAACGCCGGTTAGCAAAGATCACTCAACAAACATGATTATTGCGCATGGAGGACAACAACTCCTTGCAAAACACCTCGCAGCAGGAGATCCTGCCAGCAGTCACGATGGGTGTTGATACCCCCCCCAACCAAAAAGGTAAAGCAGAATGATGCTACATCGTTGTTGTCCACAGTTACACAATTTCGTCAACTTGCCCGTGCGTAGCTTAAATGTGTTGCTTCCTGATTGCTTGCAAGCTGCAACCTCTGGCTTTGCGAGCTAAGTTTCTATTATGTTTGATGCGTGCCCACGCAGGGGCGATGGATCATCATGACAAGCTTGTTCGCGGGCCATAAGCCGTCGACCGAAGGTAAGGGGTCTAATTTCCAACAATCACATCTCCAACCAAATACTTGCTTAACGCCGTGCCGCAACCCCGTCCAGAGCGCAGCCCGTCTTAAAAAGCCCTTGTTGTTCAAAGCAGGTGTTTCATTTGTTTCCAGGAGGCTCACTTTGAAAGCATGCTAGCCTGCTAGCAGTTCCCAAGCACCATTCGAGCGGCAACTGCTTGCCACGCGAAACTTCACTGGTCAGATAGAAATTAAGGCTCTAATCCTGCCATGCCCCATGCCGCAATGCAAAAGTCACAGACTTAACAAAAAACAGCTTTGTCAAACGAGATGTGCTGGGAAGGGCTCAAGCGGCGGTCTTGAGGAGAACGGATATGACGCAGTCCAAGCCCCATATGTTTGTTTTGCAAGGACTTGGTTTATCGATGAAACCCAACAAAAAAGGGCACGAGTAACATGTTTGTCTAATGCTCTCCTTGATTAAACATGTCCTCGTCAGCTTCTCTCCGAATGTTTTGGGGCATGCGCGCTAGTATTCCATTTGTCCGACAAACGCTTCTCCGCTGATAAGTTCTAGGCTGGCTTGCCAGGTGACACAATCAATCAAGCCACATCACTTCCAACTTCCAACTCATGGTGCAAACAAAAATCGAGCCTCGTCCGACGTGTCAACACATGAACACAGTCCGGCGAAAATTCACGCTATTTCACGCTATTTCACGGTTTTCCGTTAACGTAAGCAAAAATAAGAAGACAATCCGACACCTTTTCACGCCAAATCACGCCAAATCACGGTTTGCCGTTTGCACAAGCAAAGGACAGGAACACAATCCGAGAAGAAGTCACGCAAAAACATCGAAATTTGGCGGGTCATTTGCTCCAAATCACTTGCTAATTTTGGGCATGCAGGTGTGAAGAACATGGTAGGGACATACTTTGGTCAGCCAGGGGGAATAAACGGACCTTTGCTGAACTGCTTTTGGGTAGCAACAATGGCACCTGTTGGGCCTTTAGTAGACCAAGCTTTGAATAGGCAAGACTGAGCTTATCGCATGGTTGATGCGATCCCAGAGCTGATGCGAGTAGACAATCCGGATGCCGAGTCTCCAGCATGCCAATGAAAACTGAAGATCACTGAAGACATGCATGCTAAGCTTGGTGGCTCCTTATCCGAGTTTACATAGCAATAAGTATTGCCAAGCTAATAGTTGACATACAGATTGCGCGTGCAGCATCATATATCCCATGCTCAATCGGCAAAACGCCAGGTCTGCCTAATCGCAATGCAGTCATTGACCTAAACCTACAAATAAGAACAATGCTTTATGTTCTGAGCTTAGATATTCATCATCTGCATGTGTACATAAAGTCTTGTACAAGTGCATATACATAAATTTGCACCTGCGTAACATGTGTGTGTCTATGTTTTGCTTAGCGGAAAACGCTTTTTGGTAAGATAAATTTGGAGTTTCTTTTTGGTATGCTTGGACATCTTGCTGCGTAGATTGAGCACACTTGAATGGCCAACAGTTACTGGGTGGCAGTTGGGAGTCGGCTCGGCAGGCCAATTTGGCTTGGCGCTCCTCATCTCAATCATTCGGCACAGCCAGAAACATGTCCATACTTGCACTCGCGTGTAGGCTGTACTGTTGTAAAATGAATCCCTGGCAGTTGATAGCTGGCTGTGCTTTCCAATGCGGCTCAAGGTCGGCAAGTCCGTGCCTTTGGCGCAGAGCATGTTGAATTTGTAAGCTTATCATTTCAAATACGTATAATCCAAGATCAAAGCACGTTTACTTGGGCAATAGAGCTCGAGGGTGGCTTTGCGTTGCACGGTTGAACAATCTGCGTACTCAATACTTAGAGCGGCTTTCTCACAAGAGTGCACCAACGCTGCACGTACACACAGTCCCATAAGAACGGCCCAAGTGCACGAACAGAATGTTTCCTGCAATTGTTGATTTGTTTGTTTGGCGTAGCCTGCTCATGCGGAAAAAGCACTTGCAAGAGTCTGATGGCGAGCTCTCAACCATCGCTAGCTACAAATGTCATCAAATGTCCATGTCAGTAACGCGGTGTTTACATTTGCTGACGCAAGTGAAAATTAATGTTAGCAAGCATGATCATTGGACCCATGCAAAACAAATATGCTCAATAAACTCCGCCACATTCGGGTTGAAATTTGACTATCGGACACGAGCTTCGTCAAATCTCATCATTTGCCAGGCCACATTTCGACATTCGAAGGGGATTCGGCGAATGTATCATTTTTTTGGCTATATTTCGACAATCCGACAGGGATCCGACGAATGTTGTCGTTTTTTTGCTACATTGCCAATGTACCCCAAAAATGGCTACATTGCAATGTACGCCATATTTGCCTACATGGATTCTCAGGGTACTGACCTGGTAACCTAGGCGATAACCCATCGAAAAGTCTATGAACAACCAACTAGAGAAATCGAACAAGTCGAACTGCATGGCCTCATCTTGCTGGTGCTCAGCAGGGATTGACCAAGTTGGGAATGAACCGAGGGCTCCCCTAAGAAACAACAAAGGGATGGTTTATAGGGGTTACTCCGTGATTCCCTGCTGAGCACCAGCTGGTCATGTTGGGAGTTATATTTGGACACAAAGCCATATTAGCCTCCTGGGTCCCAGTACCCGAGGCTTTGGTTTTATTGGGGAAAGCAAGTGAGTCAAAATCAAAATCGGTCGGTATAAACATGCTCTACAGGACCATGTGAAGAATGATGAAGGCGGATATCCGGGCTGTTTTTTGGGATTGATTGAACCCTTAATAACCTTCACCTACCCGGGTTTTGAAGGCGTGGCCCAGTTGGGATTTTTAGGGGGTGGCTATGTTTTAATTTGAGGGCTCCTTTTTTCAGGTTGGATGGGTAAAAGGGCGAGGGCTTGGTCAAGATAGCGAAACCTTTGAAGGACGGGTATGGCAAGGGGGTCGTCAAAGATTGAAATCGCGAAACAACTCATGGCAAAACAGAGCTTCTACAGGTTGGCGTCCTCCGGTACAAAATCGGTTTGAGAAGCACCCGTTAAACGCCGAAATGCTTGGGGAATCCCACAAATGTCCCTACGACTGTTTTAAGGGATCTATTTGCAGGAAACCCGGTGGTTCCATTTGGGGGGTTCTCAAACAAGGAATCGGTCCCTAAAACGTGTCTGTGTGTGTGCTTTCTTACGGTCTCCCTTTTGTAATGCCAGCCAAAAGCAGGCTCACCATTCTGAGAAACTCCTACATGGTGTCTTGTTGTGATACCTCTTGGGGTGGTAAGGAAAGGGAAAAGAGAACCACCACCAATAAACGAGGGTCCACTAAGGCAACCACACAAACACGGCAAATCACGGAAAATCACGGAGAATTTGTATCCTGGTTTCCTGACTTGTCATCTCTACCGCCTCTGGGGCAAGCGACCCCCAAATGCCAGTAGGTTTGGCTCCACAGAAAGGGACCCCCAAAGTCGAGGTGTACATCACAACTCACTGAGTGGATGGCCCAAAAACAAAGTCCAAACTTTGTATTTACCACTAAAACGGTCTTCCCAAAAAGTTTAAAGTTCGTGAACTCAGGAAGTCAGACAAAGGAGAAATACATGGTACTGCCCCGTGCAGAACCAGCCAGATTCCCTTTAGATCTTCACGTGCGGTTCCCTCCAGTCGCTATTGGGAAAACGTGGAGCTCCGCGCAAGACATGTCCGCTTTTCCCCCGCCCCCCAACAACAAAAGCATCGTGATCCACTGGGAGTTGTTAGGAAGAGGCTGGCGGCGAACCTGCCAAAGGTGGGTGCGTCTTCTTTTCAGAGACCCCCCAAAATGGCTTCGTTTCTTTTTTCCCTTTAAAACCACCAAAAAGGGGGGGTACCCTCAAAAAAAGAAACCACACCCAAATGTCGACTGAGGCTCCAGCCAAAGCGTTTCACCAAGTAAGAGAGGTTCGCCATTTCCAGCGCCTCCTGCACATCCATGTCGCTGGGATTCTTCGCCTCGGATCGTTGAACACAAGCTGTCCTGATGCCAACTCAATGTTGCAACTAAACCAAGCACAAACCGTACCCAGCGATTCCGTTTACCTATATAGTAAGTAACCACGGGAACCACCCTTCAAAAACCAACAGGAAAATAGGGGGTTTCCTATGGGTCGAGATTTAATTTGGGTTTTTTTTGTTTTATTTTGGGATTTTTTTTTGTTTTCCGTCCTGGCTACTAAAATGCTGTAATTTACAGCATGTTCTCGCGAAATGTACGTATTTTACGCTAGTCCGTCAACATCATCAGCATCGTTTTCAACATCCCCCGCATGTCCAGCCAACATCCCCAGCATCACCAGCAAATTGGCTTCCCGCATCCCACGGTAAAAGTGAGGATTCAAATACGGGCAAAGAGGATTCAAATACGGGCAAACTAATCCCTGTTAAACACCTAAAACGTAGTTAGGGCCAAAAAAATATTAAAAAAGCAGCGGGGGGGTCATCAGTTCCTCTGCGGCAAGGCCTCATGGTACAAGTGAGGATTCAAATACGGGCAAACCAATCCCTGTAAAACACCTAAAACGTAGCGCGCGGGGGGGGGGGGGGGGCGGCAATTCCCTCCATGATGATTGAAAAAAGTGATGATTCAATTAACGGCGCGGGGGGGGGGGGGTTGGGGGGGGGCGGCGGCAGCCCCCCCCATGATGATGAGAAGAAGTGATATTCAAAAAGGGCAACAAATATAAAATAAAAGCAGCCGGGGGTCATCAGTTCTCTGCGCAAGGCCTCATGGTACAAGTGAGGATTCAAACGGGCAAACCAATCCTGTAAAACACCTAAACGTAGCGGGGGGGGGGGGGGGCGGCAATTCCCTCCATGATGATTGAAAAAAGTGATGATTCAATTAACGGCGCGGGGGGGTTGGGGGGGGGCGGAGCCCCCCCATGATGATCGAAAAAGTGATGATTCAATCAGGGGCAAAAAGTCTAAAAAATTGCGGGGGGGTTGGGGGCGGCGGCAGCCCCCCCCATGATGATCGAAAAATTAAGGGCAAAGAATCTAAAAAGGATCGGTCGCATGATGATCGAAAAAGTGATGATTCAATTCGGGGCAAAAAGTCCAACAAATAGCGGGGGGGTTGGGGGGGGCGGCAGCCCCCCCCATGATGATTGAAGAAGTGATGATTCAAAAAGGGACAATAAATATTAAAAAAGCAGCCGGGGGTCATCAGTTCCTCTGCGGCAAGGCCTCATGGTGCAAGTGAGGATTCAAACACGGGCAAACTAATCCCTGTAAAACACCTAAAACGTAGCGGGGGGGGGGGGGGCGGCAATTCCCTCCATGATGATTGAAAAAGTGATGATTCAATTAAAGGCGCGGGGGGGGGGGGGGTTGGGGGGGGCGGCAGCCCCCCCATGATGATCGAAAAAGTGATGATTCAATCAGGCGCAAAAAGTCTAAAAAATTGCGGGGGGGTTGGGGGGGGGCGGCAGCCCCCCCCATGATGATCGAAAAATTAGGGGCAAAGAATCTAAAAAGTAGCGGTCGCATGATGATCGAAAAAAGTGATGATTCAATTAGGGGCAAAAAGTCCAAAAAATCGCAGGGGGGTTGGGGGGGGGCGGCTGCCGCCCCCCCCATGATGATTGAAAAAGTGATGATTCAATTAGGGCCAAAAAAATATATATATATATATATATAAAATACATCGCTTCGAACCATCCCCACCCTCCACACCAGCAACTTGATCGGCCAAAAAATGGGTCCACCTTTTCCCCTGCCAACCTTGGAAGCGCAGACCTTTTGGATCACAAGGTGGAAGTTGCTCAGGCTGCGTTTGGCTGGGGTTTGGGCGGGCTGCCGGCGGGCAACCACTAAGCTCCGTCCTACCTTCGGCGGGATACTGGGCAGGATCCACTGGTGGAATCCTCTGGCGGGAAACTGGGCGGGATCCACTGGCGGACCACTCTGGCGGGATACTGCGACGGGCGGACTTGTCTGGCGGGATACTGGGCGGGATCCACTGGCGGACTCTTCTGGCGGGATACTGGGCGGGATCCACTGGTGGAAAATTCTGGCGGGATACTCTGGCGGGATACTGGGCGGGATCCACTGGCGGACCCCTCTGGCGGGAGGCAGTATCCTCTCTGGCAGGAGGGTGTGGTGTAGCAGCATCGCAAACGTGGATTCTACTTCAAATCTAACAACCCCTTCCTGCCGGGTGGGGAAAAAAAAACAACAGCAGGGGGGTCATCAGTTCCTCTGCGGCAAGGCCTCATGGTACAAGTGAGGATTCAAATACGGGCAAACTAATCCCTGTAAAACGGAAGACCCCCCCCCATGATGATCGAAAAATAGGGGCGAAGAATCTAAAAAAGTAGCTGTCGCATGATGATCGAAAAAGTGATGATTCAATTAGGCGTGCATTTTAATCGAAAGGGGGGTGGCGGGGGGCCCAGAGAGGAACTTGCGATGCTGAGGATGCAGGAAGCCAAGGCCAAAAACCAACTGGGAAAGCATCAAGATGCGAAAAGCCAAAGCCAGAAAGCCGCCAAAAGCCAAAAAGCCAAAAAGCCAAAAAGCCAAAAAGCCAAAAAGCCAAAAAGCCACCTGCCGCAGCGGAACTGGCAATGCAGAGGATGCGAAAAGAGAGGAACTGTGAATGCAGATGATGCGAAATGAGAGGAACTGTGAATGCAGATGATGCGAAATGAAAAGCCACAAAAGCCACAAAAACCCATAATTCCTAAAAAAAAACGAAAATAATTCCTAAAAAAAATGGCCCTCGGTTTCCTATTAGAGTGGTAACTGAGATCCACTGGAACAAATGATTTACGGGGCTGTCAAATTGTTCCCTTACAATATTCAGTTCGCATCCGTATCTGTCAGGTCCGAGCATTGAAGCTAGACCCATTTGTCAAAACATATTTTTGATATGTTGGGGTACTTGACTGCAACCATGCTCTTATCTGCATGAAACTAGAGGCCGCATCGCTTCCATGATTCACATCCTTACCTGAAGGAATCGAGCCATCTACTTGTGGTGGGGTAGCTTCCTTGGCTCACGAACCAGTTACGATGTGGGTGTCAAATCCCGGTCCCCGAATATGACGGGTTTCTTGTACTTGCAACCCTTGGTATGGTAGCAACAAACTTTGTTTTTGCAGCCCCCTACCAAACATGAACAGAACCAAAATAGCAAAAGCACCTAAAACAGCTTGATCCAACAACGGTAAAGCGTCCTCGTGGTTTCCGTTTCGCTGCCAACGAAAAGGGCCCCCAGGTGAAACCGAAGACAGCTCACCAGCCCAAGACCCAAGAATTGGATCCCCAAAGCACCTTCGGCATGGCGTGCTCGTTTTACCCCCGAATCCGTGAGCTCGAGGGACATTTCTGCGCCCATTTTGAACTCACCCTCAGGCCACAAGGGTCCGCGGAAAAAAATCCCAAGGGACCCCCCAAGAAAAAACACTTTCTCTCTGCCTTCCAGCCGGGGTCTCCGGGTTGAAGGCAAACAAAAGAGTGTCTTCATTTAAACCCCTTCTGGTTGGATTTGAAGGGAAACCTAAAGGAGACCGCACATTGTTGGGAGGTCCCCCATTTTAAGACCCACACGGGTCCCAGGTGAGTCTCAGCGGTCGCAGGATACGTGGTATTCTCCCGCAGGGAGCCCAGGCAGAGATACGTCTCTTGCGGCAGAAAGGCGATCTCCTTCAGGGGTGCTCCGAAGGCCTGAAGACCAACAAATGAGAAAACAAGAAGAGGGGCAAATGCAAAACCTGAGGTTTCTACCCTTGTGATTGGGTCCTGAGATTGAGGCAAGCTAAAAAACGCTCCAGCCTATGTTCAAGCCTTTCGGTTTGATCATCGTTTAGAGGCCGTTTGCGCAGCCCTGTCCCTGGTGGCGCGCCGCCGTATGGTGCCGCTACCTGCAGGGCCAACGAATAAAAGTGACTGACAGGCGACTCTGCGACCAGCTCCACTCATATTGACTTCAGATCAACTCATCTGGAGCACCACATTGCATTTGCCCAGTGACAGCAAAAGAATCAAACCCCTGGTTGGGGGTGATTCCATCTTTCTGGAGAAGCCTTGCAACAAAATTGGGATTTGGAGGGTGCCACTGAACAACTAAGTATCAAAGGATCCCCAGAGAACAAATCGTTTTCGCACCAACAGAGGTTTTTGCTAAGCCAGATAGGTACCGTCCGGATTAATCCCAAGCCGCTTGCCCAGGCACACCTGAACGCCCACAGCAGCGCTGGAAGGAAAACCACGTGATCTTATACCGCAACAACATTGGCAGAGCCCCACATGCTTAAAGCGCAGTTCCACTTGATCTGAGGCCCTCAAAACAAACCCTGCATTGTGCAACCTGCAATGGCATTCCATATCACTTCTTGGTCTGGTATGTGGCATGCTCCTTTCAGCCGATTGTGGACTGTTCAAAGAGAACTGACGCTTGTTGGGTTCCATAATGTTCCATACCAAGTGCTCCTTGGTTTTCATGGGATGGCAAATGATGCCTTTTTGACTTTGGGCCAATTTCGATGGAAGGGTTCTAACTCGACTTGGCTTGACCTGACAATATGGGATCTTCAAAACAACTACATGGGCAAATTACTATATGGGCAAAGTACTATAAACGGCCATAAAACCCCAAACCCTGACCTGAACAGGAATCCGCTAAGGGGATTGTGGGTAAGCTGGTTGTAACCCCCGCCCGGAGCTCGGAAGAGTCCAGAGCTATGCTTACTCAGGCACCCCTGACAAGAGAATTCAAAAACGCACACCGAGCCTTCGATCTGCCCTTGTGAACCCAGAAACACCGGGAAGCCGAGCGAAGCCCATCTATTTCTACCTGCTGCTTCCGTCTTACCGTCTTCCCCTGTCCCTTGCATTCCTTGCAGAACAAATCGTTGGACCGGACTGGTGACCTCCTCATGGCCTCGGTGGACCCTTTGGACCTCAGAATTCGGAGAGAAACCTGTCCACCACTTTTGAGGTGGTCCCAAGTCTTCCAAATCATGGCCATTTTTGAGTCTACCCTGGTAGATTTGAAGTAGATCTGATTTGCAAGCAAATCTTGGCTTCGGGACGGCAAACACGAAGGGTGCTCGGGGCTGATATGTCCAGCCTCAAAGCATCACGCCAAAAGGAAACGCACCAAATGAAACAGCCAAATGTGAAAACACCCCAAAATGAAACTCGCCAAAGAAATGCAAACGCTGACGACAGAGTCCCAAACGCTGCTAGGACCTTTGGATTGGACCTTTTAGACTGGCCTCGATGCCAGAGCCCGGCGATGCCGCGCAGCAGCGAGCTTTTGCCAATGCCACTGGGTCCGCAAAGGAGCAAGGACTCACCTCACGCTCGTGAGTTATGGAGGGGTGGTCCAAGGAAGGAAGGGAAGGGTCCCTAAAACTCCCTAAGGAAGCCCGAAATGGGCTGAGGCGAGACTTAAGTGAGTCTCTAAGGAGGGGGTGGTCCAAGAAGCGTTCCCCAAATGGCCATGGGTCAAAAGCCCGTACCCCCAGTGAACATCCCAATCCCCACTAAAATAGACTAAAATGGGTGGTGCACCTACCCCAAAATGGTACCATTGGTTTTGACCCACAGCCAAATAACCCTGAGGGTCCCTAAGGAAGCCCGAGAGAGGCTCTCAACTACCCACCCTCCCTGTGCCTACCTTCCAGGATGAGGTGAGGTCAAGGAAAAAGGGCGAACTGCGCCCGCATGGCCCGCCAGTTTCCTTTGGTTCGCAATGCCTCCGATGGCCAGGGGCTTAAGGCGGCTTGGAACCCCCAGTGCATTGAAGGGACACCGCTTTCCAATGGTACCTGCACACTAACTTGGATTCCAGCAAAACATACCACAGCCGCATGTGTGGCCAAGACTCCACATGTTTCCTATGGTCATGGTTCCCTCAATCATTAGGAATCCTCTCTTGCTGAGTGGATGGCCCACAAAAAGTCCAAACTTTATATTTGCCACTAAAATGGTCTTCCCAAAAAGTTTAAAGTTCATGAACTGACAAAGTGAGAATCATTATAATGGTTAAGGATCCTTACTGCCAGGATGACCATCCCTGTTAAGCCCAAGTAAAGCGGCCTGTCCGCAGCTCCAGGGAAAGGTCCTAGCGGATTCGGTGAACCGAATTCGGGGCGAAGAGACCTAGAAAAACAAGAGCTGCAAGTTCCCCATCCATTTACCTGTATTGGATCCATTTACCGGGTTTTGCTATGTAAACAAGAGCTTACAACTTGAGATAAAAACCAAGGACAACGAGACGACGGGTTACTCCACCTTTCGAGGCATGCCCTTGATGGCCAGGCATCGCCCTTCAACTGGAGGAGCACCGCTAAAATAGATCATAATTCCTTGGTTCTTGGTCCTCGTTTTTTGTTGGCGTGTGGAAACCTGGGGAACCCTGAACAACTTTCCTGTGTTGCAGGTCAAACCAACTGGACGACCATGCGTTGGGGGAGAGGGGTATTCCTGCTTTCGTTGACAACCTGAACCCTAAAAAAAAACTCATATAAAATTTCAAAACACAAACCTGGGGGTTCCATATATACATATTATAATATATAGTTGTGTATTGATTCGTACATATATACATATAATCTCCATATCCTATGTCAAGATGCGCCGTAGCTCCGTGTGTCTGCATTCCATCGTCCTGCAGCAACGGCAAGTGCCCTCTGGGCGGGAAGAGCGTGAGGCGCTCCAGTTCCAGGCAAGGCTCCTGCGGGAGGAAAAGCGGTTGCTGCCCTCAATCCATGGGAATCCAACGGGGTCCCAACGGGGTCCTCCCAAAAATTGTTGCTCCAAAACACTGTCTTGTGGGGGTTGCAGGGTGGAATCTGCGGGGAGTAGAGGCGTCGTTTGGGTGTGACATCCTCAAATGACCAGCAACATGGTGGGTTCCAGGGAAACCAGCCCAAAGTAATTCTGAGAACCCCGCGCATGCCTTGCCACTTTAAGGGAACCCACAAATACCACTGGCGGAAGATTTTCGTGCAGCTGTGTATTTCTGTGCTTGCATCCTTCTTTTCACAAACCACCCCATTTCCCCGAGCTTTGAGCCGTTTGCTTGCGAGGGATCCAATCCCTGAACACGACAAAACCAGTACGGCTGGGCAGGGCGAATACAGGATGGGTACAGACATGAATAACTGAATGACAACATATTGGCCAGCGTCCTCTGCAGAAAGAATCTCGGTCTGAATGCCCACGTCATCCATGTCCGGCTCTTCCTTGCATGCAGAGAGCCCAAGTTCCCGCAGCCAAGTACTGGAAAAATGCCCCCGCAATATACGACTAAATTTTAAAGGATACAGGGCAACCCCCACAGGCTAACACGGAATTTACCGGGGGTCCCCTTAAGAGGAACATGGTCTTCCACCACCCCTGGGTTCCGTGTTTGTGGGAGCAGGTTGGAAACCATGCTGCTCGCCAATTGTGAGTCCCCGCTCAGTGGATTATTTCTTAAGCACTGTGGCCAGGCACTTGCGTACCCAATCACCCCTTTGACTTATGTTGAGACCATGAATACTAAACCCTGGTTGACTAACAGGTGGAAGGAAGTCTCATTAGGGGTGATCATTTGTTATTTGGGGGAACGTCCCCAATTAATTTACCCGCAAGGCTTATTTGGGTGTGTCTTTTTTTTGGAATTGGACCCCCAATACGGTGGGTTTTCGATTGGCTTCCCTTTCAAACCAACCCAACATTTCAAAGAAGGGGTACTGCACATATTTTCTTCGGGGGTTAACCTATTCTTTACAACCCTTGGTATGGTGGCAACAAACTTTGCTGTTTGCAGCCACCCTACTAAACATGAACAGAGCCCAAAAAACAACCACCTAAAAACACATGCCAAACAGTGAAGTCTTCTTGGAGGTGCGGGACCATTAGAGTACCCCCAAAGCTATGCTGATGGCATGGCCATCGGATGTCCGGGCGCAAATTCCAAAAGCTGAACTAAGAGTTGGATTTGGAGGTACTAAAAGCTGAACTAAGAATTTTGATAAACCCTGAACTAAAAGCTGAACTAGAGGGCCCTTCTCATGGCCTTCGCCCGTTTTACTTCAGCCCATCGCTCGCAGTAAAAACGGCAAGCGTCCAGCGCATCCCAAAGCTGCTGGATGCGGATGGCTTGCGCCCCCATGTTGGTGATGGCACCTCAGGCGACTCGTGAGACGACTCCCGGAAGGCTGATAAAGACGTGGCCCGTCCTTTTTGAGGTACCAACTTCTTTGTGGGCGAAGGGAAACCAACATAAGTAAATTAAACATCAAACAAACAAAAAACACCATTTTGGTTGAAACTCCCGAATTACTAAAGACACACTCATATGGGGTTGTCTTGAAATAGGGCACCCTCTAACCAGGTGACTTCCATTTGGCTTCCCGTCACAAACCCGCCAAAAAGGGTCCCCTCAATAAAGACAAGTCCATATGCGAAACTTAGGAAGTCCAAGGGAACCGCATACTTTCGGGGGTCCGATTGCGCTTTGAGGATGTTTTTGTGTTGAGTCAAAGAGGGGAAGCACCTCCTCAAAAGGCACTTGGCCCCGAAGCGAGAATCAGAAACAGGCTCCCCATCCGGAGTCAAATTTTGGGATGTGCCCCCGCACGCCGAGACACAAACAAGCTGAGAGCGATTTGCCCAGGGCTCGTTGGTTTTGGCTTTGTTTGGCTTCCTCCAAACAAAAATGGGGTGGGCCTGTTTCGTGTTCTGGAGGGTTCCAGGAATACTCCTGGGCTTGTTCTAAAAGCCTGAAAGATAAAAGCAAAGAGCCACCAAGTTCCAGAGAGCGCCTGAAAGTATCCCCAAAATGATTGGAACTGATCCCTTTGCTCAGATGGTGTAGAGGACAGCTAAGTTGTTAGCACCCCTAGTTGCAAGGGTGTACACACGGTTACCATCCAAGTCGCATAGCCCTAAAAAACGCTGCAATTGGCCCAGAAGACTGGGCTAATCATTAGCCCCCCCCCCACGACCCCGCCACCCAAGAAGGGTTCTAGAGCCTTAGAAAAGGACTGGTGGGCGGGCTCCTGGGTATTGCCCGCAAGATGAAACGAGCCAACACGCAAGGGATCTGCAAATCTAATGATACCAAATCATGAAATATGAATTGGATCTGCAAGCACATCATCATGGGGAGCTCGTTCTACCGCCAAATCAAATTGCCATAGGCTGAAGGGATATGGTTTGAACACCTATGATTTAAGCCACCTCCTTTTGGCTTCTCTTTAAACATCAAGCCATGGTTGACAATAGATTGGAATTGTTGAAAACAAAAAGCAACTAAATATGCCACCACTTTATTTGACCCGGTAGGCCATGGTAAGGACTCCTTATGAGGGTCATGGTCATGAATCATGAATCCCTTCTCTGGAACAACCCTTATCAGGAACATCTGAATTGACCCAACCATTCTAGAAAACGGTTTGGATGACGCTGTTTTTGGATGTCACCCTACAGATTCACGGAAGGAGCCAACCAAAGTTCATGTGTGGTCGTGTTTGAACCCGGAGCGTTTGAATCATAGGCCCTGGGGAGTCCAGTTACCAAGCTAACCTGCCAGCAAAATACCAAGGTGTGCTCTTCAGAGCAAAAAGGTCAACCTCGTGTAGGTTTAGTTGTTCAAGGTCCAGCAATGCAATGGAAGCCTCCAGTACATTGATCAATGGTTGTCCCTTCGTGAGCCCTGTAAAATGGGTTCCCAACCTTCCAGTTGCTTAATCCCCCTTGACAAAAACATGAACATACAACCAATAGTGACAGATTCCCTTTAAAACCAAGAGGGCAAACTAAATCAAACAGATTCATTTCAGCAACTGGAAGCAACTGATAACACGGGGGTTCCAAAGTTCCCAACCCAAGGGCCGCGGTTTCATCTCGATGCCAAGACGCCCAGCTGCGAGACCAGCGTGGTGAAGGCGCCCTGCAGCGCCCCCAGCACCGCGGCCGCCTCCATCATGGCGCCGAAGTCCATGGCGCCGGCGAAGTACCTCCCTGCGGGACATGGGTCTGGACTCGAAGTTGGTGCCGTGGTGTCGGCTGGTTGGGAGAAAAAAAAGGGAAGGCAACAGGAAAACAAAAACATTTTCAAGTTGGTACCTTTGTTTTTGTGGGGTGCAAGGGAAACCGTTCTTTCCTTTTTTGTGTTTTTTTATCTATTTTTTTTATTTTTATTTTTTTTTTTTTGGGGGGGGGGGGGGGCGTGATATGGGTCTGGACACAAAAGAAATACCCATACAATAAGGGATTCACCAACCATATTTAAATTGTTGGGTTGCAAGAACCCATTTTTCAGTTGGATTGTTGAGGCATATGCCGTTTTTGGAGTTGGTACCTTTGTTCTTGTGGGTTTCAAGGGAAACCAACTGAAAGACAACTTCTTCTTAAACCAACTGGAAGACAACTTCTTCCTTGGTGTGTTCTCTTCTTTTTTTTGGAGGTGACCTGCGAGCATCACAAAGGGAACCACGTGGGCCGCATATCCCGTCGAGGACTCGATGAGCACGAAGCAGATCGACACGTAGAGCAATCCTCGCGTGCGCGTCTGAGGGGGTGAGAGAAGCCCGAGTGGTTTACCTTCTACACAGGTGATTGGATTGAGGGAGTTGAATTCCCCCCCAAACAAAAACGGTAAATAGATTGATCACTTTTGGAGGGAACACTCCTCCCCCCCCCCAAAAAAAAAACAAAAAGAAGATATAGGTCGCTTCTACAAGGAAGGAGGATTGCCCCAATCAGCAATTTTGCCAGACACCACAAAAGGGAAACTGGAACGATAAATTCAGATCTCCCGGGGTTGAACCCCCCCATTTCCCCATGTCATTTGGAAGGGGCATTTTTGCACGAGAACCCTCAAACACTTCAAGTAGATTGATTCTCGGGACCATCTAAGCCCAAAGAGGTGTCAAGATAGGGGCACCCAACAGATTGTGGTTTGCCACCTGATGTAGAAAGCAAAGGGACAAAAGCTGGGCTCCCCTAGTGGCGAAACGCCTAAAATCCACTGAGCTTTAGGAAGCAGAATTCAGCCGTCACCGCTGGGATCGACGAAAACGCCGAGGACTCCAACTGGCGGAATTTACAAGATGGATCAAAGGGCCAAAGTGAACCACCGGATAAATTTGGGGGGTCCTGTCTTTCCAGGTCTGGTCCACAAAAGAGGGTACTCCAACTGCCATAGCGATCCTTAGATACACAACGGTGGACATATGACTCCCTCCCCCATTTTCATGGCGGTTTCAATTCCCAGATTTTGGTTCCTTTAATTTTTATGGGAAAATAACGCCCGGGATCCACTGGAAAGACCAACCAACTTCAAATGGCTTGCGGCTTTTTTGGGCCCCGCGCCGCGTCCTCCCCGCCATTTTCATGGTTGTTTCACTCCCCAGCTCGTTGTTATCCCTTTTTTGTGGGGAAACAAAACCACCCCCGAAAATCTCCACTGGAAGAAGAAAGGCGAACGCCATCGCCAAGGGCATGGCTCGAGATCATCCCATGGCATGGACCCGCCGCGTTGGCCGCGACTTCCGCTGATTCCGAGGCTCGGTACAAGGTCCGCAGCAGCTGCGCGAAGAGCTCCGCGCAGCGCTGCAGCTCGAAGCCGTGGCCGCCGAAGAAGGCCACCGGCTCCGCGTGCTCGCGGATCTCGCGCGCGAGATCGCGCGAGGTCGCGCCGGCGGCGGCTGGGAGCGGGGGGCTCGCTGGGGGGGGGGGGCAGGGGTATGGTGGAGACTTGGCTGTGGTTGTCAAAAATAGGGTAACCCCAAAATGAAACCAAAAGGTAAGTGGAAACATGCACTAAAACCTGTTGTCCCCTAGTGGTTTAATTTTGACCCACACCCACTTAGGGTCTATTTTGCAACCTCCTTCACTTAGGTTATTGAATTTTAAGGGTTCTTGGCTGCAAAATAGGCTCTACGTGTCCATGGCACCATGGGCGGGGGGGCGGAATCGGGGGGGGGGGGGGAATGGGGGGGGGGGGGGGGGGGGGGGGGGGAATGGGGGGAGGGCGGAATGGACGGGGGGCGGAATGCGTGGATCGCGGATGGATGGCTTGGTGAAAATGAGGATCTTGGACCTCGCAAAATGGTGGAATCCAACCTGAACATGCTGGGGTCCGAATCTAATTTTGGTTGGCTTTTGAATCTAAATTTACACCAACCTGAAAAGGTGTGCGGAAAGCACAGATGGGAAAGGCTCAATTCTTTGCAGTTGACAGCATATTCTGTCCATAATAGGAGGAGCGAAGTCGTGGTCCTCCCCCTTTAAACTCATCCCAATCAGTCCGTTTACGTATAGGGTAGGGAATCAAGGACTTGCCACCGGATATAAAAACTAAAGGACAATAGCTGGTTACTTGTTCTTGGTTGCTATTGATCCCGCTGCAAAAAGTATATTCTTTGCGGGTCCAATGGAAAGTCCACATATTCCAAAAACTTAAAGTCTAAAGATGGGGGCTGGTCACAATGGGGACTTGGATCCCAAAATGGTGGATTCCTTCTGTGTGTGTGTGTGTTTTGTTGGGAGACTCTCTTTCGTTGGTGTTAAAGCGAAGCCAAAAGGAAGCACAGTTTATGAAGGTAACCTTTTCGGGAGTTGTTCTACTTTAATGGGTCTTCCCGGACCCTTTGATGGATGTCTTTTAGGTGGGGGTTGTCCACTAAACACTTGTAATACGGTTGCCCTCAAGCGAACCATGGCCACATGCCACGTAGCAAACCAGTTGATAAGCCATTGGGGGGGCTTGGAGGGTGTCTTGTTGCGAGGGGCCTCTTTTTTAGGTTGTTGCGTAAGGAAAAGTAAAGGGAAGCCACCCATTTTGGGGTCCCCTGCCCCTTGGTTGGAGACAAACCCAAATATGCGTCGTAATTAGGGGGGCCCAAAAATAAATGAAGAATTAAATAAATATATAAGTATAGAAACAAATAAATACATGAATAAATAAAGACATTTAAAGAAAGAAATAAAGACAGAAATAAATCAACACTTCCATAGAAGGACACACCGGGGTTGCTCTTCTGTGCTTCTCCCCACGTTTGTTTTTCGTGTCGGCCAGAGGCGCCCGCACCAGGCTGAAGCGGAAGGTGGCCTCTTGCGCCAGCATGGTGCGCTGGAGCCGGGTGAAGGGGCCGCCGAAGACCGCGAAGGACAGGACGTTCCTCGGGGTTTTGCGATGGGTAAGCTGCAGGTGGCTTACCCAGTGCTGCCAGTTTCCACTTGAACTACCCCTCCACACAAACAAAACATGGTACCCTCAAAAAAATCGGGGTACCACTCCCCCAAATAAAAAGGTTGGTTTCCTTTAATTTGTCTCTTTCTGGAGGCACTGGCGTGGGCGACCATCGGGGGGGCCACGTGCCAAGTGATGGTTACTCGCTTTCGCACTCAAGCAAACACATGTGCTGGATGGTCCATACTGGGTTTCGGGAATGGATGTAGGGATTCCCTTAAAGGAAACCATAGGGGCTGGTTTATCTCGGGGTCATTCCATTTCACATTCCCTACCTATCGAACCAGCAAGAACAATGACAAAACATCTCAGGGTTGGGCTAACACCCTGTTTGAATCTGCAAAAATGTCTCTTGATTAAGCATCCTCCTGTTGGTTCCCCTTTAAAGAGGGTTAGGGACTTCTAAACACTGTGTTTTCTCGCAACTCTGATTGGACAAGCATCAACACTCTCACTTCCGGTCTGGATTGGCACAACCAGTTCAAACTTGTTTTTGTTTAAAGCCACTAAACGGTTTTCCTGCCAAAAAGTCACTAAAGTCCAGTAACCCAGGCTTGGCCCGACAAATAAACCCATCAACCAGGAGCCTTAGCGGGGAGTCCTAAAGGAGTTGAGCCCACATGCCGGTCACAAGCAAAATAATTGACACCCGTTGGGGGCCAGGGACGTTTTTTGGTGGGGAACCTACTGAAGAAATAGGGGATGGCACTGAATCACTGGGCCCTTTTGGATTGGCTTTGACGGTCAAAAAACAAAAGGGACACCTGGTCTCGACTTGCCCGGAGTTCGAAATACAAGCCCAGGTGGTATCTCCAACAGCCACCCGGAACCATGGCGCATGGCTGACCATGACTAAAGTGACCATGACTAAAGACCGGATGGTCCATGGATTCGCGCAAAGCGCGCTTGTCACTTATGTCAAAACCCAAATTAGGAAAGCCACATGACTGGTGTCCTGCGGGTGTCACTTTAAATCAAACAGTTCTCTCCAAACAACGCCACACCTACATGAGGACAAATCAAAACCCAGCACCCCAGAGAAAAGATTGCTAGAAGCTTCTTGCAAGAATTCTTAGAAGGCTTTTGGGATTGCATAACAGCCGAAGAGGATGAAAACGTAAACTAGAGCCACATGTGTCCTTTCCTTACCGGATCTGCCAACAAGCCAACACGTGTCCGTGCTTACGCCTAAAATGGCTTGAAGTACGATTGCCTTCATAGGTGCAATTCTGACCTGGGTGGCTAAGATTGAACATGGACGAAGTCAAATTTCTTGAAAGGAGATCCATGGGTCAATTTGCTTGAAAGTCAACTTGCTTGAAAGTCGATTGATCTGAAGTCAATCCATGTCTTAAAGAAATCGGGAAACCAGAAAGAGCTGTCCCAACCGCAACCGTATGTGTGTGTGTGTGTTTTCGAGGCTCGGTACCCTTTTCGGGCAGACCTTTATCAGAGAAACCCAAGCCAGCCATTTTAATAGGGGTGGTTTTGTTTGAGACAAACTTATATGTGCCATGGTCAAAACGTTTGTTTGGCCTATGGTCATGGAAAAATGGTTGGTTTCCTTGATTTTCCGTTCACACCAGCCAAGAAAAGGGTGCCATCCAAAAATCACACACACGAGCCACCCAAATGGAAAATTCTCGCCAATTCCCTCAACAAAAGTTTGCACTTGTAACTTTGAGATGCCAGGCAAGCCTGGAACCTCTTGCCTGGCAACAAAAATCGCGGGCCCTCAAATCGGGGTTCCATGTCTGTTTTGGGGGAGTGATTGGAGCGCCAAAGCCCATGGCCATTTTAGTAGCCACTATCTGGTTTAGTTGGGGTAGTAAGGACTAGATACCTTTTTCTTTCTTTTCCCGGGTAATTTCCCCCTTGTTAGTGGCTTTAAAGGGAAGCCAAATGGAAAACACACATTTCTGTGTTGTTGTTGTTTTTCTGTTGGGGGGGTTCCCCTAAAAACGGACACACCCATATAAACCTTTCGGTAGAACCAAAAGTCAATAGGTATTGGGCGCCTTTGCCAAGGTGTCCGAGGATCAGAGAGAGCGCGTAGAGGACCAAGAAGTAGAAAATATGGTGGGAGATGGTGAGCAAAAGCCCCGCTTGCACCAGGATGAGCATCACTTGCTGCAGAACCGTGGTAACAAAGGATAGGATCCTTAGGCAAAGGGCGAGCACTCAAGACCCGGAAAACTTGTGCTTCCGGACAGGATTCAGAAAGGAATTCTAGGTCCTGGATACCAAGCCCCAGGACCCTTAGGGTGAACAGTTGGCTTTCTGCAGCGATCGTTTCCTGCGACTGTTGCTAGTTGCTCAGGTGACGGTGTGTTCTAGAGGTTGATTCCTAATTCTTGTCAACCGCCATCCCTGGAAATCACCCCGGAAGGCTCTGCCAGCGAAATCCTGGTTCCTTGTCATCTACAAGCCAAATCGAAAGGCTGACCACTCTTATTCACCCAAACCTGGCATTTTGAATCATCAGCTCTGAGGTACCTCTGGATGGAATTGATGGATGCAAATGTGCCGACATGGCTTCAACGCAAGGATCTTGCCAACAATAATTTGCAGGATTCCCCCAAAACCACATACAAGCATCAGCTGATTCAATATTTAGTCTTGGACAAATAGTAGAACCTGCTTGGGAGACTTCGGGACACTATGACCGTGGTATCTAATCACTTGCTAAGTGTCCTGTCCCCTCAATCAAGCAGGCTTTGATGCCTTGATGGCTGCAAAGCCATCAGGAAAATGTAGTCCGTACAATGGAAAAGTGAGCCCGGGACAACAAAGGGTTATGTAAAGGTCCTTGTTTGGGGGACCCAGCACTATAGTAGTTAACCCTTCGCAACTGTCCTTTTGTTCTTTGCCCCTGGTTACCTACTGTATGTATATATATATATGTATGTACACGGAATCACTGGGCTTCACAAAACCAATGCTCCGACAAGTTAGTAAGTGGTTAGCCACTTGAGGTATAACCCACTTAAAGGTGAGAAAATGGCCTAGGTTACCAACAACTTGGACGAACTTGGCGAACTGAACACCCAAGCAACCTTCAAACAAAACAACAACAAAAAAGAAAAACAAAAAACAAAAAAAAGGTTTTGACAGGTCACCTCCCTCCCTCCCTCCCCCTTGCGCTCGACTCGAGGCGCGCGAAGCTCCGCGGGCGCAAACCAGCCGAGCGGCACGTCGGTGAACTCCCCGCAGTCCTGGGCGATCCGCTGGTCGGGGTTATCCAAGCCGCGGCCCAACAGCTTGAGGCCTAACGGAAGCCGAACGGAACCGATAGGAACCCAATGGAGGCGAGGCGGGGCGAGTGTGGGTGCCCCCTACTGAAAATACCCGCTTTTTTCAGGCTATGTTTGGGAAAACCTGGCTTTGCATGGAAAATACCTGCTTTTTGGTAGAGGGTCGACATGATACCCTGAAAAAAGATGGTATTTGGAGTAAGGGGTGTAGTTTGTCGTGCCTTTTGGGGCCTAACTGAAGCAGAAAGAACGGAACCCATGGGAACTGAAGGAGGGCTCGAGGAGCTCGAGCCGAGTGTGGGCCTGCGGACTGTGTGCACCGTTTTGGGGGGCTACCCTGGTTTTGGTGGCAAAAGAGAAGACGTAAGAAAAAAACAAAGTGCATTTTGGGGGGTCGCCTTAAAAAGACACACCCATTTCAATTCTCCAAATGACACATTGCGCCCATGTCATAGCCAAGCAAAAGGGCCCCAAATACTAATGTTGTTGCCCATGGGAATTTACACCTCTTCTAAGTTTGTATTTGGGCAAGGGTGTAAGATGGTCCAAAAAATGGTCCAAAAAGAGGACCCCGCCAAGACCTCAACCACTTCGGCCAAATGATAAATGAAACGGCACTCAAAATAGCCAATCACAAATAGTAAGGGAATTGTTCAAGTCTCAATAAATAGAACTCCTCCAGCCCATGTTCCTCGCTATGGCAATTAGCAAGCAAGAACTATGAGGCCACAAATATAGGTAAAATTGGGTTGTGGTCTACTGTCAAAACCGAATTGAGTCATGATGTGACAAAGAAACTATTTGTCTTTTCCAAGCCCCATATGTCACGGGGGACCCTGCTTTTTGAGCTGCTTGTATATCGAAGGAATGAAGTAGCCATCTCTCCGCCCCATGGCGAATGGCTACCCCAGAAAGCAACGAAAGGAGTGGCTTGCCTGATGAAAAGGGGTCTCCCTGATGAAAAGGAGGCAGCCTTTTCACCACCCTCACCGCTGTCAAATGACAGTCTCCCAATTTTGGACCTAGACTGTTGCATTTCCCTTTCAGTTGCGTCACACAAGGGGCCAACGCCGGCATTCGCGTCTTTCTTCGACAGCCCTTGACATCGACTATTTTCAGTGGTAGAGTCTCCCTCCAGACTCCAAACGGAGGCCTTTACGTGGTCTTAGGCCTCAAGGGACCCTGCGAGAGTCTTAAGAACAGTGGTTAACCACAAAGACTACCACAAACCACTGTCCTAGTGGTCTACTTGCAACCACAAACCCCTCCTAGTCGTCCTCGAAGCCTACTTGCAACCACACACCTTCCAAAGACTACCTCAACCCAGGCAGCTTTCTTCGGACTCAGGCCGCAAGTTCGGCAATCGGTAGAGCATGTTTGGGGTGACTCAAGCAATGGGTTCTACCACAAATTCAGCTTCCTCCTAATTCGTTTGGTTTGGTGGTTTACGCCTGAAGGGGATAGCTTCCGCATTTGGTTTCAAGAGGAACTGGGGCAACCTGACAGGTGGGCTCGGAAATCGGACGTCAACAAAAACCCAACTCGTGCTTGCACCTTGCTGCCGTAAGGACTGTCCCCTTCATCTACCCAGGTTTTGGTCTCACAGCTTGCAGCTGAGCTTCGATAATACATCTTGTTGTCGCCAATGTACCGCTTCCTCGAAAGCAGCACGTCCGCATCAGCTCGGGTGGCTCATTGGGTGCGTTCAAGTGAAGTTCATTCCAGGGACGATGCCCCCCGAAAAACCAGATGATACTAAATCAAGGACGCCCACTCGTTCGGACTCGGCTGAATATCACACACCCGCGCCTAGCAAAGTGGCTAGCAAACCACTCGAGGCCCTCATGAACGATTGCAAGCGCGCGGATTGCCACTCATTTAGCTAAGCCCCCACACTGTCCAAGTAGGTGGGATTGAACTAACCCCCCGTATGAAGGCAGGGTCTTACTCGGAGGAAACAAGGTCGGGGGTATGGGGTCCCAAGGGGCTGAATCCTGTGATAGGGCTTGGAGGTAAACCATGTTGCCTGCTGGCTAAATTGGTGATCTGCCCTTTCATCCGACCCCAAAGGGCTATCCTCAAAACAAATACACCTCCGTGATAGTATGGGCTAGGGGTATTTGAGCAAGCCTCAGCCTGGCGGGTCAATACACAGGGGATGACCCCTTTGGACCATGCAACTGGTGGTTTCCACTCCCCAAAAAGCAATCGTGCTTCCCAGAAAGCAAACATATTTCCAACACCTACTGGCCAAAAACCACCCCCCAACCGTTAAAGCCACGCATGGAACCGCACTATAGGAAATGGCTGTCTGTTGGGGTAACTGGGATCCCGCCCTGGGTGGGATTCTACCTGGGCGTGTCATATCTAGAGACCGACTTCAAGGTGGTTTTGGGCACAGGGAAGCCATCCATTTGGAACCTACTCTGCAAATCAGGATGGGGCCCAACATTGATTGTTGGGGTTCATGTCCCACAGGAGCTTCTGCTGGCATTTCGAGTGTTATGTTTCACCAGCGCAGTATTTATTCGTTTGTCCCCCTTTTTGTTCTTGGAGGGGGGGGAGTGGTTCACAAAAAACAACACTCCAAAAACCACCTTGTAAAGACAGATATATGGAGGTTTGATACTTTAAAACCCACCAAAGAAGGGGTACCCCATTTGGGTTTGTCTCATGGCTTGGAATCCCCCAGAACACCAAACGAGTACCTCAAAACAACAATCACGTTTTAGGGGTCCCCCTCAAGAGGTGGGTTTCCTTTTGGCTTTCCGCTAAACCCGCCAACGAAACATGGCTCTCTTAAAAACACGCGAGCCCCCCATTTTATTTCGGCAAGCCCTCCATCCAGGGCGAGTGTCAGTAAGACCTCCGTGAGGTGACGCCGCCACTCTAAAGACAAAGTGCCCCGCAAGAGCGCCTGCACCATCATCAGCGGCATGATGGTCAAAAAGACCTCGTCTATAACCCAGGGCTCGCTCATCTTCTTGCAGTTACCCCAAATTTATTGGTGGTTTGAAAGGGACACCATGGCTCGTCGGATTTTGGAGTTGCCCCAAAACCTCGTCTATGGTATCCCAAACAATTGGTGCTTGGGGTCGGTGGCCATGCGATCCCCGAAAAATTGGTTTGGGGTTGAGATGCCTTGGGGGCGGCTCGTCTTTTTCTGGAGAGGCTCGGCGCCCTTTTGGGGCTTATGGTTTAAAGGGAAATCAATAGGAAACCAGGGATGGTCAAGAAGACCTCGTCCGCTCTCGTTTCGAACCAGCCCAGGCAAGCCAAGAAAAGGCAACCAAACATGGTCCTTTCAAAAAACGACACGCGAATTTTACCACCTTAGGATATAGACAATGTATCAAATAGATCCTGAACACTTAAATCTCTGACCCTTAAATGTGGGAGGGCCTTGCGTGGGAGGCTGGGTTCTCATTCCGGTGTTGAACCTGAGGATTGCCTCTTCAGGCATTGGGTGGTTTTGTTGGGCATGCCACTTGAACTGGTTGGTTTCATGACTCGTTGCCAACCTGGGTCCATTTACACCAGTAGGCAACCCAGTGGATCCATTTACCTGGTAACAAACGCAACCACCCCGAATGCTGGTGTCCCTTTTATTTTGCGGTTTCAAAGGCCAACCAAAAGGAAAACCACCAAGTTGGGGGGTCCGATTCCTAAAAGCAACACACCCAAATAGTTCTGGAGACCCCACACCATCCCAAACTCTCCTGGTTCCCTCCAATTGCCTCTTCAGGCCTTAGGGAAACAGGGGCATGTTCATGAACACCATGTTGGGGAACTCGTTTCCAGCCTCTGCAGAAGAACATGTCATGGGCGTCTTCCCGTGTCCAAGCCCCCAAGTACGAAGTACAAAAGCAGCACTGACAGGGACCAGCCAAACATTTGGATGCGAATGTTTACTATATGAGTGTTCGTCAAAACGGCGAACCTTCTTTGTGGTTGGTGAACTTAAAGGGACGCCATACACAGCAAATCCATTTCGTATAGCAAGGAACCAAGGGACCCACGCTTTCAACGCCAAAAGGAAAATGGCTGGTTCCCTATTCTAGTGGCTTGCCTGGGATCCAAAGGGTCTAGGTTTTACGTGATCAATTTCCCAGGGATACCTACCACAATGGTAACTTGAAAGCAATGGGTAAGCCATGGGCCATGGTCATCTGGGATAAGGAAACATGAGATTTGTTCCGGGGCTCGCTTGCTATTTTCGAGAAACACGACCCAGTGAACACCGCGCCGAGCCGCCCTGATGAGGCGCATCTGTGCGGACAAGAACCTGAGGTATAGACTCCAGCGCATGCACAGCTCGTGGTGCTTGGAGTTGGTACCCTTTTCCGGGGGTGGTTTTAAAGGGAGACCAACAGAATTGAGCCAGGATCAAACTGTTTGTTAAACTGTAGCGGTTGCCCGTGATAGACAAGGGGCGCCCTGATGTGTTTTTTTTTCTTTTTTTTTTTTTATTATTAAATAGGAAACTACCTCAAATGTTGGACAGTCGCACCAAATCTACCGAAATGGTTGTTGTACCCCCCCCACATGGCAGTTGTAGGGGGCATTTCCGGGTTCGCTAGATCCTGCACCTCCGAATGGACCGCACCCACTTGGGTGCTCGTGCTGACCTCAGCCATACCCAGATGTACCAGAGTGAACCCTTCAGCTCTTACCCCACAACCCATTTGGGTATGGGTCAAAACGAATCCACCAGAGGACCGCAGGGTTTAGTCCTTGGTTCCATTTACCAGGGTTCCATTTGGGGTACCTATTTTTGACCAACAATTTCAAAGCTCAATGAGTTTGAGAAAATGGCCCCATTGTTCCACACTCGTTCAGCAGTAGGCCCCAAACCATCCCAAAGCCGATTTCTGGCCAGAGACCAAATCCATCGCTTTCAGCTGTCACCCCACTGGGCTCAAATCCTATGGCACCTCGATGGCCGAGCCAGCCAAGGAGCCGGTCTTGGTCCTGGTCGTGGAGCGCATTCTGGAATTCCCGCAGCGTGGTGAGGAACCACATCTGCAGCAAGGCGAAGATCAGCATGGTCACCTGGGTGTGTGTGTTGTTTTTGGGTACCTTGTGGCTTTAAAAAGGCAAAAACAAAATCCATGTTGGGACCCGGTCCGAGTCAGGGTGTGGTTCATGCCATGATTTTCAGGGTGCTTGGGCTTGAAATACTGGGCTGTTCAAAATGGCTTGGCCAATCCGAATCCATATTCCCTGTACAAAGGGGACCGGTTCCTGCTAAGGTAAGGATCTTGCAGATTACATCGAAGGGAAACCAAAAGCCAGCTGCTCCCTCCCATTTGCGTTTTCGCCCCCTGAAAAAAACAAAAGAAACACATATTTCCAATAGTGAAATGAATTCCCTGTAAAACCAACGGGGCATTATTAAATAACAAAAACCAACAGGGCATTAAAAACAAATAAAAATGGAAGCTCCAAGTCCTCAAAGACGAGCCACCCACCTTCGTCCAACTCTTCCAAGGTGGCCAGCGCCTCTCTCGATCTTAACACCCGAACCGCTGATTGAGGGTACCAAGTGGATCCAGGCACAAACCAGGCGTTTCGCCCTTATTCGTCTCCAGCCGTTGTTCATTTTTATGACTTGAAGGATGGTTGCCTGGTTGCCTTTTTCAGCGGATCCAGGCACAAACACCATGGGCGACCCTTCGCCAGTTTCCTTGTGGTTGTTGTTTGGGGCTCCCTAGGTGTCCTACTACTCTCGAGCTTGATTCCTTTTCCATTCTTTTCAACCATCGTTCTTTCCAAAAACCGGATCCGTTTTGCCTGGGTTTCCGGAGGCTTTCTAGAAAGATTCGGATCCCTGGAAAGAATGGAATCCGAAAAAAGCAGATCGGCCCCGATTGTTGCTTGTTTCCTCACGTCCTTACGGCACCTTTGGATTCGGCCAGCGAATCGCTGTATGGTTTGGTATGCACCCTATGGGCAAGGGTAAAAATGCGTGGGTTTCTCAAAGTAGTGGTCCCTATGCAATATCTGGTTGATTTCGCTGTAAGTACCAACCAACGGTCCACTATTTTGAGAAACACTCGTATCTTTCTCGTCCAGGCCCTAGCCATGTGCCTGGGAAAAACTAATTCAAACAGGGAATGAGGGCGAATGACGGCAAGCAATGCTTCCCGATGTTAAACCTCAACTTGCTGGTTTGATAGCCTCATTTATTGCGCAAAAGTCCCCTACATCACAAACAACAAACACGTCTAGTGATAGATTCCCTCAAAACCCAGCAGGGGAATACAACACATATTCTTAAGCAAATGGAAGATAGGGGCATAAGTTGGAATGGCCCTCAAAACCATCCAACTGGTGGCTTCCCTTCACCCTCTTGCCTGTAGGCGGAAAAAAACAACGCAAATAAGACCACACATTTGTAGGATAGGTGTCTGGTAAAGGGAAACCTACAAGGAACACCTTCACCAATTTGCCCCAAACGCGGACCTTACAAAACCATCCCAAACAGACCCCAACTGGAAAATCCTTTACAAGGCCCTTCTTGGCCACAGTAAGGCTTGCGCCTGAAACACTTCAGGTAACCCCGCGCCAAACCCAAAGGACCCAATTGATGGACACAAATGTTTGTCTGCCTTCCGGCGCTTTTGTTGAGAGAAGGCAGAGAAAGAAAGTCAGAAAATATGTTCATCAGCCAAAAGGCCAGCAGCGCCGCGGCCAAAGCCCAAGCCTTCTTTCCTTAGGGCTGGAAAATTGGCCTTGCCTTCATTTCTGTTGGCCCAGAGGGTCCGTGGTTCTCCATATTGGGGTTTTAGGCTGAGGGTCCGTACTCCATATTTGTGGTAGGTGTTGGTTCGGAATTCGTCAAATGGGGACCCTCGAGGGAATGGAGTTGAACCCGTCAATTAATCTTCACCCAACGCACCGAAATATGTTTCAGCATCTTCAAGGTTCTCGCTCTTCTTTCCGGAGTTTCTTCATTTCCAACCAGAAATAACCCCTTCCTGTTGAAGTAGGTGCTTGATATGCAGCCAGAAAGGAAAGTGGGAGACATATGACAGGTAACCCAACAAAAGGGGTGGGGACGGTGGGACACGTTGCCTTGGCTGGTTCCAGGTTTGGCGTGACCTCATCTAGATCTGTTTTAACTTGGCAGTAACGAGTGTTCAAACAGACTACTTTTGGCTTCCCAACAGTCCCAGGGGCTGCTTATTTCTATATCCTTTGCCTATCGTGACACACTAAGAAACCAACTCCCCGAAATATGCATTTCACTCGCTGGGTTTGTACGTTATGCTACGGGGGGGTAGGTACAAGCGGGGTGGGTAGTTGAGAGCCCTTTTCGGGTTCCTTCGGGTTTTCTTGGGGTTCCTTAAGGAACTCCCCCCCTTGGACGTTGAGTTCCAGAACCCAATTGTTTCCTCCTACATTCCACCCCTCGAATTGGATTTCACGCAGGCTTGGCCAGACTAAGACCCACTGCAAAAAGCCAAGCCTTTTTTCTGGCGAAAAGAGAAAACAACGAGGCAGAAGGGCAAAAGAGGGCAACAAGGAGGCAGAAGGGGGAAAACAAACAAAGAACCAACTGGCAAAAGGGCAGAAGGAAAACCATATGATTTAAGCCTGTCAATGTTGGTCCTGACAACGGGCCCCGCTGAACTCACATCCAAATGGCAAAAGACATGTGGTCACCCCCCCCCCCCCCGCACGCATATTTTTTCGGAAAGGGAAGGAGAACCATCCCAACCAAAGATCGACAAAACAGGGGTCACTGGATTCCCCTTCCAAGACCTGCATTTCTCTGATGTTTTCCACTGGGTCACCATGAACAAGGGCATGCTGGGGACATGGGGCCATCTGGGAGTCAAACGGTTTTAGTGGCCAACCCTGAAAGAGAAGCCGCCGGGGACTGAAAATACCAACTTTCCAATGGAAACAGACAGGCCTCTGCTTCCAGCCCGTCCTGCAAAGGAACGCTCGCTTCGATTCTTGGAAAGAAAGAAGCACCTGGGTTCACTAACTCCCCTGCTAAAAGTTTAACTTTTCGTGGTCTCAATAGGCAAAAAACGCAGTCTTACACCAACATCTAAACACCTCAGGGGACGGCTGGGAAGCGCCAAGTAAGCCGTTGGAAACGACTTCAACTGCACTGAGACCCCTCCGGGCAGCGGATTGCTTGCGCCCGAAGCTTCTGCTGGAGACGTCTCGGAAGAAGCTGGAGGCGACCAGCAGCACTGCGCGGAACAGCCTGGGATCCACAGGGATCCTTACAGGAGAAATAGGGGTTTAGTGGCAGGGCAGGGCTGGGAACCACCAAGTAGAAACAGCACTATACACCTGAACATTGCAGCTCGTAAATGGTGGTTTCCAACTGTATTTGGGTGTGGAAAAAGCCACATGTTTCACATGGGTGCAAAATGTATCTTTTAGGGAGCCCTGCAATGCTGTGGATGATTGCGAAATCCTCGCACCACCTGAGAATCCTTGGTTTCTGATTCCCAGGGAAATACCAAGCAACAATGGCACAATGGCGCAAGGGAAATACCACTCAACAGTAAAATGCGAAACACCCAAAAAAAGTTGAGGACCACCAAAGTGGGAATGAACCAATCAGACAACACAACAGATTCAAATGATCGCCCAACGGCTATCAAATGAAGCCGCCAGCGATCTCCTGCGGGCATCAGCATGAACGTCTAAAAAAAACAATAAAAACTCACAAATGGCTATGAGCAGGGGGCCCCAGAATTGGTGAAGCACATGGATTTCCAGTTGCCAAAGCCAAGTGTTGTACCATGCAGGAGTAGCTGACATCCACTCGCCGGTTCCTTCCATTGGGAGGCTGCCAGGCGATTCGAATCGCTCAGTCAGGTTTCATGCCAGCACCCCCGAGCCACTGATTTTTTCTTCATATCTGACATCCCTTTGGTTTTGTCCCAAAAGCAGCTGTCGGAGGGTGCTGGTGCAATATCTTTGGACAAACATGTGCCCTGGCGAGAACTCCATCTGTCGGAAAGGTGCCCTTACAAATCTGTAGGTCGTCTAAAGCACCTACTTAGAAGTTCATGACCATCCCAACCAACACCAGGTTGGTGTTTGGGTCATTGCACATCACATGTCACCATGCACCCTGCAACCTTTTGAAATCGGCAAGTCACCCAAAAACCTCCGCCTCAGAAGCCCAGTGCAGCTGCTGACTCACTGAACCCTTCACGAAAGAATCCACTGGGCGACTCAGAACATCTTTAGATCCCGGTTTCCCAGGGCTTTCCCCGCTTTTGAATGGTCTCCCCTGGAGCATTTTGTTTTCTTGTCTGGTGACTTTGAACTGAAACAATCGTTACCCACCAAAATTTGGCTTTAGATCATCTTGGATCCTAGTTTCCCCTGGTGTTGCCCCTCCGTTGAACAGTCGCTCCTGGGTTCCCCACAGCCAAGTGGAAGCACAGGCCGGCTTTCGCTGACTTTGGACATTGAGAATCTGTCGAGGCACTGCCGCAGTTGAAGCCTCTCGACCTCAACTGAGTCAGAATCAAAACCCGGCATTCAAATACCCAGAGCCATGCTTCAAGAAAGAAGGCGGCCGCAGCTGTTTCTGGCTGGGATTGTCCTATACTGACCTTCATCTACCCGGGTTTTGATTGTGGCTCAACTGGAGTGGAGTCGAAAGTGGGAAAGTGCGGTTCCCAGCCCACGCCCTGGGTGAATAAGCCTGAGGCTGGCCTCATGGTGGGAATCCGTTCACTGGTGATAACTCCCCAGGCCACATAGTGCCACATGAGGCCGCCAGTTGGGGTAGGGTCCCTATGATAGCAAAACCCACGAAGGCACAACATGAACTTAGAAACATAAGTCCCCAGTCCCTCGAAAGAAGATCCCCTCATCTGAGCCCTGGGGGTGAGTCCAAGGGCTTCGGTCGGTTCCGGAAAAACTTGAGGGTTTCTTGAATGTTGGGGTTGGAGCTTTGGGCAAGCCGACATTAGATTCTCTAAGCCTTGATTCTCCGTTCTCTTCACTTCGTTTTTGGGTGTCCCACGCCAACATGGATGTGCGTGCCTTTTCTGGGACTTGGCACCCATAGTTAGCAGTTCAAAAGGATAAGGAAAGGAAAGCCAGCTGTTTTTTCCGTCTTATTGTTGTTTGTTCCTTCTTTTCATTTCTTTGGCCGGGGGGGGGGTCCCTAAACAACACACACCTGCATAAGATACGTATATATATATATATATGCAAATAATACAGTGTATATATATATACCGTACATCTGACCACGTGCACTCTTCTGGCGAAGGTTTGCCTCTCGGCCATTGTGAGGAAACAACTTGGGAGTCCAAAACGGGTTCTAGACTGGATAGGGTCCAACTTTATGAAGCACACCTCCCTAAGTTCCCACATCAAATGAAGCAACATTTGGCGCTTCAAACCCTCGAGACTTGGTGTTGCTGACCATTCAGCTAGTGGATTTTGCCAAGTCAAGCCCTAGGGTTATTAAACATTTAGCTGACCGCTACCCCAGACAATCCACGGAAGAGCACCGTCTTTGCTGACTAACCCTAGGAAGTTTACAAAGACGATGCCAAGCGTTAGTATGGCAAGAAAGTAACCCTACCCCATGCTTCCAGCTACCACTATAGCCGCGTGCCTGAAAGCACTGCGCGAATTGGGCTCTGAGCTTTTAGAGTTGGACCCACCTCAAGAGACGGTGGGAAATAAATCACCACCTACACTGCTATTTGCTTAAGCCACCCCTTGGCAGAAACAATACACCCATGTTCAGTACTAAAATAGATTCCCTCTAAAAGAAAAAAGGCCAACGAGGGAAGAACAACAAAAACATATGACACAAACCACATATTCATGTCAGCCAAGGGAGGCAATTGCTTCGTGTCCACAGGGGTCTTTCAGGCGGCCGTTTCCCCGCCGGACCACTCCGAGGTCCCCGAGAGCTTCGCTTCCGCGGCCCGGGATCCGGGCCGTTGGGGCGAAGGAGGGGTCCGCCGCCATGGTGTCACCTGCAGATGGCAAAGCCCACAAGGCGTGGCGACTGGAAGGAATCATCTGGTGTCCATTTGCCGTAGATTTACCAGGTAGATGTGGCAAGCCTTGGGGGAAGCCCCTAAAAATGGACACCCACATCAAGGTCTCTCAAGGTCTAAATGTCTGAGAAACTTGATGGTGGGACCCCTGTCCTACTCGATGAACCTTTTTGAGACCCCTCATTTCTCCTGTAGCATCCACGGAGTCTTTCTTTGCACAGGGACGTCGCCCTTTCAAGCTCGCTCGAAGAAGAAATGCCGAAATTCAACTGAAGTGGGACTCGTCCAGCTTGTCCTTTTTCCCTTGACACCCTCCAAAATGCCCATCTTGCGACCAATCGCTTCCGATTGAGTGGGAAAGTTTAAAGTCCAGACAGAAACTTAGGAAGTGAGCCAACCCATGGCAAGATAAGCACAAATCGTACACTCTGCGTGTCAATAACACATGATCCCTGAACAAACCCTTTAGTCGCGATCTGAAACGTACCGTGTTCATGCCCGCCTATGCACAAATAACTCCCGCATGATGTGCCTTGTGTGCTACTCCTGTAGAGCATGAGGCAAGCAAACATAGCCACGGTCAACCTCTGCTGTTCCCTAGAAGGACAATATTGACCATGACTACTTAAAGACTACTTTCTAAGAAGCCACCACTTGAAACTCAGACCCAATCTCACATAAGCGGGGTTGTCTCTAAAAGAGGGCTGCTCCCAACCAAAGAACAAGGCGTTTGCATTCAGCAAACCCAACGAGAAGTTTTCCCAGGATCACATCCTTCCATTTGCTTAAGCCCCCTGGAAAGAACAACACAAATATCTCAAATGGTGATAGATTCCCTTTAAATCCAACAGGGCAAAAAAGAAAGCAATATATTCTTAAGCAAATGGACACATCCAAAGGCCCTCCCGGCCTTCCGACACTTGGTACGTTGACATCGGTGACGTCGTGACGTCCGTCGCAGACACGGCGCGAAAACGGGGCCCGCAGGCGCGAAGCTGTTCTCTCTGCCAGGGTGAGCTCTGGGATCGCGCGTTTGTTTCTTGTTTTGGTTGTTTCTGGTGTTCTTTCTTTCTGTCTTTCTGTCTTTCTTTCTTTCTTTGTTTGCTTTTGCGTGTGTTTTTCTTAGAAGAATCATATATCACAAAACCGCCTTTGGGCTTCCTTTTGGAGGGAAAGCAACTATTGCCATTTGGCACACAGTACTCCACCGACTGGAAAAGGGTTAGCCTAGCTTAACATCTTCATCGGATTAGTGTGGCTACATCTGGCAAGTGGGATGATTCAACATGGACTGAGACGCCCCTGCAAGTGCCGTAAATACTGGTTGTCCCAGAAAATGGAACAACACAAGCAATGAATGAGTCTGTCTCCGAGACAGTCCAAATATTGCTGGCCGCTAAAATGGGCTTCTCGCCAAAAGAGCAAAGTCTAGAAACTTGGGAAATACGGAATTCTAATCTTCAACTTGAAATGCCTCTGGATCAGGGCTGTAGGGAATGGAATCCACTTCTGTGATACAACTGAAAGGGCCTAACCCCAAAGACTATTTTGTTCATGTAAAGGGGGATTCCCTTGTATCACAGAAGTGGGGAGAAACCCCTTGATCCCACAACCCTGCTCTGGATCGTATCAACTCCTCCATGGAGCTTGCAACCGTTTCCCTTTGAGCCCGCACAACGGTCGACCCAGTGCTTCCAGTTAGCATCAGTATGGCGGTTTTCTCTGGTCACCCACTATGATGGTGCAGTTGGGGCACGAGTCCAGCCCTCCATTTGCTTAAGTTCCCTGGAAACAAAACACAATGATAGGTTCCCATTAGAATTGTGCCATCCCGCATTCACCCTGCTGAAAGCACAAGGCTTGATCTCCGAGCAATTGGTCACAACCTTTGGCATTGGAAACGTTGGTGGTTCGATGGGAAGGGAATAAGAAATGAAATGAACCTGGGATTCCCTTCAAGGAAACCCCAGTTGGATGGTTTCTGGGGGTCATTCCATTTATCGCTCCCTATTGAGCACTCGCAAGAAGCATTGAAGTTTCAACCTCGCGTCTGCTCAGCTTCCCCGAAAGACGGTGCGTTGGAGCCCGGTTGTGGTTAAAATCCCCGAGCAACCACATCCAAACCACCCATTAGGGGGTTGCCTCGCATAAGCAGAACCCAGCCCCTGGACATTTGTCAGATCCTTATGGAACTTGGACTTCAGCCTCTTCTCTTTTTCCCGAAACCAACATGAGTCACAATCAACACCTGGCGCAGGGGACCCATAAATCCATGGTAAAGAATCAAAAGGTTAAAGGGCACAACCCCAACTTCCGACTGTGGCCAACCCCACAAATTGGAAAAACAACAATGACCCAGCGGATCTGCGCCTATTTGTGGCTGGGACTGTCCCTTAACGTAATCCATCCGGGAATTGAGTGGCTCATGTCAAAAGGTCCACTCCTGAGTTGATGGGCGAATCAAGTGAAAACTTGTGGTTTACCACGAGAATGCTCCGAACCCAAATTGCCAAAAGTCCGAAACGGAAGTCAAGGAGTGAGACTTGGGCAACTGCGCATACCAAGAACCATGATGTTGCAGGTCCGGCATCTGCAAAAAATGATATACTTGGGACTCTCTGGGAAAACAAGGGAGGGAGTGCCACACACGGGATCGGGCAGGACTACATGTCCCCATGCAAGACCGCGCTCAAAGTTGAAGCTCAATTTAAAGGGCATCGGCCACCAGAAAACTTGGCCCAACTCGAGAATTTGTGACCCATTGGCCACGTAAACTTTAGTCAGTTAAACTTTGGCTTACCTTGGGCCACCAGTAAACTTTGGTATTCTGTCCATATTTTTGGGTTTGTGGTTTGTCATGAAATGATGCGTGTCCTTCTGATTTCCCTTTAAATCCAAACAACAAGAAGGGTACCCACTCAAACAAATGAACACACTCACATTTAGCTCACCTCGACATACATGAGGGGTTTGTCAATAATGATAAAGTAAGTACCGTTTTTGGGCCACGGTTTATGTGGGGCCCGCCTTTAAACGTGGGTCCAAAAAAGGGGTCCATATTTTGAGACCACAACCTGGCGTAGGGCTAACCTCTTACTCACTCCCTCATGCCAATCCGTGGAACATGCCTTAGTTTTTTGAGTGGATTTCACTCACAGGAAACCATCCGAACACGATGTCATGGGGGTTTTGTTGCTGCAAAGCCGTTTGGCAATGAGTATCCACATCGGGTTTTATCCATCCCCGGTGCCAAATGCATTGTGTGCGTCCTCTGCATCAAGGTTGCAATTGGCACAAGAGTGAACAATTGGTACCAAGCAAAACTAAACAGGATTCCCGGAAATTCCTCTTAAAACATCACTACTAAAGGAAACTCACGGTCCAACAAACACATCAAAAAAGGGGACATATCATAAATCTAGCAATGGGGAATTTTTCACGGAATATGCGTCTGTCTCAAAGTAGGATATGGAACCCCCAACATCGCCACAACGGCTTTTCTTTTAGCTTCCCTTCAAACCAGCCAAACAAGAGCACGGGAAACTCGAACAGAAATGGCGCTGTCCTTAATCAGGTTTCCCTTCTAAACCCACCACAAAAACCCCGGGCAACTCAAAAACGACGCTGTGCTTTTGGCTTCCCTTATAAACCAACCTCCAACAAACCCGGGCAACCCTAAACCCTAAACCCTGAACCCAAAAAAAAATGACCAACCCCCCACAAACCCGGGCAACCCTAAACCCAAAAAAAAGGACGACGCTTACGCCAAGCGTAATTTTTTCGTTGGACCCCGGTGGCTGGGTTTGGAGCTTCGACGCCCCGCTTCGATGCGTCCTGCCACGGAGGCCGCGGCAGCTTCGCCTCCACCTCCACATGGTGCCCGCGACGCTCCGCCGCCGCCTCGCCTGCCCGGTGCACGAGACGCCTACGCTGTTGACCTCCATAATTAGGTGTCCTTTTAGGGCAAAATGGGCTTCCCTGGTAGATGAGCAAAAAACACCAGGGAAACCAGGAATCGCCATCTATTTTTCCAAAACAACCAAAAAGGACACCTATGTTGACCTCCCTCAAACTACCCAGGAAAAAAAGGGAAGCCCCATAATATGTTGTGTAGCAATAACCCATTTTTGAGTGCATGGGAATTTTGAGGGTGTGGGTTTCTATATAGTAGGTAACAAGGGGCTTGCCACGCTTTGAACACCCAAAGGAAAACAGCTATAGTGGTTGCTGGGATCTGGGACAAATAAGAACCATGGCTCATACTGGGCCCAGCACACCATCAAAGCCACCTTGGCTTTTTCGTGAAACGACGGTGTCTCACTCCCAGAAACTACCCGACAGAAGGAACCCCCCGGGGGGTTCCTTCCTCAAAGGAGCTTCCGCTAAACATGTTTTGTCCTTTGGTTCCATAGTTCTATACGGTTATAATCTGCAGGGAGAAACGAAATGATCCCATCTTTCGTGGGTCTAAAGTCAAGTGGCCTTTGCCTGGGGCTTACGGGCAATCTGCGAACTTGGTCCAAGTCAGCTTCTCAAAGTACTGTGAGACAAGCGTCTACATTCACAACTGTGACGTTCTAGCGGACCCACGAAAAGGCTTCGGTTTTCCTTTTCGTTTCCCTTTCAAAACCACAAAAGCCGAGGTATCCAAAATAGCAACCATGTCTGATTATTGCCACAGCCTCGCACACTGGCCAGCAAAACAATAACAACAAAACGTCCTTGTCCTTTGCTCAAGACCAAAATAAAGTCTTAACAACAAAAAGGTTCCTTCCATGGTTCTCTTGGTGGTCATGACGCATCTACCGCCAAAAACTGAAAGGTTACCAACTCAGGTAAATTGTTCCCGGAAAAGCTAGAGACTTCCATGCATTTCTCACTTCAGTAGATAATCACCCCCCCTGCTTCCAGGCAAGCGACTGTAGTAACCAGGGGAAACATTCCACAGTAAAACTTAGAGGGGAAAGTACCGAAGGGTTGCCTACTAAGGTGGTGCCTGATAGCACTAGGAACACACTCGTGCAGTTACCACTCTAGCAAGTAACCAGGGGAAATCATCCATGATAAAGCCTGGAGGTAACAACACCTGGGCAATTAGGGTGGTAGCTGGAAGCAAAATCATCCAGAGGTAACAACACCTGGGGGTATCAGCACCTGGAAGTTTCTACACCTGGGTAACTAGTAGGGGGTAAACTGGAAGCACTAGGAACCTACACTCCCTCAGGCTAACATGGAAGCTCCCAAAAGGCCTCTGTAAATGGAACCAAGTCTTCCAAAGGGGTCCTTGGAGCTTCCATGTTAGTCTGGGGGAGGGTAGACGGTTTCTTCACGTCATGTGCCCAAACGATCAAACACCCCGCCTCCTTTGATCCCGATGAGTGCGTAGCCTTCCTGTGATCGGCCCCCGGACACTGCGGAGCTTGCGCCCACCTGGCTAAGGTCGCTTGCAACCATGTGAGCAAGTATCTTCGACCTAATCTTACCCGCTGCCTTTCCAGGCAAGCCACTCTAGTAGGTAGCCAGGGAGAACCATCCATGATGAATCCAAGAAGTAAGAGGCAAATATGTTCAACCTAATCTGAACTCGCTTCCGATCTAGTCGGCTGCCGAAAACAAGTAACCTGGAACTTGTAGAATATTTTATAATATATATATACCACTAAAATGGCAACCAAACCCAAAAAAAGTGACTAAGTCCATGAACTTCGGGAGCAAGTCAACTTTGGATTAATCCTCAGGACCCTTTCTTGTTGGAGGAACCCCTGATAAAGATTCCATGTACTTACAAGGGGGACCCTCCTGATTAGTGCGGTCCTCCGCATTGAATCCGAAGTTAACATTGAGGCCCCCGCTTTCTAAACCACCTGAAACCAAAAAACCTACTCACTTCCTGAGTTGATTGGCCAGAAAAAGTCCAAACTTGGTGTTCACCACTAAACTGGTCTTCCCAAAAAGTTTAAAGTTCGGAAACTCAGGAAGCGAGCCTAAGGAACAGGAACCGCCAAGGGGAATGCTCCGAATGCGCGGAACCTTGCAAAAAGTCACATGTCGCGCCCAGCCAACTCCGGGGTTCACACCAGAACTCCCAGGTGCGTTTTCGCCCGGTGCAAAAAAAACATATGACCAGTAGTGAAGTCGATTCCCTTTAAAGCCAAAAAGGCAAAATAAAACATATTCTTTCAGGAAATGGAAGCTAGAGTAACTGGGATCCACCGGGTTCCATAACCAAAGGGACCTTCCCCCACCGAGCCAAAACTGAGAAGCCAGGGGCGAAACTGAGCTGCCGGCCCGGCCCAGCGCACGGACAGCCTCAGAGTGGCGAAGCGAAAAACACTTTTGTTGCTCGCCGCCGTTTGGTCATAGATGACCAAAATCCCCAGACACACATTGGTTTAGCAGCCAGTCATAATATTATTATGGGTTCATTCATCCCAACTGGTGCAGGACGCTGTCCTTCAGAAGGGAGTTGGGCCAACCACCTTGATTAAACATGTTTGAACACCTATTCTTGTAAGTAAGGATCAAGGAGCAATCGGCCGAGGGTTCACTTGGGGCCCAAAAGAGTCCAAGATACTTGCTGAGCCAACTGAAGCTGCAAAGGGAAACGAGGGGGATGCAGCTTCTCTGTCTGCATAAGCTGAGATAAAAACAAAATAGTACAAAGGCAACAGCTTGTGGGAAGCTGTCTTTTCATCTGTGATTGTGTTTGTGCCTGTCTGTCTGTCTGTTGCTGGCGCACAGGCGTATGTGCGTCTGCGACCCCGTAAGAACCACAAGGTTGGCACCATGTTGGGTTCAGCACATATGAGCTGCGGCAGTTATTTACTACATTCGGGCGCTCTCACCTTGTTCTTCAACGCTGCACTCGTTTTGACTCATTGACCTCGTTTTCCAACTCCGCATGTGTCTGTGATTGCTACCACCTTACATGTCGGGCCACTACCACGCTTGGGGGTGTTCCTACCTCGTGTTGTACCTCCCTCTGCATCTTTCTCAAGCATGCTTCTGCCTCGCCTCTACAGTAGTCTTCTGTCAACAAAGGCAGGCGCTCATGTGTTCACGGGCGAACAGCCTTCCAGCTTGTTTTGGCATGAGCTTCTACAACAAAGGCTATGCATCTGACTGCAACGAATTGAATTGGTTGAATTGTGCGGTTGGTGCTTGTACAGCCCGGCCCCCAAGAGGGCCAAAGTACTCAGCCCCACGACCCCATTCAAGGAACGCTGGGTCCTTAGACTCAACCCCATTCCAATAATTTGGCCCTGAGAGTACAGTACCCCAAAGTATAGTTTGACAATGACTTGGATGCCCAGTGGACATGGGACAAAAGGGCATTCTGTTTTGGTTGGTTCGAGATTGAAGGGCAGCCCCTGCCCAAACAAAGAAAAACAAAACAAGGAGAAAAAACAAAAGCAAAAACAAGGGGCGCCACTAGGCCCGCGGAGTGTCTCGGCGCCCCGGCCGCGCCACTCAAGGCTTCCATGCCGCTGCCACGCACCGCGATGAGGACCACGCGGCCCTGCGAAATGAGGCTGAGTGACCCGAAGAGCAACGACTGGTTTGGGAGGCAGTGATCTTTACAACCCTTGGTGTGGTTGCAAACCGATTTTGCAGACCCATGAAAAATAAACAGAATCAGTAAACAAATAACAAACAAACAAACAAACAAACAAACAAGCACGGTGAAGTTGTATACAGGAGATGAACCCGGCTCCCAAGTATCATGATGGTTATAAACTACTTTCTGATGGGGTTGAACATCTACTAAGATGGTCTGGTGGGTTAGCTACATGGCTGGTGAACCTACTTGTAAGAGTTTCGGGGGGGTTCAAGTGAGGTTGACTGAGGTTTCTAACCACTTAGCTAAGTCCCAGACCATGCAAGCAGGTTGGTACTGTGTTCACCTTGGTTTGAAGGGAAACTAAGAAAACAACCTCCATTGTTTGGGTCAGCTTACATTTGCACATGAAAACCAGGAGTATCAAGTAAAACTAAGACCCCCTGCTAAGGCTCACTTCCTACACTTGAAACAGAGGCTCCAAAAGCATTACCGCCATATCATATTCAACCATCTCACAAGACAAAAACAACACATGCACAAGCTCAAGCCTATTCTGAGTGTCAACAAACCAGAAGTTGCTGAGCTCCTGTAAAAAAATGGTAAAACAAGTCCAAGCTTGTTGCTTACCACTAATACAAAGTCTGCTTGGCGTTGAGAGGGTCAACCCAAACACAAAAGTTTCTAGGGCAGACTTTGATTCCCTGCCTTTATGGTGACCCAGGTGACGCGAATGGTGGAAACGGGACAATGTCCTCCCAGAGGACATTCGTATCGTTCCTTTCCACTCACACCATGCAGTCAAACTAAAATATTCAAACGTGCTGCGAACCGCAGAGGTGCTTAAAACACCAAACACAACACAATGGCCTTCCCAAGCGCACAGGGGCACAGGGCACCGTAGGAGTGAAATGTTCACATTGCGCTAACAATGATCACAGTTGCATGTCGGGCAGGAAAGAAACGCATGCCGCGAAGGCGCTAGCAGGCTAAGGGAGGCTCCTTTCTAAAAATATGCAGTCCACTGGCTTCAGCATTGTGAGCAACAAAAAGTGTTTCCTGACCCTACCTTGGCAATGGGCCGTTTCTTTCGTTGAAGGTCAAAGAAGGGGGAAAAATGGATGGTGGGGGCCCCCTAGGAGACACGCATCCAGGTGCACAGGCTTATTCCCCAATGCTCTTCAAGCATTGTCTTTGCTGGTTCTCAGTAGGACATCAACCAAGGGCTTGGGAATAAATCAAGGGATTCCCTGAAGGGAAACCAAAGATACCCTCTCTCCAACTAACATGGCACCTCACAGATCGAGGGTGAAATTGATCGTCCAGGTACCCTCACGCAGGTGCTATGTTAGTGGGAGGGAGGGTGGTTTATGATTCGGGGTCATTCCAACTCATGCCCTGCCTATCGAACCAGCAGGTCTTCTCCACAATGAGCGGTTTGCCAAGAGCTTCTGGTGGTTTGCTGCAAGGAAGGATGCCTAGACCTGGAACCGTGCTGGGGCCAGATTTCCGTTTACACGTGCAGGTTAAAAGAGGCAACGAAGAAAACCCCAAAGGGCAACACAGTTAATTGAGCAGGTCGCTCCCTTGTTTCTTTGTAACAAGTCTTGCCTCAAAGCATAACGTCTATGAACTCGAGCAAAGTCCGCTCCCCGACCTTCCATTTGCTTAAGCCCTGGAAAAAATCCAATAGTGATAGATTCCCTTTAAAACAAACAGGGCAAAATACAAGTAAAAATATTCTTAAGCAAATGGAAGCGACTCCCCGACTCACGGCGAGTCGCGAGTCGCGAGTCCCTCGGTTCCCTCAACTCGCCTCGGGCAGCGCATTGAGGTCCGCAGCCAGCTGGGCAGCAGCCTGGTTCGCAGCTCGTGCCAAAGAAACCTTGCGCCTCCGAGCCTCTTAACGCAAAGAGATGGGCATGAATTTTAATTAGGGGCCCTTTGGTGGACATCATTTAGGTGGGGATTTATGTCCAGCAACCACTTTTCAGGGGGGTCCCCATTAAAAATCATAGCCAAATGGCTTCTCAAACTTGGTCACTGCACTCCAGACAAGCCATTATAGCAAGGGAAAGCCATCATATTTAATCATAGAGGCAACAATACCTGGTTAGCTACTGCACAGGTAACTAGAAGCACTTCCCCTATGGTTAGGTATCTGTTGGTATCGATTCAAATACCAACACAGGGTCCAAACTCTCAAACAAAGGTCCCACACAGCAAGTTGATGTTCATGGGCAACAAGATCATCCTTGGGTAGTATTTGACTAGGGGAAAACACTCAACACGGCAAAGGGGCACCACTGGATGTCTAGAAACTGCAACATAACTGAGATGCTCCTCTCCCTCTTTGCAGGCTTGATGTCAAAGTTATTTTTCTAAACCCAGTGATTACATGTCGCTGTATAGAGGGTATTGCTCCAATCGGGGCGCGTGTACCAGTTCACTCCCTTCTCACCCCAGTCATCCTTTGCTGAGGCCGGGTTCTCCCTTAAGGCGCGGGAAGTCATGAGATGGGATGTTCAGAGCCTCAGCATGTGGACAACATCCATTTCGCGCCATGGATGAAATGAAAATGCAAAAACCAGCTACAAACTGGTGGAGCTTGGCCACCCACAGTGTCCTACTAAAGCTTCAGGTTTTAGCAACCGATAAAACTCCTTGGAAAACAATTCAAAAAGCAGCTACGACTTGTTATAAACAATTGTCCATCTACAGTGTCAATTTAAGCTTCAGGTTTTAGCAAGATATCAACAACTTCTCAGGTCCCCGGCCACATTTCCACTTCCGGAGACATCGTAAGACCTCATCGGCACGCTTCCACCGGCAGAATGGTAAGATGACCAAAGGGATGCGTGCAACCTTCTTGCTGGTATTGGGATCAAGCCGTTTCACCCTAAGGGTCCCATCGACCGAGTTTTATGGCGCCAAAATCACGAGTGTGTTGAGACCCCTACTTCAAGCAATGTGGGGTGTGGTAAGCCCCAGGACCGGTGAGATGTTTGGCTGGCTTAAACGAGTGGACACCCCAACAGAGCCCCACAGGATCCCTTGCTACCTCAGATTTGCGGATTTGAGGGATCTGTATTCCAAAACCTAAAAAACAAAAAATGAAGTGCTTAAACCCCTTGGGGGCAACAGTAAGGGCGGGGTCAAGTCTTTCACTTTCTAATCACGGAAGTGGAAAGGATGTAGTGTTGAGGATGAACCAACGCCCCAAACGTCCACTTCCAAGTGGCAAAATCCGCTAGCCTTGTTTGCCCCGTTAACCTCCAACTAACCCCTTGCCCAAACCAGTGGAATTCCTGCAGAAAAGGGGCACTCTTTTGTTGGCTTTAAATGAAAACCCCTCCAGGAGAAAGGGAAGCACGCCAATGGGGCCCGAGGCTTGTCAGCCTTGGAAGAGCTAACCAAGGCGAAGCTGAGGATTCCTTCGAGCATGGGTGTCCGCTTAGGGCAACCAAATGGGTTTCCCTGGTAGATGATTAAACCACCAGGTAAACCAGGAATCGCCATGACCAGCAGGGCCTGGTAAAAAGAAAAGGCAAATCAGCCACCAGCATGGGGCAAGAGCCCCTTCAGTTTGGGAGATTTGAGGGTCCAGGAGCCTGCGATCCTGTCCGAACAAATCGAGGCCGCGGCATGGCGGAGATGATCTGCTGGGAGTCGGGGTCCAAGGTGACCACGTTGAAGCCGCGCCTGCAAAGCCGAAGCTCGCGTCAGAAAATCCCAGCCCCAAGAAGCCTTTTGTCCCCCGGTTACCTGCTATACATGAAAGGACCTAGCTAAGTTGTCGGGTTCTCAGAGCAAATGACAATGAGATGCATTGAGCAATCCCTGGTTCGTTGGGGGGGAAGCCCCTACAGAGAACAGGCAAGTTTGGAGCTAAGTCAAACAAACATACAAACATCCATCCGTTGCATGGTGAGCGGTTTGGGCGGGGGCGCGATTGGCGCTTTGTTTAACAAGTCGAACACGGGGTTGTCTTCAACATCCCGGAAAGTGGCGCCAGATTCCCGCGGGTGTTCCTTTCATGCAACTCCAGCGAGAGTCACAGTATGCTCCCTTAAACACCCAATCCAAAGAAGACATAATTTCAACATGACCCAAAGGGCGATGCTCAAAACACCCAACAAGGAACATATGACAAGCCCAGAGAGTACCTCGGCTCCAGTGTTTTTTTTTTTTATTCACGTATTTTGAAATCACTTCTGGGGGTCCAGGTGTTTTTTGTTTTGAATCCTCGCCGGGGTGGCCAGGTGTCTTTTTCTTGAATCCTCGCCGGGGTGGCCAGGTGTTTTTTTTTTTTTAATCCACGCCGGGGTGGCCAAGTGGTTTTTTTTTGAATCCACGCCGGGGTGGCCGGGTGGTTTTTGTTTTAAACACATCTGGGGGTCCCTGGTGTTTTATTTATTGAAATCACCTCTGGGGTCCCTGTGTTTTTTTGACCCCCCCAGAGAGACACACACACACACACACACAACACAGACACACACCCCCCCAGAGAGACACACACAGACACACAGAAAGCACGCCCGCAACCGAGACAAAAACACAGCGGGGACACAGAGAGAAAGCACCCCCGCAACCGAGACCACAAACCGCAGGGGGGGGACACACACACACAAAGAGAAAGAACCCTGCGGCTCCCGCAGCACACACACACAGAGAAAGCACCCCCGGCAGGGGGGGGACACACACACACACAAAGAGAAAGCACCCTGCGGCTCCCGCAGCACACAGACACACACAGAGAAAGCACCCCCGCGACCGATACAAAAACACAGCGGGGGGGTTGGGGGGGGCGGCAGCCCCCCCCCCAGACAGACACACACACACACACCACAGACACACACACAGACACACACACACACACACGAGAAAGCACCCCCGCAAGCGAGCCAAAAAAGAAAAGCAGCGGGGGGGTTGGGGGGGGCGGCCCTCCGCAACCGAGACACACACACACAACACAGACACACACACCCCAAGAGAGACACACACACACACACAGCCGCAACACAGACACACATGCACGCACAGAGAGAAAGCACCCCCGCAAGCGAGACAAAAAAAACAGCGAGGGGAGACACACACACAGACACACAGAAAGCACGCCCGCAACCGAGACAAAAAACACAGCGGGGACAAAAAAAAACAGCGAGGGGAGCCACATACACACACAGACACACAGAAAGCACGCCCGCAACCGAGACAAAAACACAGCGGGGACACAGAGAGAAAGCACCCCCGCAACCGAGACCACAAACCGCAGGGGACACACACACACACACAAAGAGAAAGCACCCTGCGGCTCCCGCAGCACACACACACAGAGAAAGCACCCCCGCGACCGATACAAAAACACAGCGGGGGGGTTGGGGGGGGGCGGCAGCCCCCCCCAGAGAGACACACACACACACAACACAGACACACACACAGACACACACACACACACACACACACACACACGAGAAAGCACCCCCGCAGCGGGGGGGTTGCGGGGGGCGGCAGCCCCCCCCAGAGAGACACACACACACACACACCACAGACACACAGACAGCGGGGACACAGAGAGAAAGCACCCCCGCAAGCGAGACAAAAACAGAGCGGGGGGGTTGGGGGGGGCGGCAGCCTCCCCAGAGAGACACACACACAGAGAAAGCAAAAAAAAAGCCCGGGGGGGGGGTTGGGAGACACACACGCAAACAGAAAGCACGCCCGCAACCGAGACAAAAACACAAAGGGGACACAGAGAAAGAGACAAAACACCGCGGGGGGAGAGACACACACACAAAGAGAAAGCAACCCCGCAGCCCCCGCAGCGCACACACACACAGAGAGAGAAAGCGTGCCCGCAACGAGACCCCCCCAAAAAAAAAACAGCGGGGGGGTTGGGGGGGGCGGCAGCCCCCCCCACAAAGAGACACACACACACAGAGAAAGCACCCCCGCAACCGAGACAAACCAACAGCGGGGGGAGAGACGCGCACACAGAGAGACAGTACCCGGCAACCGAGACCAAAACACAGGCAGCCCCCACCCGCCCCAGAGACACACAGAAAGCACACACGCACAGAAAGCACCCCCACAACCGAGACCCAAAAAATGTCCACGCAACCCAGACACGCACAAACAAAAAAGCCGGGGGGTTGGGGGGTGGGGGGGGGGGGGTGGCAGCACGAGACCGTAACCACGCTTGGCGCCCCCTTCTCAGGCATTGAGCGCCCTAAGTTTGGGACTCACTTTTTGTTCTTGTTTTCAACAGTGCTTGATCTCCATGCAACCATTTGCCTCTAGGCCCTTGTGTTACATCATGTGTACATAGTACGTCACTGAAACCCGGGACGAGTCATGCTCCATTCATCCATATTGACATATTGGACTCTCTCCTCAGTAGATCCTACCACAAGGCATCGGTTCCCTTTGAGGATAAGATACACCTTGTCTTCACTCTCAGTCCTGTTTGCCAGCGGGGGGGTTGGGGGGGGCTGCCCCCCCAGAGAGACACACGCACACACACAGAGAAAGCAAAAAAAAAAACGGGGGGGTTGGGGAGACACACACTCACAACACAGACACACCCCCCCCAGGGAGACAAACACACAGCCACAACACAGACACAGACACAGACACAGACACAGCCACAACACAGACACAGACACAGACACAGACACACAGACACACAGACACACAGACACACAGACACACAGACACACAGACACACAGACACACAGACACAGACACAGACACAGACACAGACACAGACCCAGAGAGACACACACACACACACCACAGACACACACACACAGCGGGGACCAAGAGCGAAAGCAGGGTTGCGCCCCCGCAGAAAGAAACACACACAGACACACACAGAGAGAAAGCCTCCGCAACCGAGACAAAAAAAAAGCGGGGGTTGGGGGGGGCGGCAGCCCCCCCCAGAGAGACACACACACACAACACAGACACACACCCCCCAAGAAAGACACACACACACACAGCCGCAACACAGACACACATGCGCGCACAGAGAGAAAGCACCCCCGCAAGCGAGACAAAAAAAAGCAGCGAGGGGAGACACACACACAGACACACAGAAAGCACGCCCGCAACCGAGACAAAAACACAGCGGGGACAAAAAAAACAGCGAGGGGAGCCACACACACACACAGACACACAGAAAGCACGCCCGCAACCGAGACAAAAACACAGCGGGGACACAGAGGGAAAGCACCCTCGCAACCGAGACCACAAGCCGCAGGTGGGACACACACACACACACAAAGAGAAAGCACCCTGCGGCTCCCGCAGCACACACACACACAGAGAAAGCACCCCCGCGACCGATACAAAAAAACAGCGGGGGGGTTGGGGGGGGCGGCAGCCCCCCCCGAGAGAGACACACACACACACAACACAGACACATACACACACACACGAGAAAGCACCCCCGCAAGCGAGCCAAAAAAGAAAAGCAGCGGGGGCAGCCCCCCCCAGAGAGACACACACACACACCACAGACACACACACAGCGGGGACACAGAGAGAAAGCACCCCCGCAAGCGAGACAAAAACAGAGCGGGGGGGTTGGGGGGGGGGCGGCAGCCTCCCCAGAGAGACACACACACAGAGAAAGCAAAAAAAAAGCCGGGGGGGGGTTGGGGAGACACACACACAAGCAGAAAGCACGCCCGCAACAGAGACAAAAACACAAAGGGGACACAGAAAAAGAGACAAAACACCGCGGGGGGAGAGACACACACACAAAGAGAAAGCAACCCCGCAGCCCCCGCAGCACACACACACACACACACAGAGAGAGAAAGCGTGCCCGCAACGAGACCCCCCAAAAAAAAAACAGCGGGGGGGTTGGGGGGGGCGGCAGCCCCCCCCACAAAGAGACACACACACACACAGAGAAAGCACCCCCGCAACCGAGACAAACCAACAGCGGGGGGAGAGACGCGCACACAGAGAGACAGTACCCGGCAACCGAGACCAAAACACAGGCAGCCCCCACCGGCCCCAGAGACACACAGAAAGCACACACGCACAGAAAGCACCCCCGCAACCGAGACCCAAAAAATGTCCACGCAACCCAGACACGCACAAACAAAAAAGCCGGAGGGTTGGGGGGTGGGGGGGGGGGGGCGGCAGCACGAGACCGTAACCACGCTTGGCGCCCCCTCCTCAGGCATTGAGCGCCCTAAGTTTGGGACTCTCTTTTTGTTCTTGTTTTCAACAATGCTTGATCTCCATGCAACCATTTGCCTCTAGGCCCTTGTGTTACATCATGTGTACATAGTGCGTCACTGAAACCCGGGACGAGTCATGCTCCATTCATCCATATTGACATATTGGGCTCTCTCCTCAGTAGATCCTACCACAAGGCATCGGTTCCCTTTGAGGATAAGATACACCTTGTCTTCACTCTCAGTCCTGTTTGTCCCTCCCTCTCTTGTCCCTCCCTTCTTCCCTCTCCCCCTTTCTCCCATTCCTTCCTTCCTTCCTTCCTTTCATTCTTTCTTTCCTTCTTTCTTGCTTTCTTGCTTTGTCGCTCTCGTTTTTGCTTTCTTGCGTATCACACCCTCGAAAGACACCCACTTCGTCCCACCACTTAGTGCGAGCCTGCGCAGTCGAAATGCGCAGGAGCATCTCACGCGGGAACTTTCGCGCGAGCCTGCGCAGTCGAAATGCACTTCAAGATTTTGTGTCATGTCACGGTTGTACGTAACTACCACGAAAAACGGTCCCGGTAGAGCGAGGACCTCAATCTAGCACCGGCCCTTTACACTTGCCGAAATCACCCCTTAGTGTTAGCACACTGTCTGAGAAAAACGAAGTTGCTGGAAGTCACCCAAACGTCTAAAACCAGGTGTAGATTGTATCTGGGTTCTGGAGCTTGTTCCAGTGTAGCTTCGACGCCTGCCGTTGATGCATTGTCAAGGTCGCGCCTGCTCACGGATCTCCAGCCCATCCGTGGTGTTTGTTGTTTTGAATCACGCCGTCAAAGGGTGTTTTTTTCTTTGGAATCACCAGTCGCTCACTCACTTGCTTGCTCGCTTCGTCTCTGAAAAGGTCCCGTTTTGTTTTGACTTCACGCCGTGGTGCCCTGTTTTCTTGCTTAATCTCCAACCCACCCGTGGTGTTTTTTTGAAATCACGCCGTCAAAGGGTGTTTTTTTTCTTTGGAATCACCAGTCGCTCACTCACTTGCTTGCTCGCTTCGTCTGTGAAAAGGTCCTGTTTTGTTTTGAATTCACGCCGTGGTGCCCTGTTTTCTTGCTTAATCTCCAGCCTACCCGTGGCTTTTTTTGAAATCACGCTGTCAAAGAGTGTTTTTTCTCTTTGGAATCACCAGTCGCTCACTCACTTGCTTGCTCGCTTCGTCTGTAAAAAGGTCCCGTTTTGTTTTGACTTCACGCCGTGGTGCCCTGTTTTCTTGCTTAATCTCCAGCCTACCCGTGGCTTTTTTTGAAATCACGCTGTCAAAGAGTGTTTTTTCTCTTTGGAATCACCAGTCGCTCACTCACTTGCTTGCTCGCTTCGTCTGTAAAAAGGTCCCGTTTTGTTTTGAATTCACGCCGTGGTGTTTTTTTTGTTGAAATCACGCCGTCAAAGGGTGTTTTTTTCTTTGGAATCACCAGTCGCTCACTCACTTGCTCGCTCGCTTCCTCTGTCTAAAAAAACACCAAATGAGAATCCAAAATGAGGAAATCCAAAATACACACGGCTGGCGTGAATCCAAAAAAAAAACACCGGTTCCAGAGTACCTCCACGTTCTCTATGACCAAACATACTAATGTTGGTCATGGCCATGGTTCCCCGAATAGGAACATGTACCTTGGTTGTCTGAAACCCCACAAAGCCCAACTAAATGGTCAAAATTTGACCATTGGCCCGCATGCATAGTAAGTAACCAAAAGAACCACCTTCAAACAACAAGAAGGACAATGCCCAATTGAGCTCGAAATCCGGTGGGATCTGCAACGACCCACAGAAAGCGAAACAGCTGGGAGAAAGCATGGGCACAATTCCCCCCCGCCCCTCCCCTTCACTATCCTAAACAAAATTGCGCCACAAGGTCAAAAACCAGACGTTCATTGCCCAAAGGGTCCCTTGGTACCTGATTTGAGGAATCTGAATTTGACGAAAGCCCGAACGAACCATGGGTGCCTGTAATCTTTGGACCCACCTCCCCCCAGCGCACTTGGGGGAGTTCGCGCGCCTTTGGTACTCATGCAGCTGCCACTTCCCCGACTCCAGGGCCACTTTCTTACCATCTCGGCTAGAGGTCGATCGAGTGGATGGCGAATCCCTTCCCAAGTACATCCGTATTTGGATTCTCTGGGTACCACAGCTGGTTGTCAACTGTTCTGCTGTAATCTGCAGGGACACCAGATCTTTGCACCCACCACTGAGAAAGGCCCTGTTTTTCCAAGCCCAAGCCCGTTTGGGGCTGAGTTGAAATGGTCCGAATAGATGGATTCGCTGAATTGGTTGCTTTCCCGCCCTTCTTGGCAGCGGTAACAAGGTCTGCTCCAAAGACGTGGCCATGGGCAGCCCAATAGATCCCCGAAACTACTATACTAGCGAACCAGCTATTTTCCTTTTGGTTTCTAAAGGGAGGCCAGCCCTGGCTACCCAGTATATTGGCATAAACGGAATCACTGGCTAGGGTATGGTTTGTGGTCCCTGAAGAGAAAACCAACAAATTCGGCTGTCGAAACTGATCCGCTAAAAGTGAACAACTGTTTGCGGGTGAAATGGAAACCCACACTTAGCCAACTAAAAACCCAAAAACCTAAAAAACCGGACGGCTGGGAACCTTCAAGAAATCCGAACCCACTTGCTACCATGGAGGTGTTGTCATCCGATTCGGAGCAACCTTTCGTTTTTGCAGGCACCCCCATGGGCCCCATACACAAATCCAAGAGAGCCAGGAGTCGCTGATTCAAAGGGTTAGGTTGCAGGAAAATCTACAGGAAAACAGCTTGTTAAGGGCGTGTTTGCCGGTTTTTAACATGGTGTTCCTTGCAAGGATAAGGTGGCCGCCAAACGCGCATCCGTTACTTTCCCCAAGGCCGCCAAAATATCATGGAACCCTCTCTTATGTGTTTCTCACTGGCTGAGTGCATGGCCCCAAAAAATCAAATTTTAAATTTACCACCAAAATGGTCTTCCCAAAAAAATTAAAGTTCACTTGGGGCCATGTAGATCTTCCCGTAACCAAACCCTTTGATGGATTTCCCGCTTAGCTCTGGGCCAACATAGAAGTCCGCACGATTCCCGTGCCGGTAGGTGGAGCTAACCACCTGGCTTGGGGCCGTTTTGGCCGAGGTCCGTTGGACATACCAAGCGCTATGAAACATGGAGCTGTTTAAAGGGGGGTTCCATATGAGTCACAATCAAAACCCGGCATTAAAATGGTCTACCCAGAACCATGTAAAGAAGTAAGAAGGCGGCCGCAACTACTTCTGGCTGGGACTGCCCCTTACTAACCTTCATCTACACGGGTTTTGATTGTGACTCATATGTTTTTCCAGCAAGGTAATCTAGAAAGTACGTCATGGCGGAAATCTACAGTCTTTGGATGGAGACTTTCTTGCATGTGTCTCAGGTTGAGTAGTCCAAAACAGGACTCTCCTGTGCGAGTGGTGTTTATTGTTTTTAAATCCGTTCAACCATCTATCCATCCTGTCCATCGCGTCCATCCCATCCAATCCATCTAGTCAGTTCAATTCCAAACAATCAACCAAAACAAGAAAACACACAAGCTCAGTAGCGTGTCTGAACGCAACACAAATTCAGTCATATAGGTCCATATATGAACCCATGGCCGTGTTGGAATCTTTTGCAGCTAAATCAACCCGTCAACTCGGGCATACCAGCGGTGTACATGATGTTGACCCCGTGTTTATTAATGTGGGGGTGTTCCTCTGCGAAAGTGATGAATCCCCACTAAAACCGAGGACACCCCCATATAAATAAACAGGGGGTTTATTAATCTGGGGTCAACATTACTCGGTCAACGGACAAAACTACTGGCGATTTCGGGCGGGCCCAGATTGGCGTCCAGGACCCAAACATTTTGGTGCATGCGTCCAGGACCCAGAGCTTCCCTTTGGTGCGTAAGGGTTCCCTTTTCTCGGTTGTTTTCTGCTCCCCTGCTAAAAGTTTAACTTTTAGTGCCCTGCATCGCGATGAGTCGTTACGTGGCCGGTGGTCAAAGACCACGAACCCCGAACGGGTGAGGCAGTACTGGTGTGCGAAGATCATACCCCAAGCGCTGTGGCTTGAAAGGTCATGGGGGCCGAAGCCAAACAACAATGGCTGTTCCTCTCAATGGGGGAACAGGCATATGGAAAGGTCAAAAGCCCGAAATAGACAAAAACGGAAAGGGAGGATCCAAGAAGGAAGACAGCCAGACTAAGTCAAGGCTGAGTGCGAGTTCCTGGAAGGACCGAAAATAAGAAAATTGAATTTCGAGTCAGTGGATTGTCCACTCCTCGTCAAACCTTGGCAAAAAACAGCAGCTTCAAAAATTGGACGGACGAAGCCAGTCTACCACACAGCTGTAGCCGGGCAGGTGGCAGGGGCAATTTTGGGGGAAAGCGAAAAGCGAAAGGAGTCCCAGGGGGAAAGTCCAACATACGCCGCTGCGGACAAGGTAAAGACTCAAGTTGGCAGCTCCGAAGGGCTTCAAGCTGTTGCAATCCACTGTCAAAGCATCTGCAAGGACCAGCAGTCCAGAATAAGTAGGGGAAGTGCATAAAGAGCTCCACTGCCAGAGCCCCCACGGAGGGCGTTGAACAAAACAAAGCCCTGGGCAAAGCTGCAGGTCCCACTGTAAAAGTCCAACATACTGCGGCGGTCATGGCAAAAGCGCAGGTTCGTTTCACCCACTGCGTAGATGGGCAACTGCACGCGACATAGGCCACTAAGGAAGCGCCATGCCTGAATAAAGCGGCTTCAGGAAACTGAAGTTCAAAAAAAGAGCCCCAACAGAATCCAGAAACGGAACGCCAACGGCGTAGCATGGAGAATTTCCAAAAATGGCCGGGCCGCCTAGGAACACAACCGGTGGTCGCAGAAAGCTGGTCACGGTTGCAAGAGGGGTCACATCCGGGTTGAACCTTGCAGGTATCATGGTTCAAGCAGTAACCAACCACAGCGACACACGAGAGGGGCACAGCGAGGCACCATGGCTGAAAGGTGACGATGGCGTGAATGCTCATGTCAGCACAACCCGCCGTTACCACGGGGAGGTCCTGAGCCACAACGGCTTTAACTTTTAGTGGTTTAGTGGCAAACCCATTAGTTGGCAAAAAGTTAAAGTCAAGCAAAATGCACCAAAGTTTTGAAAACACTCACATTCAGCCTTGATCGTTTCGCTTTGAACCAGCCGCAAAGTTGGAAAAAGAAGGACGCCTCAACACAACCAAAAGACACACGATTATGGGAGTGAAGTTTAACCTTTTGGTGGAATTCACATGATCTATGCCTCCTCCAAACTTGGAGGGTGTTCCCGATTCAAATTGGCAATGCAAAAGGTATGCATACAGCCGTTTCCAGAGGGCCCCTTGGTGCTCCACATTTGTTGTAGGTGTTGCTTCGTTCCAGAATCCGTTCAATACAGATTCCTGAAATCCGCAATGAGGTACCAACAGACCCTCTGGGGTTGGTTATACATGGGCGTGTTTTTGTTGGTACCCTTTGTGGGGTGCATTTCAAGGGGAACAACAGGACAACCACGAATATTGGGGTACCCTGCTGTGGATGGACGGAATCCTGCACCACCACACAAACCCTGGAAGATTCGATTCCCCGGTAAATACCAACAACATTGTTTCAACCGCAGTATTTGGAGACAAACCCACACGATTTCCGTTGGTCCTCAGTTCCATCGATTTCTAAGTCCGGGTCCCGCACCTTGGCCACTTTGCGGCGCTGAGGTTGAAGCCCCTCCTCCTCTCCTCGAGAAAAATATGGGGCGTCGCCCTCGCCCCATGGGTTCAGCATAACATAAACCCAGGTGATACTGTGGATGATTGAAATCGAAATCCATTTCGAACAAATGAAAGCATGGTTGAAACCATAACGTTGGTTGGTATTTACAGAGTTGAATCACTCCGTTGGGCCTCTGAACGGTGGTGCGAAATGGATTTTGATGTCAACCATCCACAGTATCCCCAACAACCCAAGGGAAAGCCTCAGGAACCGCATCTCCCTTTGAACCCTGGCTGAAAGCTGCCGCAAAAAAAAAAAACAGAGCTTCTTTGGGCAAAGACCTAGGCGGGTTGAAACGATCTGCCTTTGCTGTAGGCCAAAGGCCGACAACAGGAAACCGGTGGGCTTCAAAATGACTTGTGCATCAAACAACTGGAGCACCCGCTCACATGGACATGGTGCGGATTCCTACTTTAGACTTTAAAAGAGACATGGCCCAAAATGAGAGCACAGCACGCAAACAGGTTGGTGACCTTCTGTTGAAACCTCTGTTGTTGGAGCTTTGAAGCAAAAGCTTGCAACGTAGTTTTGACAGCTCTTCAGTGTACCTATTGGCATGTCCCGTGAAACTCTATCCCCGCTGAACAACCGCCGTTTGGCTCTACCTGCGGATTACCTCCCCCATTCCACATTGCCATGGGCAAACCGTAGCTACCCTCTTATCCATGTTAACATGAGGAAAATGCCTGGGAGAAGGGAAAAGAACCTAAAAGACTATAATCTTCTCCAAAAGGGACCCGCTGGTGAATTGGATGTTCGTGGACGGAAGGGTATGCCCGTCAGTGTCAGATGCTTGCCTGTGGGATGATACATACCTACCCTCCCAACAAACATTGTTTTGGTGCAAAGGAACTAGCGAGCCAAAGGAACGTTGTTTTGCAAATTCGGTGTCTGTGTGCGAGGACTAAACAATTTACACCACAAACATACCTCACCATGGTGTCAGTGAAATGTATATGGGGGGTGCAATCATGTTTCTCTCAAGATTGACCTAGTTACAACATCTTGCTGCACCTCCCAAAACATCCCAGCGATAGGCCGCTCCTCTTCGACTTCGAGGCCCTGTCTTGACCACCTCGGGAACGCGAAACGCCGCGCAAACCGGCCAAAAAGCGCAAGGACACCAAACATGTTTTAAACGGGACCCCCTTTCATTTTTGCAGGCCCCTTCCAACAAACATGGGCTTGGTGCACAGGCACGCGTTCCGGAAATGAAAGTTGCCGTCCCAGATTCGTCTGTGCACTGCCATGTTTGGTGGGAGGGCACCTCAGGAACAAACAAGTACCTAACTAAACCTCCAGTTTGCCCCGGACTTGATCTTCCCAAAAGTACAAAGTCCAAATACTTGGAAAGCGCGCAATAAATTGATCGGGGCCTACTCCAAACCGACAAGCCCTGGACCCCAAACCTTTGGAATGCAAAGCATCTAACTCTTGGGGCTAACTTTCGCTGACAAACAAATGACAAAGCAAACAAAGGCAACAAATGTTCAAAGACTTTAAAGAGAAGAGAACAACTGGCTTGACCAGTCTCTCGTACATTTCATCCGGCAAACAAACACCAAAATATATCTTGTCTGAAGTGCATGCCGTCTGCTCCAAACCTGGACTGGAGAAAATCACATGGATATCCGATCCGGAGCATCTTCAACTGGTCGATAAACATTCACTCCTCAGATTTTGGTCTGCACCAGCTACCGTTCGTTCTGTATGTTCCAAATCAGATGGCTGGGTTCTAGCAAATACAATACCTATTGAAATCACTCGCGCCAGTTGAAAGCGAAAGTGGGGATACTGCACTAATGCTCCCACCGCCCGATCATCTGGCTGTGGCTCACACGATGCACCAAAACACAACCTGAAATGGCACCAAAGACTAACACCTGCAAAACCCTACCTCTGAGAAGTTTTGAGCCACGCCCATCTCTTGAAATGTGATTCTGTTGAGAAATCAGCAGATCCATGCGCAAAAGTCGGAAGGTCTGACCTGATATGCTGCAAACACGACGTCCATAGAGTCGCATGGACTCACCACAAAGCCCAAATAAGTTCAAAGTCATGAATCGACAATGCAGCCCAGTGATTCCGGTTGCCTGTATAGTAGCTGAGCAAGTGCTTGCCTCCCTTTAAAAAGCAACAGGAGAATAGCGAGTTGCCTAGTGTAGTGGCAAAACGCCTGGGATCCACCGGCTAAGGCAATGCAATCGACTACGAAACCTCTGGGCGCCGAGCGCCAGCTTCCAGGCTGCTGGGCGTCAAACTGGCGACGCGAAAAAGCGACCAACTGCCCAGTGGCCATGGGACAAACGGCTCACCCCGCGGTTTTTTTTCCGCGTGGGTCGAAGTGATTGAAGGGAAGCTCACTGAAGCAAAGAGGATGCAGCGAGCCACAGCTTGTGATACAAACCCGTGTGAAGCCAAATTTTGAGGTCAATGTACGAGCACCTCCCTGTTGGCCTCTGGCCATGAATTTCAATGAGGAACCAGTGCGCAGCAAATCCATAGTTGTTTTGTCCAACGAGATTTCTGGAGGATGTCCGAAAATTCGTCGAAATATGATATATAATGTTCACCTACGATTAGTAATTGGTCTCCAAATATTGTTTATTTGGGGCCCCGGACTGACTAATCAATGGGTCCCAAATAAAGTTGTTTGGCCAGCCCCCCTCCCAAAGCAACCAGCTCCCCATCCCAGCCTCTTCAAAAATAATCCCCTCATCAAAATCCCAAACCCACCCCGTTCTTGCCAAAGCAAGTTCCTTCTTTTGGTGCTCAAAATCCAAAACTACAGGAGTTCCCAGACCTCATGTTTTTGTTTAATCTCTTTGTGTAACAAAAAACAATCCCACAAATTGGGTACCGCACGGGAGCCTGAATCTCATGCAACAACTGTATTTGAGAGCGGTCCCCAAATAAAGTTTTTTGGCCAGCCCCCTTCCAAAAGCACCAGCTCCCCATCCCAGCCTCTTGAAAGCAAACAAAGCAGCCAAAGCAGCCAAAGCAGCCAAGCCAATTCCAAAATGAATTTGTAACACTGAAACCAACTAGAAAGACTCTCCAACTCCAAATTTGCAGTTGCAATACTAAAGTCAATTGAAAAGACTCCCGAGAAAATGCAATTCTATGCAATTATTTCCCAATACTTAGTTTGGTATTGGTGTACTTTTCCAACTTTGTTTGAGGGACCTAAGTTGTTTGTGGGGGGAGGGGTTTATAAATCAGAGGTGGGCATGATATATCTATATATATATAACATAGATTTAGTAGCCAGAACCCCCCTGTCAACTGCTTGTTGGAAAACCCTACGTGCTGTCCAAAAAGCCGTCGTTGAAGGTTTAGCAATGTTGGTTCCCAAACATTTCAGGCACCACGCAAACCAGCCCCACCCGGACCTAAACCGGCTCCCCACAGCCGTTAAGGCTTTTGTTGGGCCTTCCCAAAGCTAGTGGTGCCTGCGCCACCACATTCATTTCACTCACGCCATGATGAGGGATGCTGGGCAGAAGCTTTCTTGCCATGCAAGGAGGGGAGATTCACCAAGCAGGAGGCCAGGTCAGCTTTAGCGCTCAAGCACTGTGGGTGACTGGGGCGAGCTATCGGGGTAGGGTTCAACATCCGCCTCCTAGGCCTCACTTCTTGGTTGCAGTTGCCCCGTCTGCAAGCAGCTTCACTTTTTGAGGGTTCAATACGTAATGGAAAACCATTAACTTCTGAAAAAGGTTGAAGTCTAAAGATCCGTTACCCAATAGCAATCAAGATTTCTGGACCCAGTCCACGTCGACATGAAACTTTTTGGCCTTCAATTCAAAGAAACTGCCTGCAGGCCGGCCCCTGTTCCCCGCCTCTTCGGCAGGTGCACCTTCTTGTTGCAATGCGGGCAATTGAACGACGGAGGCGGGGCACCTGAGCGGTTCGAGCCGATTAAATGCTGTCTCAGAAGAAAACCGAAGCCCCAGATTTGCATAAATACCCCGAAGCCGGCGTGTGCGTTTGAGGGTTACCTGTCATCGCAGGAGAAGAAAAAAAAGGCGCTCATCTCCTCCAAACCGGTCATGTGTTGAATTCGGATTCGTCCCGGACGGTGCTAGTCAGACCTGATCCCCTAGGGGAGAACCATCTATTCTAGAAGGATCCCTCTGGATGAATCCGAGGATAAACATCCAAGTAACCTGGGTGCTGTGAATCCCGCAAAAAGTGTAACTTGTTGCAGGTCAAAAGGCAATATGAGGGGAATCCAAAAAGTTAAAGTCTAAAGGTCCAACCCAATAGCAGTAGAGTATGTAGGCCAATCCACTAATGTTGACCCCTGACGTGGAGTTTTGCGGGGGTTGTCCTTCTTTTGGGAGGCTTTTCTCACTTTTGGAGGGAAACCCCCCTTATAGAAAAGGAGGAGTTGATCATTTTTCGCTTTTCACCTCCGCGGGCCTTTGGAGCAGAAGCCTTCGACTAGCTTCGGTGCCAGGAACTGAGACCTCTCCGCGCAACGCAAACTTCGACCCAGAAATCAAAGGCGATCACAGCCTTGGGGTTCACGACTAAAAGTGAACCAAACTTTGGGAAAGCCAGAAGAAGGTCGATTCGCTTTGGGCAAATGAGTTTAGGGACATACAATCAAAGCCAAATCTGAGGTAACCCTTAATGGGTGGTTTGCATTGGTGGTTTGTGGGATTTGAACCCCTGATTCTTGTAGAGATCAGGTGAGACACCACCCCTTAGCCTTCAGACCACAATCCAAACCGGGAAGCTCAATGTCAAATTGTTGAGCTTTGACTTGTCGTTGATCTTCCTTTGTGCCAAATACAACTATGGAAACCCTGGATTTTCAGGCTAGGCTTCCAGAGGTGTTTGCCCTGCGACTTTCAACCTAGGGCTTGAATTTTGACAACATGACGCTTACAACCATGGCGTTGGTGAGTTGCCATGGACATGTTTTTTCCATCGCCTCCAGAAGCCGGCAAAAGCAAACGGGGTTCCATGCGCCTTCTTGTTGGGGAGTGCCTTGGGAAGGGAGTCATCTAGGGTCATCAAAAAATCGGCACCCCTGTGTCAACATGCAGCCGAGACACTCATCAGGTCCATGATGCCCTGCTCAGCACCTGCGACGTGTGGATAGACTTTGAAGGACCTACCCCCTGAAATGCTGAACAAGCAGGATGTTCTAGGTGGTGCTCTTATAATTTCTTGGTAAACAAACAAGAAGTGTCAGTGTACATGGATAATCTGGGGGGTGAGTGCGACATGCGACATGACTAACCCAACTTATCCACCTCTGTTGCCCAGGTTGGACCCAGAAATAACAAGTGAGAAAACATGGATGAACAGGAGGAAACCAGAAGGTCAAAAGGCGGATTCGCCTTGGGCAAGTGAGATAAGGGTTCTACAGGGGAGAGTTCCCTTTGGGATGTTTGGCCCAGTGACCCTGGCTGGCGCGAACCTCCACGAATCCCACCCAATCCGCCCAAGCTCCACCTCAAAAGCGGGCTGAACGGGAGACCAGGAAAACAAGGACGCCAGCTCTGAAATGGGGCCCTGCACCCTCGTAGTCAACCAGAAAAGCATTCAACACCGATGCCATCAATGATCCTGGCCAATGGACGTACCTAGTGCTTTTCGTCAGTGATTGCCTTGTGCTGCAGTGATCCTGGTTAAGGGATTGCGCAGTGCTTCCATGTCCTATCCAGTCATTTTTACATGAATGATTTCTCTGCTTACCTATGGCCTCCATTTGCTTAAGCGCCCTGGAACAAATGAAAGTTTTTCCAGTGCGAGATTCCTTTTAAAACAAACAACAGGGAAACTCATTGTCTTAAGCAAATGCATGCCAGAGCTTGAACTTCGATTGGAACAAATATGGGCTGAAACACGCATAAGGATCCCGCTCATAAGGTTCCTGCAAAAGCGCATTGCCTCGAACTACTCGCCTCGAGGATTGGCAACAACAGAGTCCGAGCTTTTCGTCTGCCTCTAGAATGATCGCGTCAGAGCGTTCTGCCAAGGATCTCCGGGAGTGAGACTTGAGGCCACCTCTAAGCTTGTGCCCCCAAACCATTTGTTCTTGGTTCTGATCCATAGCTGTCTCACTTCCGAAGTGCATGGCTAAAACGAGCCACAACGTTTGTCCGGAGGTTTTGGCCCAAACTGGTCTCCCCGGAAAGTTCTCAGAGTCCAGGAAGTCAGGCACTGAGTTAGTGAGCCGTTGCGACAAGGGATCCCAACAGCTTCGCTAACCCCACAATGCAAAAGGCTCACCAAGTTCATTCTAGAGCCGCACTGAAGCTTGGAGCGAAGCTAACATCCAGTTGCCCAAAGAGATGTCAAGGGGCTATATTTTCTGGGCTGTCCTCAGATCCCCTGCTAGCAGATTAACTTTAGCGGGTTAAATGGACCCCCCTTTAAACCCTACAAACCTCAACACCGAACGGAATGGCCGGGAGCCACCAAGAAACCTGAATGCTAATGGCACATTTAGACCCACTGCCAGACGATCGATGGTTGACATGGGCAAATGATGGAAGCTCGTTAGACAGGCAGCAAAGTCTGCCAACGGCAAGCAAAAGCGGTCAATGAATCAGCCGTTCTTCTATGAGATCCAATAGTTAACATTGATGACAACCCCCTTAGCTAATAGTCCATCTTAAGATAAGATCTATCGTAACTAATGGACCCCCTTGATTCCGAGATTAGAAAGGGGTTGATCAATACTCCTGGCCCCCAGTTTTGGGTGCTTGTCCCATTTAGTGGTTGACATATCACATCTTTTTAGTGGTTGTCGCTCCAATGGTCATCCCATGTATCACGGACCTTTCCATCAACCCCCAGATCAATCTTACCTGGGCGGCCCTCAAATCCCCTGCTAAAATGTTCACTTTTAGTGGGGCAAATGGAAACCCAACCACTAAACCAACTCAAAAAAGCACAAACCCAGAGAAACCGACTAAAACAAAAGAAACCTAAGGAACCCGCTGGCTCTTAGCCACCCAGTGTTCCCGTGCGAGGTGGGACCCGTTTGCGCCTGGCGCGCTGCTGGGCCATTGCGGCGCTGCCCCGCGCGCCGGCGCCGCCCCAAAGGAAGCGCCGCTTTTGGAGGGCGGCGCCGAGCTGGGGCGCCTCGCAGCGAAATGGCGCCTCTCTTGGACCCCTCGATTCAATGCACTGTCCCATCCTTTCCAGGGATCTTTCCATCCAATACAATAGGGGTGCCGCCCAGAACAGGGATGGCCTCAACGAAGGGAGCCTTGCATGAGTGGGTCCGGGACCCCGTGCAAGGAGGTTTCTTGTGCGTCAGGCGGTCAAGGCAGGCTTCGCGGCTAGGGTCGTTGCCAGCAGACCCTCGGCACTGCTGCCGGTCCCCTTCATTGACGACGAGGGCGATGGGAAGGACCCATAGCGAGACATAGTTGGGGTGGCCAGCCTGTGCGCCTCGATCAGGGCGACTTGAACTCGCTTGACGTGGCGGGTAACCGCTGTCTCGTGCCGCCCCAAGAGCTCCTGCAGTAGGCCGAGAGTCATGACCGCGCAGCGAACCGCGTCGCTGAAGTGCTCGCAGCGGCTCCTCCAAAAATGATGTGTGTTCCATGTGTTGTTTGCCCACAAGAATGACTGGGCGTTCTCTGGGGCAAATCGGAGTTCAGAGGGGCTAACCAACTACTCAAACAACTCCCCGAACACCTAGGGAGAAATGGCAGATTCACAGATTCGGCACTTACACAGGCAGGATCCTTGGTGGGAACCATGCATAAAACTTACCCACTTACCACGCTTAGTCACTTGAGCGGCTTCTGACCAAGATTTTCCCAGTCCAAGCGATAGGAAAATGGCTCGAATGGCGTTGCGGGCAATCTTCCCAAGCAGGTCCTGTGTAAAGTGTGTTGATTCTTCAAGGGCGCGAAATCCAAAAGCCCCGGTCGGTCACAAGAGGTTATTTCCAATAACATGGTCTGTTTGTTAGCAACGCTATTCCTAAAATGAGCAGGCCCAGCTCTGACCCTCAGTTTGTTCCTCAGTAATTAGAACTCCTCCGAAGAGGGGCCGCCCTTCACTAATCACTACCCAACATTTCTCATGCATTCCTTAGGGCTGGGATGACTTTTTTACCATGCAGGGACCTACTTAGACGGTCACCTTTTAGGCCTTTTGTCCTTTTGTGTGCTTCCTTCAGGTTCCGTTGAACCAACGAACAGTTCACATTTTGCCAGGGCTAAGTCTTGCCAAATGTCGAAGTACCATTGCTGGGCAAAATCCATATTCCGTTTCGCTGGCTTTGTCCAGCCACAGGGCTGTACTCCGCTGCAAACCCAAATTTCATGTAGTTTGTGTAGAGCGATTCGAAACCACCTCTAAAACACAAAACCAATCCAATCCAAGCAACAAATTCATCCCCTCCCCATAATGTTGACTACGCATTCATAAACCCCTGTTTATCAATATGGCAGTGTCCCTGGTTATAGTGGGAATCATCACTCTTGGAGGGAAACACCCCCATACGAATAAAAAAGGGGCTTATTAATCCGGGGTCAACATTACACCCCGTTCTTTTTTGTCTCTCTCTCTCTCTCACGAAGCCGACTTGGGAGCTCCGGGCGAGCGCCCGCGCTCCGCCGCGGCGGCTTTGAGCCCGGCCTCCTAAGGCTACGAGCTCGGGGCTCCGAGCTCCGGTGCTAAACCATCCAACCGGCGGTTTCCTAGGGGGCCCCGGGGTTCTTTCCCGCAGTTGCTCAGCACCAACAAGCAGAACACCAGCCATTTTGCAGGTCAGCTACAAAAACAACCACCCATATCATCCCATGACAAAAAGGAGGTGGACCATTTTGCAGGTCAGCTAAACAAGCAGCCACCCATATGGCCATGGGTCAAACCCCCGTACCCCCAGTGAACGTCCCAATCTCCACTAAAATAGACTAAAATGGGTGGTGCACCTATCCCAAAATGGTGCCATTGGTTTTCACCCACAGCCATATCTGCAAATCCCCTCATCTTGTTAGGAGGGCTTCCGGGTGGCGAGAGCCTGGAATAAGACTCGCTTCCGAACGAGTGGATTGGCAACAACAGAAGTCTAACGGAACTTTATATTGGAACACGACTTCCGTCCCTGGAAAGGCCTGTCTTCCGAACGTATGGGAACTTCTGAATAGAAACATACACGGGTGTGTGCTAGCAAATGTCCCCCAAGCAAGGGTGGAAGAACCCGTGAGAGGGACACAGGAGCAAGAGGTTTAAAATCCTTCAGCGAAAGTGGCAAGGAGCAGGGAACAGCTAAGCTGAGTTGCCAGGATTAATAAGAAACACGTCTTTGTGTGAGGTCAGGCTTTTGAGCCGCTTCAAGGGAACGCAAAGGGAAGCTATCATTTGGGGGGAGATTCCAATTCTTGCAAACCCATATGATGCAATGGGCCATGTGCGACCATAGGCAACTGACTCACTTACCATTCACATCCTCCAAATCTCCCCCAAGCTGATACTTAGCAATGGCAGTTTGGTGAGTGGATTCGCCCCATGTCATCCCTGTTGCCAAAACAAGTTCAAAGCTGTTCTTTGCCACTAAAAGTGTTTTTCAGCATCCGAAGCACCAAGATGACATCTGGGATCCACAACAAAAACACCCTTGCAACGGGGCCAACATGAAGCATATCCAACATGACCGCTGCTCACCTGGGTGGCTTGTCTTTGTTGTAGGTGCCCAACAACAGACAGGCTGGGATGTGCTTTGTTCAAACTGTAAAACCCACATCAAAAAGCACCCCCAAAAAAAAGAACCCCTCAAAAACCACCAAAAGACAGACCCTCTTCCGTTCAAAATCTGAAAAGAGGACAGACCCACATCAAACCCCAAAGCTCCGCCCCATCTCCTTCCAATGTGAGCGGCTGCGGGGAGACCTCTGCTGTGTGACCCAGCAGAAATCAAGGTCAGTTGGGGTCTACCTGAACCCTCAAACTACCCAGAAAGAAAGGGAATCTAACAATGTTTGAGTCGGAATGGAATTTTGGAGGGAAATGGTAGCTGGATTAGAGCGTCTTGCTAGTGGAATAGCTTTCGGTATAGGCGTGGAAAGGTTCAAATGACACTGAAGGACATAATAAGGGAAGATGGAAAGGGTTCAACATTGGGCAAGCTGTGTGTTGGCTCAAGTGGGCAAGCAGCCATTCTCCACAAAGCCAGAAGGCTTAGTTCTGTCGAACCAAATCGCAACCCAGATTTGGCGTGCAAGACAGAGCTGGCAATTCCATAGCGGGAACTCCTACGCGTGTGGTCACAAAATGGAAAGAGTCTGAAAGGTCTCAATGTGAACAAAAACAAGACTCCACATGAGTCGCAACCAAAACCCGGTATTAAAATGGTCTACCCAGAACCATGTAAAGAACTAAGAAGGCGGATATCCGCAGCTATTTATCGTTGGGATTGTCCCTTACTAACCTTCATCAATCCCCGGGTTTTGAGCAAGTGGCTCACATGATCAAGGACCCCCGAGTGCAAACACCCGGTCGACGTTCCCTCGATGTTCCCTCGAGGGAAATGCACGAGAAAAACACAGGCTTCGGAAATGCATTCCTTCGAAGCATCGAAGGTGCGGCTGTGAGACCTGTGAAGGCCAAAACTGGGGTTCAACCCAGTGGGTCACGCAGTTACCCCCATCCTGGGTGCCTTGGTGCCTTATATTGGCGAATTTGAGGAATGAGTTGACGAAATCAGCCCAGGATGAGCCCTAAAAAAGGCCTGGTTCACAAGCTTACCCCTTAAAACTCCAAGCCCTGGGGAAGTTAATCTTTTACAGACATATAGGCCATGTTACCCCCAAAAAGTTGAAAAGTTGTGCTTTTAAGAGGTAAGCGAGGAATAGCCCCCCCTGCCCCCTCCCCATAACCCACCGTTTTCCATGATTCTTTCGGCCAAGTGTGGCATCCTGGCTCCAAGCCCCCACACTCGCGCTCGCGCGAGCGATCGCGGGCGCGCTCGGGGCTTCTGAGGCCTATCCTGGCGCCAGCGCAGCGCTGGGCGGTTCGCCATTCTAAGGTCTGATTTTCCATTCTCTCCACCCAGCAATGCTTTTGAAGAGAAGAAAGAGGGTGCAGCTAGAATTGTGGGTAACCAGGGTAGGTGTGATTCCCCGTTCTCTCCACCCATCCTTCTCTTTGAAAACCACCTAGTTGCCAGGGTTTGGCAATGATCTTGAAGTGAAGGAGCCCTGTGGGTGACCAGGGAGAACTCTCCCTGGAAAAGCCTAGAGGTCAACATAATTACCTGTCTACAATGGAAAGTGGAAGCACTGCGCAAATAAATGAACTCGTCCCATTGAAAAGCGTGTGTTACTCTCCAAAAGGGATGAACTCGCGCGCCCCTCTAGTAATCATTCTGGGGTGTACAAGACGTGTACAAGTCTGGGGCTAAACAAATTTGATCTTTTGATGCACGCTGCAAGGGCGGTTTTGCTAGTGGGGACTCACGCTGATTTTGAATCGCAAGACCAGATCAGCCCCTAGCCATGGTTGGCTCGGGTCTTCGATTTACACATCCCGTAGGTGGTTTATCTCATTCGCAGGCTTCATCCATCCCAGTGGTGCGAAAAGGACTTTGTCCATCCACATGCTTATTGACCCCTAAACATCCCCTCGGTTTGTCTGCTGCCTAAAGTCTCAGCTGCCGGGTTTGAGTTTGTGTTCGCCGGAACGGGGAAAGAAGACTTTTCGGAAGCTCAGGACACACATGTCCAAATGCACAGTTCGTCCATGCCACTTTTGTTGGGCTCAGGACCCACTAAAACTGGGCAAGTACCAAGTTGCTCATGTTTGCGGATTTGGAGGAATCTGTCTTTGACGAATTTCCGAACGAACCAAAACCTAAAGAAACTACCACGGAGTACTTACGGAGCCTCTGGACACTCAAACAGGGCTGCCTTTGGTCCAAAGGCTCTAGGCTTCAGAAAGGGGCCTTCATGAGTCTGGGCTAAAGGGGAATCCAACCACTAAACACTAAAAAGCTGAAAGGGTAACGGGCTGGAAGCCACCAAGGGGTCAGGTCGCATTCCCCTTGAGGTTGCATGGGAACGTCTTTTTGTTGAGGCTCGGTGCCCCCTTTTTGCGGCTGGTTGAAGCGGAACGCCAAAGTCGCCCACGTTGGTGGACCCCTATTCAAGACATACCCCATACGTGTGTGGGTGTAGGTTTGCAGAGAACAGCTTGAGCACACAGCCATGTTGTCTGCTCCCAACATGAAGGCCAGTGGCTGGATGTTGAATCAAACTAGATGTCCTCTTTCAACGGAAGCCCGCCAAAGCAGAATTGCTGAATGATGGCCACCAGATGATGCTTCAACCGCAGGAACATACCTTGGTTGACATTGGACGGGGAGCAACCATCTAAATTTTAGCCGTTAAGTGGCTGGATTTCAAGCACTAAAACCACAATAATTAAACAAAAACAGGGACCTCCTCAAAGTTTGAGGAGTTCCACGGGAAAACTTCGAGGCTCGACACCTCACACCCAAGTCCCGACTCAGGGCAGAGCGGTCGCCTCTTTTCAGACAAACCAAGATGGGCTGATCATCTTTCCACTCTCCCCGATCGATCCCCTGCCAAGAGCTTAACTGTTGGGTTAAGCGGACACCGCGAAACCAACTAAGTACCTAGAAAACCTCCACTAAGCCAACCAACAATATATATATATATATATTTAAAGAAACAAAAAAATAAAACTAAAAAATAAAAATAAAACTCCACTAGACCAACTAAGTACCTAAAAAAACCTAAGGAACCGGACGATTCGCTGGGAATCGCCCGGTCTCAGAGACTCCGAGCGATGCTGGCGCCTGGCTTCCACGTTGGCCCCAAAGCCATCGAAGCCGCCCGCGGGCGACAGTGGGTGCCTGGCGACTGCGACCGCGACCGGGGGACCTGTAACGCATCCGGTGCGCGGGAGCGGTGAGATTCCGGTGGCCTCTGGGCTGCCCATTTTCAGATCCCACGCTAAAAGTGACCAACCTTTAGGGGGTTAAATGGAAACTACCACTAACCACTAAAAGGCAAAAGCGAAGGGGATGGCTGGGGGCCACAAAGTATTGTAGTCGGCAACCAAGGCCTTGCCACCCTTTAAAAATACAAAAAGAACATAGCTTGTTATTTCAATGCATTATGAATTATAGTGGTCCACTGTGCAGGATTAAGCTTTCAAATGGTACTTCCTTGGCGGTTCGTTGATTTCCTACAAACAGTTAAACGGTTGGTGGGATATCCGAATACTGACCAATCCCTCTAAATTATTAAACTATAAGTCGGGTGTGACTGAAAAATGCTCTTAAACACGGGCTATTGTGCCCAAAGTTATGGGGTTGGTTCCTAAAGCCCAGGAAAGGGAATAGGTATCATGGCTTGATTCCTCAGTCTCAAGCGCCTGCCTTTGGATGGCTCGTCTTTTTTGAGTTGGTACCAGTTTGTTTGGTGGGTTTAACGAGAAGCCAACAGAAACACCACTTTTGGTGGTCCCCTAAAAAAAAAAACTCCCTTTGCAATTGCGCGCTTTTCCCATTGCATTTAAAGGCCGAGAAGGCTCCCAGGAAAGAATGCGGATTCGTTAGAAACCCACCCCTCGCGCGTACGGGTCCGGGTCCCAACCCGGAACGGAAAACGGCGCCGTCTAAACTCTGCCTTGATGTTTGGAGCCGCCTTCCATGGCTGGGAGCTTTCAGGTGCTCAATTTTTTGAGTGGAGTGCCCAACAAACGTCTGAACTTTTCGATATCCCAAAACGTATGAGGGTGGCGCAAAAGAGCGGCCAAGACAATCGAGGAAATGAAGTCCACGCCTCCAACAACCCATGGCTTGCCGAATTGAGCTGGAAAGGCCCTGTCTCTTCAAAGGGGCTTTGTTGTTAGTCCCCTTCTATGTGGGGCCGTGAGATTTCATCAGGGCTGCAAACCACTTTCCTGATATACACTGCGCCTTGAACAAACATTGGCGCCCTTTGCCACGGTGCTCCTTCCCCATCACTGCAGGGTTGTTCAAACAAAAGTCCAATTTTGGACTGTCATTTGCCTGAGGGGGCGCGGGGGTCAGAAAAAGCAGCCCCGTTTTCACAGCCCAGACTTGGTCATGGCCAAAAAGTGGACCCAAGCTAGCAACTTGCGCAGGACAAGGGCATCCTTGTGAACAAGCGTACCAAAAAAAAATAATGCATCCCGTTTGGCTGTTCTTGTGAGAAATATCAAGCATTGGCTACTTAGCGCCCAACCGATTCAACGCAACAAAGAAAACACAAAAAAACGAACCAGCCTTCGAGTGTTGGGTGCTGGGCTGCTGGGCTGGAACAGGCTGTGACACAGTTCGCCCCTCTTTGGCCAGGCCTCTTACTGCAGCGCAGACTTAATTCGGCGTGAGGGGAGTGCCGCTCCCCTATATCACCGCCCTTTTCGTGGCTTCATCCAAACAAGCCCTTCTTACGGACATATCTTGGCCTTCAGAGGAAACCGGGAAAGGGGTGGTTAGGGGAGGGACCCGGTCTGCTTCTGGATGCCTACTACGGTTCACTCTGATTTCCTCGTGGGGTCCCGGTGTTTCTCTCTCACACATCAGGTGTCAAACTGAAAGGAAGGCATCTGACGTCTGTTTGCCTCGCAAAGTCGAAAACATCGTGGCCTTCGCGCCCAGTTCCTCCCCACATTCACGAACCAAAAAAAGGGTTCCAAGTGGCCCAGCGGATCCCAGGCAAGCCACAAATTATGCTAGGGAACCAGCTGCTTTGCTTTCCTTTTAAGGGGGGGGCTCTCACTTACTCCTATAGTGGGTGTGTCTTTTTTTGCCCCTCCAAAGTGGTGGGTTTTCCCTTTTGGTCTCCTTGTAAAGCCCACCCCCAAAAGGGTGCCCTCAAAGAAAAGACGCCCCCACATAGGTCACTGGAATCACTGGTCTCCGGGGCCCCTCGAATTCGCACACCAAAGACCTGCCATGTCATGGCCTTCCATCGGAGAGGGCAGGCCGCCGGGTCTCAGCACACGTCCAAATGAGGGCCATGGGGTTGTCCCCTACTCACTTTCATTTTTTTCTGCAGGACTCCAAGACTAGGTCCTCCAGATTGGAGAAGTTAGAATTCTGGTACCAACTTTTTTCAGGACGTCTATTTTAGTAGGGGAGCCCTCCCTACCAAAAAAGGGTGAGAAAGGGCACTACTGGGGGACCTAGAAGAGCATTCACTCCCATGAACTGCAAAGGGAACTAGATGTTGCAAAGGCCTGTTTGACACTGCGGATTGAAAAGCAAAAAAGGATGACTTGGGACCTGGAAACACGAAAAGCTTCACGACTTGGGGTGTCTACTAAAAGTGGGCCGAAAAAGGGAAAACCCAAAGGTCAACAAGTCGATTCGTTTCGGGCACCGAGCTGGAGAGAAGGTATTGCGTAAGTATTTTCACCACCAACTTGTAGGTTTGCTTTGATGCTGCCAGGTCCTGTGAAAAACTGCGGCCCTCAAGGCCCGTTCGTTGCTTGGAACGGCTTACTAGGAATCCCAAAACAGCCTCGGTGAAAGCCTGTGAGTCCGAGTGAGAAACAGACAGAGCCTAAAAATACAAAGCATACAGAGTCTAAGCCGGGTTTCCCGCTCAATGCAAGTGATTGAACATACTGAACGCATATGTCTCGCATGCGCCGGTATGCACCAAACCTCCGCAAAACACGCAAGAATGACGGCCTATCTTGCAGCTTATTCAAAAATAAATCTAAGAAACAGCCAGTAAATTATGGGTAAGGTGATACAGCGGGTGCAAGGAGGCAAAAGTCAGGTAACCCAGTGGATTTCCTTTGGATCCGTATTGCCCCTTGTTCATTTTAGTCTTGTAAGGGTGGACATTCTTTTGGTTGTCAATGTGTCGAACTACAGGGGCCCAACAAACATATTGGTTCGCCGGAAGTCTTTCATGTTGGTGTTCATGTTTGTATTTTTGTCCAACTATTCTAGGTCCGCCAGTAGAGAGGTTTGAATTCGGGTACCAACTTTTTTCGGTAGTCTATTTTAGTAGGGGGTTTTCTCCCAGCCAAAGAAGGGGTGAGAAAGGGCTCCTAGCTGGGGGACCTAGTGGTTGGTCTTTTTGGTTTGCCTTCAGACCTCCAAAGGGTACCTTTCGCTGAAAAGCACAGCCAACACTGGATCCACTGGGAATGAATCGGATTACAGGCGGCAGGCTGGGACTCCAAAGGCGTGGAGTGGTTTGATTTTGTCTTAGCCCTACCTTTCGTGCCCTTTGATGAAGTGCTTGGGATACAAACGCAGCGATTTCGTCTGTAGTTCTGCAGTGCCCCTTCTCAAGCCGGGGAAAAGGCCAGCGGCTTACACTCCCCGGCTGAGCTGGGCTGATCAAAATGGAGTGTTGGCCAATCCGATCTTTTTGCTGGTGTGATAGGCAGGGAATTAGGGAATGCACCTGCAAATTGTTCAGAATGTTGAGAAACTACATGGCAACTCCTTTCCCAAGGCCCTGCGGATTGCCGCAACGAACTGCCCACTTGGCTTCATTAGATTCGACCCCCCACCCCCCACAAAAAAAGCCTCCCTCCCAACCAAACAAAACAAAAAACACACACACAACAACAAAAAAAACGCCTCCCCCCCTAAAAAAGAAAAGCCCCGCCAAGCACACCCCCCTGCAAGTTCACCCCCCGGCCAATGGCTTCAGCCCCCGCCTCAAGGCCAATGGCCTGCAGAGCAGCCTGCGATCGAAAGATCGAAGTCACTGGGCTGGTGCGTTCCGAATTCGTGAAGGCTCGATTTTCTGAACTCCTACTTGATCGCTAGTAATCGAATGAATGAAATTAATGAATGAATGAAATAAAATTCATGAAAGAACGACATGAATGACCAACTGACTGCGAATAGATGGATGGAATGGAATGGAATGAATGCATGGCCTGCAACGTGGCGCCAACAAGTTCTCAGACGGTCTCAGCATCCTTCCCCATGTCTTCTAACTTTCTCAGCACTCGTCATCCAGGACAAGCTTCAAGCGCCATCTGGCTGACCTGCATTTGTCAGGTTTCTTTGCTCCGCAAAGACGGTGGCTGGCTGAAGGCTTGGCCAGGTGTTTGGCCTGATCACTGCTCGACCCCTCCACGGATCAAGGAGCCCAATGATCAATGAGACAGGTCAAGCGGCATGCATAACAGGGCGCATGTCTCCCAATCAGCGACGCATGGTTTTTGTTGGGAAGCCAATCGGCCCTGGATTTCTGGCATTCATGCTCCGCCGAGTTGGTAACTGGTCCCACGAATTTACACCCGACAGCGGTTACTTTCAATTGAAATAGTAGTATTCTAGGTATACCCTCCCCCATGGTGGGGGGCGTGAAGGGCCTAGAAAACTAGATTGGGTTTGTGGGATATTTAGAATGCAACCTAAGACACGATGAGAGGATTCAAGAAGTAGTAATTCTCTAGCCGCCCCTGGGGTAATAACCATCTCAGTGATTTGTCATGATGGGCGCCAAGAAATCCACCCCGTCACAAGGAAAATGGCCCGTCGTGCGCGCCAATTTCGAGGCGAAGGCGGGGCGACGCAAAAACTTCGGCCTCTCGCGCTTTGGCTCTGTGTTCGGGTCCAGCAATTTGGCTGTCCTCGGAAAGCAACACAGGGCCCCAAAATGGATGGATGTTCCTTTCATTTCCCTTTCAACCCGACCAAAATTGGGAGTACCAACTCCAAAAAGAAACCAGAGCCAAGTGGGCTTGTTACTGTCCTTTCCTTCTCCTGAAATCTTGGGTCCTTCAGGCTCTAGAGTTTGGAGCGGGAGAGGCGGGGATGGGTTGGGGATATCACCTGGGCGCATTTCCGCCTCGCATCACTCCAAAGAGACACTCCATCGCATCGACTGACAAGAACTCTTCAGACCGCCCCAAAAGCGGAAAAAATGAGGAGCGGATTCCACTTGGCCCGGAAAAAGAACCACAAAATAAACCTCTGGAACAACAAGGCAACCTCAAGCAGAAACTCAAAGGCTGAAAGCTTTTATATAGTTGGCGCGCTGGCCTCGAACCGTCGAAGCGTAAGGCAAAACCTAAACCACCGGTAAAGAAGAACACCTGAAAGAAAGAACCAGACGCCAGATGTCCCTTTCAGGCACTTTGCCTCAACTTCCTTTCCACAAGGATTCTAAACAAAAGGCTCGCAAAGGCAAACAAGGCAAACACTCAGCCAGTGGGTGGGAAAATCCCATCCATCCATTCCCTTCCACCTTTTTCGAGCATTGCCTCCTCTCAGTTGGCTCCCTCCTGTCCTACTTGTGTTCACTTGCAACAAGAAGGGGCAGCCTTGCTCCCTCCCAACCTCTCTCATCAGCTCTGTCGTATAGGTCTATGTTGGCCAGCCGAAAGAGAACTCTTTGAGTCTTGACTAAAATTGGAACACGGCGCACAGCAACAACAGGCTGAAAGTTTGGACGCGCGGACCAGGACATTTGATATGGCAACACTTGTCACGTTGATGACGGCCCCTCCGCGCTTCAGTGATACTGCAGCGAGAATGGCCGATGAGCTCCCCCCGCCACTCCAAATACCATCTTTTGTTAGGTATATGATTCGAAAACCCAACTTTGTCCAGTGCAAGTTAAGGGTTGACATGATACCCTAAGAAAAAGGTGGCTTTTAGACTCAACTCCGAACGAGCCAAACTTTCTCTTTACCACTGAAATGGTCCAAACACACACAGATTGAACTCAGGATTTAAGTAGAGAACGATGCATGTTGAAACGAAAAGGAAGAACCAAACGTTCCCAGGTCTGAGAAAGTACCTAAGGATGCACTGAACAACCCCTTTTAACCAGAAGCCCTCCTCAGCAGGTACTTGCATTTTCCGGGTTTCAACCTTTGGGACTCAAAACCGCTCCAATATGTGGCCATGGGCTTTTCAAAACCCAAATCGGTTAGCCCCCAGTGAACATCCCAATCCCCACTAAAATAGGTTCTAAAATGGGTGGTGGACCTATCCCAAAATAGTACCATTGGCTTTGAACCATGGCCATGGGGGGCCGTCCAAAAAACAAAAAGTCAGACCCTTCCTTCAAAAAGACTAAAAGAAGTCCAATGGCCGCAGCCCGCAGCCCGCCCTGCCGCTGATCGCTTTTCTTTGGTCGAAGGGCCACCAGCTTCTGCGTGAGGAAGGAGCCCAGCAGCCACTCTGCCTTCGCAGGCTCCTGCAACGCTCAAGTCAAGGGGTGGTCCAAGGGGGGAGTCCCTCGAAGGAACCCCGTTGCGGAAGCCGAAAGGGGCTCTCAACTACCTACACCCCTGATGGTTCCTACCTTTAAGGCCTTAAGGTTAGACATTGGTTGTGGAGTGCTTGTTTGTTTCTACTGAGACTGTTGTAAAGGCTTGGATAGGCCTACTACAACCCGCTTACCTACGGAAATGGCCAAGCTGCTCATTTGTTTTTAAAGGAAGGGGCTAAGGTCATACCAAAGATTGAGGCGTCCCTAAGGAGGGATGGTCGAAGGGGGGGATATCCGCCCCCTAAAACCCTGCCCCCCGGATGGGATTCCATAAGCGAAGCGGGAGCCAAAACGTCCGAGGAGTGGTTACACGACCGAGGAAAAAGCTACGCCGAAACGAGGCTGGTGTGAGGCTCCTTTCTTGGAGTTGGTACCCTCACTTCCTGAGTTGATTGGCCAGAAAAAGTCCAAACTTTGTGTTCACCACTAAACTGGTCTTCCCAAAAAGTTTAAAGTTCGAAAACTCAGGAAGCGAGTACCCCCTTTCCGGCTGGTTTCAACGGGAACTCCGCTTTTGTTTTGAAGCTGGTTTTCAGGGGACCAACAGTAAACTGGGTGATCCCTCTTTTGTGGTCCCTAATGAACCCGAACATCATTTGGGAGGTTGCCCAAATTTAGCAGCTCTTGGCATCCCCTCAAAAAGGTGGAAGAAGCGGCATGGTCCAATAAAGGATGCCAAAGCTTTGATAACCTCCCATTTGTAAGGAACCCCTTTTGGGGGGACCCTCTTTGTTCCAGATTCATTTTCGGGACATCCTACAATGCCCATGTTTTACAAGTCCGGCCCACTTCCTGTTGCAAAGATGCTAACTTGCTCGGTTCCCTCCCCAGAACTATCGCTGTCAGTCGTGGTAGGGGTGCCACGAAAATCAAACGAACAATCCGCGGAAACGCCTTGCATGACCCAATAACAAGCTTGCATCTGCAAGATTCGCCAGGGCCCCGCATCGGCTGATTTTGAAAAGTAGGTCAAACATATCACATCGTTTTGGACGCCCGGAGGTGGCGCTAACCAGGTACACGAACGCGCTACAAGATTGCCTACATGTCCCGACTCTTAGCGTACAATTATGGCAGCCGAAAGGTGCTATGAGCGGACACTATGATTTGATCTCTAGAGGAAGAAACAGAACTAGACGAATTGCCAAGAGTATTGTCACTTGCTACGGCCAATACAAGCCGCGGAAGCTCTGTGCGTTCTAGGAAATGTGCCTGCCCACCCGCTCAACGAACAGGATGCATCCTTCACGAATGTGATGGTTTCTTTTTCCACAGTAACGCAAAGTGCAAAGGCACATGAGAACACAATATATGAACCGACAAAATGGGTACTTTTACCAGGAGAAAGAAACAGACCCTGAGAAAGATAAGGAAGAAAGGAGACAAAGAAAGGTAACGAGAAAGAGAGCAGAGAGACAAAGAGAAGGAGACGGAGACAGGGACAGAGGCAGGGCCATGATATTTCTCACCCCGAATAACATGCCACGAAGCTGTAAAAAACACCAGGGCTCGCTAGAAAATAGGTAAACACAGGTATGTAAGAAACTTTGGAATGATGATTCCCCTGTCAATACCGACAAATAATGGCATCAATCATGGTTTCGTTTCGTGGTGCGAAATCGATTTCGCAACCATCCAGTATTTCCTCAACCTACTACACATCTAAATCCGTGACACAAGAGATCCCATGCACGGATCCAATTGCTTCCTGCTCAGCCCAGGAGGCTGTCAAGCCATAGGGGTCGGTCAAGAACCGCCTGAGCCGCATAGGTCGCTGGAGTTTTAAGGCGATCTGAACGGGTCCTGGACCTGGACAAAACCCCAAAAAGGAAATAAGACAGATGAGCCTTATGCAGGGCCCCTTTACCCCCAGCGTATCCTTGAGATTTGTCTTGTCCTTAAGGGGCAAATTACGGGGGTGTTGCACAGCCTTTGACAAACGAAAACCAACCGCTTTGGGGCGGGGCCCGGTCACCTCATTATCATAAAAACCCGTGTCAGTTTTCCATTCTCATTTGGGAGCATTTGAACCCAGGACCCAACCACCCCTGGGTTTCACTGCTTTGAGGGAAGCCAATTATTCAACCCTGATGCAATTTACCCCAAGCACATGGGAAAATTGGTGCGGGTCAAATTGTGTCTTTCGCACCTGCAGGTGACTGGCCAAAACATGCCAAAACTGTTTGACCAGTACATGGGTGTGTATTTTGATGTTACCTGTTTTGGGAGTGGTTTAAAGGCACACCAAATTCAGAGCCACCAATTTGGGGGGTCTAAATCCCTATCTTGGCACATACCCAAGGGGCTTTACCCCAGAGCATATGAAGTCCAACTTAGGAAGTGAGCAAATGGATCACATACATCCATACCCCCTTACTCCAAATAATGTCAACCTATATTCTATAGTTGGGCCCGTATTAATACAATTCTGGGCCACCGGACCCGCTTTTTCACCCGATACTAAATCAAGAAGGGGCTACTTCAAAAGTTAATTGTAAACATACAACACTGCCCCCCAAGTCGACCCTCCAGAGCACAACATTAATAAACCACCCAAAAACCTCACATTAATAAAATTCCCCGAAATGCGGGCGCAAGCCAAACAAGTTTTTTTTTTTTTTTAACAGGGACCAAACCAGTCCAAAATGATTCAAAAGTAAGCAGGTAATGTGCAGAAGCTGAAGGCACAAACACATGCAACAAGTGTGCAGCGCACCAGGCAATGTAATTATATAATTGGAACCTTCAGAGCCTCCCCAGCAGACCGCATATCTCCAAAAAACATACATGCACGGGGAAGTGTGGCCTTTAAATGAAATGTCTTTACAAAAGTGATGCCCCAACAGTCCAGCGTGAGGTACCCCACACAAGCTCCCCAAACCCGCATTCGTAAAAGGGTTCACATTAATAAACACTACGAGTACTCGTTGTACTAGAAGTAGTGCTACAAGTACTAGCAGTACTACAAGTACTCTAGAAGTAGTACTACAAGTACTACAAGTACTACAAGTACTACTACAAGTATTACAAGTACTAGAAGCAGTACTATTACAGCCACTACTACAAGTACTACAAATACTAGAAGCAGCACAAGCACTACTACAAGTGCTACAGCCACTACTACAAGTACTACAAGTACTAGAAGCAGTACTACAAGAACTACTACGAGTACTACAGCTACTACTACAAGTACTACAAGTACTAGAAGCAATACTACAAGTACGATTGCTTTTTATTACGGTACTTTGCCAAAAAAAAAGCAATTGAGGGAGGGGAGAGTTTACTAATATGAAGTCGACATTACTTTCTTTTTCAATGTATTTCTTGAAAAACTTGGTTTTCCATGGTAAATGCATTCTTCTTCAGAAAAGGGTTGACATGACGCTTGTATTGGGAGCAGGGGATATTACTACTGAATATCTTGACCGAAACTGCCGATGTTCCCCCGCGAAAGTTTCCGGACTGCTGCTTAAAGAGGACACGCTGAAAAGAGCCAAAATGTTCAACCCTGATATCGTATTGAGGTCGACAGGTGGCGTTCTTTTTTCCCCTGTAAAAAGTGCCAACATATTTTCCAAATCTCCAGTAGTGATAGATTCCCTTGCAAACCGGGGGAAACACAATGTATGTCTAAACAAATGGAAGCTGCCTATTGTGAGAATTCCTATTTTCTGGACACAAGTGCCCTACCAGGCCGGTACTGTGTTAGTGTGTAGGACGAGGCAACGTATGCAATGTGCAATCAGTGGATCCCGGTGACCCAAGTAGGTAACCAACGGGGTTTCCTGAGAAACCTACAACTGGTAAAGGACCAATACCCCGGTTGATGTTGATGGGTGCTCCACAGAGGGGATGCAAACCACCTTTTTTAGAACAACACCCCCCTCACCCAACATGGACCTTCACTCCACGAACTAGCAGTGTCCGTGTCATATTCATGTTTCGAAAGGCAACTCGTTGCCAACATGGCAACCAAAGTGTGACATTAAAACTGTTCAACGAAGAAAACAGCATGTGGACAGGAGAAGGTACATGATTGAGGACACTCCTAGTGAAGACTCTGATTGCGGAACCTCTCTGCAAATATGGTCGTCTGCAGCAGGTTGGGCTCTAACTCCACTGATTCAGCGCAACAAGGGAAGAAGCAGTTGGTGTATGCAAGAGCATCTCAACAATGCCTTCAGGCATAGAAGCGGCAAATGTCGACAGGCAACAATTTGCTGCGCGAATGTGCAGGATCCTTCCCAACAACTTAGTCTTAATGGCCGCCCGCCTACTCGCTTTATTTAGGTTGCAATGGCTCCCCATGCGAAACGGCTCTGATCCCAAGAAGAAGGCTAACCCAGTTCGCAGCGACTACAGGCAACCGGCACCAGCACTTCACAGCTGCTTGTTCCCATGTCCAAACTCCCGTTACTGTCCAAAAAGCAGTGGTTGGGACCCGGACTCTGGCAATTAATTACTGTCCCAACGTTCCCCAGCCCCTTTTTCATGGGCTGGTTCCCTTTCCCTGACCGGATGGATCGTAACAAGCATCCAGCCAGCCAAATCCAGTCGCCTGATGGCCGCATCCTCCCGCGCTGCCGTTCCTTCCAGGACCTGGCCGGCGCCAGCGTTCTGTAATGTGTACATCTCATGGGAAATCAGCTTCTCTCTACTTGGTGGTTTGGGTTGGTGGAGCGGCTTGGTGGTTTGGGTTGGTTCAATACCCAAGCCACCCATCCAAAACACCAATCTGCGCGTTGCCTGATGAAGCCCTTAAACTGCGGTATGCTTCCATGGGGAAATACACACTTCCGACCCTTCCTCCAACAAACGTGTGAAGGAGTACCCCGAGTAAATATGCCCTTCTGCCCATGTACATACACTTCCATGTGCGTTTTCGGCCCTCGTGGAAAAAAAGGCATCTTTCCAGTAGTGAAAATTTCCCTTCGAAACCAACCACGGAAAATGATAAAATATTCTTGAGCAAATGGAAGTACGTTGGAGGAAGTGCAAGGAACGAGGCGCAGGACTTCCAGATAGGGGGAGCAACGAGATGTTGTGGTTTTCCACTTTCAACAACCCCCGGTGATTCCGTTTAGTATCCTCCAAAAACACACACCCTCATACCGACCGACTACAACCCCAAAGAACAATAAAACGGCCGGGGAAGGCGTGCATCGTGCCTTGCTGCTGTGAGATGGGTTCACCCACCGCCTCGGTTCTCTCGGCTGGGCACGTTGGGAAATAAGAGCTGACAGTATTTCAGGGACCCGACCAAGGCTTCATAAGGCTGTTTGCTAAATATCCTTGCTTGGGGATCCCTTTCTTCAGGTTTTGGGAAGTCTTGTAAAGTTGCAGTGTAGTAGTTACTGGAAGCATTTGGGTGGATGACATAAAACCACATCTGAACATGTTATGCTTGGCCTTGCAACCTCTAACCTTCGCAGTTTGGGGGGTGGTGTAAAGGGACCCTGAAATATTCCTCCCAGTGCTTCTCTTCGGCGTTTCGCCTCTATAGGTAACCCCCAAAAAAAGAAGCTCAGGTGATATCCCCAACAGTATGCGGCTCGTGGAACCCTGGTGGAAACCTCGTGGAACCTTACCTCAGGGCCGCCCCGGACCACCCCAGAGCCTATCTGGGCTGAGACCCCAAAGCTTTCTTTCAGCTGTTGGGGGAACCAAAAAAAAACAACAACATGTACTACCTAGAGTTAAAAATACCGAAGGCTTACCTTAGTGGCGAAACGCCTGGAAGCATTGGGTGTAAAAAAATTGGGGTGCCAGGGCACTTCTTGTGTACCACTTTTGAACACTCCGATTTGATTGCCGAAGGGAAACTGATGCAGAGGGACACCCGAGTTTTGGAGGTTTTCTGATTCGGAGACCAGCTCGCAAGGTGCTAGACCATGTTAGACCCACTTTCTGTAGGGGATGATAGGGGAGTCCCTTGTAAAGTGATCAAGCAGTCGTAAGGAGCAAAGTTGCCTGCGTGTTGTTTCTTTTGGGGGGTCGCTTATCGGTTTGGTGTGGCGCTCCCCTGCGATGTTCGAAGGTTCTGGGGTCTTCTGCAATGGATTCGGATCCTTCTTGATTTCCTACTGTGGGGGTTTGCCGATGAGACCCCCAGCTGGGTGTCTCTCTCTTTTTGTCTTTGGACTTGCTTAAAACTTGCTTGAAGACAAACCAAAAGGACACCGAAACCATTTTGGAGGGTCCAACCTTACACAGTGCATCCCTGCTACGACTACGTTAGGTAACCAGCTACTTCTGTTTGGCTTCTATTTCGGAAGGCAAGCCCTTGGCCACCTACTCTATAGGAAAACGGAATTGTTGGGGTGGGTTTTAAGAAAGAAGCCACGTTCAATCCTCCTCTGTTGACCCATATGCTGTAAACTGCAAATTGAAATCATTGAGTTAAGCAAGTCGTGATTGATTCAATTGAAAAAAGCAACAAGGGAAAATAACGAATGTTCATTTCAGCACATGGAAGTTTCAGACTCGTTTGTGTTTCCTTTTAACGGGGGCCAAAGTCTGGTAGCCATGGGACCATGGGATTCCACACACACCTCCATTTGTTTAAGCCCTCTTGAAAAAGTTTAAAACATATGTCCAACAGTGATAGGTTCCCTTTAAAACCAATAAGGGAAATACCACAAACATATTTATGTCAGCAAATGGAAGTTTCAGACTCATGTGTGTGTGTGTGTGTTTCCTTTTAAGGGCCCAAAGTCTGGTCACCATGGGACCATGGAATTCATCACACACCTCCATTTTGCTTAAGCTCTCTGGAAAAAAGAAGAGTCCAATAGTGATAAATTCCCTTCAAAACCAACAGGAGAAAGTAACAAACATACTTATTTCAACAAAATGGAAGACACCCCCCCCAAAAAAAAAACACGGGGAAAGTAAACACATATATATATATATACATATTCAGCAAATGGAAGCACAGCAAAGGGAAGCTCATGGCCATGGGTCAAAACCCCGTACCCCCGCAGTGAACATCCCAATCCCCACTAAAATAGGTTCTAAAATGAGTGGTGCACCCACCCCAAAATGGGATCCCATTGAGATTGACCACCACAGCCACATGGACGCCTTCAACCAGACCCCGCTGGCTCGCTCAACATCCGCCGAGCTGCGGCTTCGGAGCCGTGGCCTCCGCCATTTTCAGCGCGACCGTGGCCTCCTCTGGCGTCAGCAGCCCGGGGTACCTTGGAGAAACGAAGCCAAACAAACGGTAATTTACATTGTATATGTATATACGCGTATGAGTTTGTATTGATGTATAGACATATATTATGAGATATATATATATATACATATACGTAATGTGTATATATATATATATATATGTATATGTATATATGTATATGTGAATATAGACAACTGTATATATATATATATATGTTTTGAGCTGATACCCCTTTGTTGTTTTGCGGATATAAAAGGAAAACCAAAGGAACACCACTAGTTTTGGGGTACCCTGAAAACAAATCACCATATATGAAAGTTTTCTCAACATGGATTTCGGCCCCCATTTGGTTATGGATCTATTGACCTTTTGAATGTCTAAATATGTTTCAACCTTCTCAGTAACGCAAGTACGCGGGTTACAACCATACCAATTAGTGGGGCGCGTGTGGACTCTTAACCTTTTGTTTACTTGAGTCATAAACAAATCTCGTATTAAAATGGTCGACCCAGAGGTTTCATGATTAGAGTTAGGCAACCAGTTGTAGAATGTATATGTTATTGTTTGCTTCACTTTGAGTCGCTGGTAAAATGTAAAATGTATCCTAAGTCTACCCCAGGATTGAATACCTCTTAGCACCAATTTGAAGTGCAAAGGCGACTTCAATCTTGGCCAGACTCAGATGCCAAAAGTTCACGTTGCTGGCATGCGAAAATTAAGGACTCTCAAAAGTGCAAAGGGGCAACAGGTTCCCAAATCTTATCCTTTATCTTCCGGGATGTTCTTGCGAAATCAAAAAGACCCGGAGAAAGAAACCTAAGTGTGGCAATGAGATGTGAAGGGCCATCCTCATTCAACTAGTGGCCCTCTTTGAAGTGATACTATCATCATGCTGACCATGGGATGCGACGTCAGTTTAGTCAAGTGCGGGATCAAATATGTATCTAGACCCTTAATGGACTCCCGTCTGCCTGACGGCTCTGTTCATTATTTTGGCAGCAGAATCCAGTGGCGGGACTGTCTGAGAAATATGTGGCACCAAAGCCCCATCCACATCTCAGCCGGACTTATGTAAGTCTGAAGCAAACCAACGAGCAACTAGACTGAAAAACAAGTTGACCAAACCAAACAACACAGCCTTGACCAGACCAAACAACAAATACATCACCAAACCCTTAGCACCTAAGTGGGCATAAGATGCTACCAAACCAAAAGAAGAAACAACTCGACCAAATGTCAAGCTAACAACCTAACCCAATGCTTCCTGTTGCCGCTATAGCAGGTAAGGCTTCATACCTTTAGATGCTACATGATGGTTCTCACTGGTTACTGTACTGGCTTGCCCGGAAGCACTGGGAAAGTCTGGCAATAGCAAGCAAACCATTTATGAAACCTTCAGGAAACTGGAAGTTGGTCCAACTTTCGGCTTCAAATGGGTTGCTCAACTTCCTCAATATTATCCGGCTGGTTTCTATCAAGCCAACAAGAAACATCGGTCCCTGTCCTTCTCAAACATCACCCCATCCAAATGAAGCTCACTTCCAGAAGGATCAAAAGATGATGTAAACCGCTAAAAGAGGCAATGCAAATATTGGGGAACCCTGAAAAACAACTTTCCTGGGGCTGCTTCTTTTTTCCCAACTGCAAAAGAGGCAAACGCCGAGTTTGGGGCTGGTGGTTCTAGAACGAAACCCGAGGCACCTTAAGGGCGTCGGGTAGGCTGGGCGGTGGCCCGGCGCGAAGCGCAAACGCTCCGTGGCCTGACAGGGGTTGGGGGTCTTTGGGGGGATTTGCAAGCCAAAAACAAAATAAGGGGTATGCCAAACACAAAAACAAAATAAGGGGAGTTGCAAGCCAAAATAAGGGGTGTGGATAGACAAAATGTGTTTCGCACCACGAAATGAAACCATAGGAAACCATTATTTGTTGGTATTTACAGGAAATCATCTGTCCAGGTTTTTTTAGGTGGTGCAGGAATCCGTGCCTCCACGGTATTCCTTGAGGGTATCCTGTTGGTTGGTTTTACAGCGAACCAATGTTTTTTGGGGTGTCCCCCCAAAAATGACATGTGGGTATGTGTCAAAATCGGGGGACCCCCAAACATGCTGGTTCTCCTTTGGCTTCCCTTCAAGCCAACCCGAAAGGATTCCCTCGAAAACATACACACCCATATGCTCCTTTTTGAGATGATGGGAGTCTTCCAAACCGTTTCTGTTCATGATCCTTCAAGTCCGGAAAGGGAAGGCAACTGCAATCAACTCGCATTCCGTCCGAGCAAGCGTGGAAGCAGACCCGCTTTGGGAAAACCTACTTCTCCAGGAGTAACTTCGCCATCCTTTCCGGGGATCCTCCTTTGCTGAAAGCCAGCCAACCATCCTGGGAAATGGATGCACTTGGATGCCGCCGGATGCCGCTCAAGCGGGATGCCGGAACGTGGGCTCACTCAAGGCAACCTTTGGACTTGGGGAATTCGTGGGAGATACACCTTGAAGGGATCCAAACAATTTCTTTCCCAGTGGCTTCCAGGTACTCATCTAGTAGTCCTGAGGAAGCTGTAAGTGCGAGGTCATCACGATGGAAACCTAGTTGTGGATGGCTGAGATCCCCAGGAACAAGCCCCAACATAGCGGCCGTGCATGCATTCGACATGCAAAATTCGGCAGGAAGTCGGCAGCAAAGCACGGGTTTCCTGCAGATTCCGGCAAACAACAATGAACGGGCAACCTGTATTGGTCTTCCCCAACACACAAGAATATGAAAGTTTAGGTGGATATCTCCTCCCCAAGTCCATATAGGATGGAGGGTGCCTGACCAAGGACCAAGGGAACGCCCGACATTGTTGCTTGCCTGCGTTGTACTCGCTTCCCCCTATTGTGAAATCCACCCCTATCAATAAATATATTATTTGTCAGACCAGAGTCCCAAAAAGACTCCTCCGCTTTGTCAATTGATTGACCCAAGACTAAACCAATAATTTCTAATCTTCTGATCTACCATTATTGGGGGCCCCGGGATACTTTCAGCACTTCCCTTCTTTTAATGTAAAAACCCTTGCAAATTGCAGAGGCCAGTGAAATTTTCGCCTTTGAAATTTGAATTGACAAATCAAGTACTTTGAGCAATCTCATATAGATCATTCACTCGGTAGACTGCGAGGTTGACGGTTTTTGCGCCCGGCTGGGACCGCCTGGAACCCTATTGTTGATAAACAAGCTTTCCGACAAAATAATATTCATTAAGAGGGGACGCTGGGGTTGCGGGCGATAAGGAATTGCCATACTATGCAATGGAGTCCCTTCCACATGACGAACTATCAATATAATGGGGACCTCCCCCGTTCGCACAGAAGTGGGTTCCCCCTCATTCCTACCCGGCCGAAATCGGTTTTCACCCTTCGGGCATATTTTGAGAACCTAAAACCCAAAGAAGCAAGAGAAAGAACACTTGCTTTCGGTGTGTTCTGCCCCCTTTCCAAGATATCCACATGAGTTTTGCCGGTGTTGATTGCCCTCGGAATATTGCTGTTTCCCACAGTTTTACACTTTTTTGGATTTGAAGTGAACACAAAAGGAAACCAAGATCGAGCCACTTTACAGTACTACTGTGGATGGACGAAATCCATTTCGAACCACTTTCAAACCACCATTCTTTGTTGGTATTTACAGGGGAATCAAATCATTCCAGGGTTGCTGAACGGTGGTGCGAACAGATTTCGTTCATCCACAGTAGCACCACATGTTCTCAGTTGTTCAGTGACCCTGGAAAAAGGGAACCTTTTTTGGGGAAGACCATTTTTTGTGGGGCAGCCATCAAAAAAAAAGGGAAAAAGGGTGCCACTGAACAACTAATAAAATGGCCGACCCCCTCAAAAAGGAGTCCTTCACTACGAGGGGGTCGATCAGTTGTCCACAAAGGTGGCAAAAAGACCCCCCTGTTGAGGCTGCCCTTTGCTGGTTTCAAGGGAAACCCGAGACTTCCCATCCCACACATCCATCCCACACCAGAAACCGCTCAGGATTCGTTGGCCGGCGGCGCAACCAAGCCTCCGCCAGCAGCAGCAGCGCTTCCGGCTGGGGCGCCGCGAGCTCCAGGAACAGCTTGCTGTAGAGCGCCTAACTGAATTCCGGTTTTTGTGTGGCTCAAAATTGAACAGGAGGGGCAAACCGCAGATTTTGGTCCATGTTTTGTTACTTACCAGGGCAACCCATTTTGGGACCGGTTTTTTGAGCCACAGCCATTTGTGTACGTCTCAAAATAGGCTGGAATCGGTTTGAAAAAAAAAGACAAGAAAAGGAAACCAAGAGGACACCAAGCTCTTCAAGAGGACACCAAGCTCTTCAAGAGGACACTAGCCTCTTCAAGAGGACACTAGCCTCTTCAAGACGACACCAAGCTCTTGAAGAGGACACCAAGCACCAAAAGGACCTGTTAAACCACCAAATGGCTCCCCAGCTGTTTTTGCCGCAAACTTCGAGCTCGTCCCAAATGGACCCTCCGTTGACTCCCGGCCTGCAGCAACTGCGTGGCTAGACCGGGATACTCCCGGCGCAAATCCTGCGGAGGACTTGGGAGCAAAAAGGCGAACTCACCTGAACGCCAAAGCGCCCAAAAGGGTGATTTATCTGAACCCCCCGGAATAAATACAAACAATACAAACAACACAAGCAAATAAACAAGCAAATAAACAAACAAACAAACAAACAAACAAACAAACAAACAAACAAACTGGTACCTTGATCGTCCACCATCAAAAAGGACGCCATTGGCTGAGTTTCCTTTTGCAACCCTCGGCGCAGAATCCTTGGAAGCACCCTGCTGTTTGCTTGGAAGACCCAAGGCAAAGGGTCCAAGGGGCCCCAAGACTTTTGTTTCAGGGCCGAAGGGTATGCAAGAGTCGGAGTGAAACCCGTCTCAAAACACGCCGGAAACGTTGGAGCCAAAGCCGAAGTTCATCAATCGGATTTATGATTTTTACTTCCCGGAATTGTGTGGAATCTGTCTTCTAATTCCCGTGAACTAAACCCACCAGACATACTGTGGATGGTTGCGATATCCATTTCGCACCACTTTGCAAACCTGGTTGACACCTTTGTGTTTGTTGGAATTTAACGGGAATCAAATCGAATTTCCAGTTGCAATCATGGGACACCAGTGTTTGTTGGTATTTACGTTGGGGCATCAAATTATTTCGTTGGGTTTCTGAACGGTGGTGCGAACGGACTTCGCAGCCATCCACATGGAGTTCTTGGACCGCCCTGGGGCTGAGAGCACCTGGTTTCAGGGCGACCCAGCGCCAGCCCCTTCCGTTGGAAGGAAAACTACGCAGCCCCAAATCCAATCCCTGGGTACATCGAAGTAGCCGAACCAGGACATTACACATGATCTACACATGGCCTACCCATCAAGACATGGTTGGGCATAAGGGCACCACTTGCACCGCGAAGCTGCCACTCAACCAGCTAAGAACCACCCAACAGTCAAAGAGTCGAAAACTCTTCGTGGTGCGGAAGCTACCACTAAACCAGCAAAAAAAACAACTAAAGCCCCAAAAGCCAGCTAAAAAACAACTGAAGACATACCCAAGGAACCCACCAAATCAACAAAAAAACCTGAAACAACCCAAGCACTTGGACGAGTCGCTCACCGCGTCCCGCGACTCGGAGCTCGACTCGTAGCGCCGGACGCCGGTCCTCAAGGTCCGAGGGCAGCAGCAGGGCGGCGAGGCTGGGCCGCGCCGCGAAGATGTCCAGGGGGCAAGGCTGCACCCCGCCCAGCAGAAACCTTCGAACCGCTTCGTGGCTGGCCAAAAAGCATCCCCGCCATGTTTAACCAAACTGATCTAAGCCATGGAGCAAAGACTGCATGAATCCTTCCATTTTCAGTTTAGTATCGGTTTACGGCGGTCTGGGAAAAAGCTATATTCATTCACGGAGTGCATTTATTAATAAGGGGAGGGGATTAGTTTGTTGTTTGGATCTGTGGGTTAGTAGTTAAGGGGTGGTTTTCTATTGCTCTACAAGAACCAGGTGTTCAAAATCCACAAACCACCAAGTTGAGCTGAAAGTTAGTTGACCCCAGAAACCCTGCATATGGGCTCGTGCCTTTTTTTGGTTGGATGGGTGCCCTGAAAAATGCCACCCCCACATGGGCTCGGGTTTCTGTGAGGCTGGCATTCTTTTTCAGGTCAGCTTAAAGGGAAATCAAAGGTCCCCCACGTTTAAGACATGCATCACCTTGTAAAAACAGATGGTGTGTGACGCGAACAGGGAGCGCTTGTTGAACGCAAAGAGTGAAGCTATAGCTTCTTGCCTGGGATCTACTGGGCCTTCCTGGCCAGAACTTTTCCGCAGGAATCCCCCCGCGCTTGAGCCCCAGGAAGGACAATTCGTGTTTAACGCCCCCCCAAGAGGGAGGTCCGGCGGGAGCCGGCAACTATGAGCCATAAACCCTGGGTTTTGATAGCTTCTGAACTCAAACAGAGAAGGCCACCACAACCCTCTGGGCCTCCTTACGGAGCTCATTTCTTTGCTAAAGGGCAACTAAATCCACAGGGCCTCCCTCATGGAGCTCGTGACGCCGCCGTCATTTCTCCGAGAAGCTCCAGGCCGACGCAGTCCCCGGGCCCGAAGAACAGGGAGGGGCTGCCCCCTGCGTCCCGGAAGCCCGTGAACTTGCCGTCCAGCAAGATCAGGCAGCCGCCTCGGATGTTTCAACAACCCGGATGGCGTGGCTCACGTCGTTTTCTTTTTGGGAGACTGCCCCCCCCCCACCAAAAACGAACAAAAACACAAACACTGGCTTTCCCTTTGGTTTGCTTGTTGAAGTTGCGAGGCTGCCTGGTTGCCCGGATAAAAGGCTTTCTCTTTCGGTTTCCGTTTGTAGGTTGGTGTGGCTCAAACAAAAAGAGCTGGGGTTTCGCAAGATTTCGCCGTTGGATCCATTTACCAAGGTGCCATTCTGGTACCCCCATTCTGTGAAAGGATACACTTTTGTGGGAAACTAAACGGTCCTGCAAAGGAAGCACAAGGCGGCACCAGAGTCCAGGAAGGGGCATATGTTTGCCAACCCCGCATATGCTTAACATCCTGCCAGTCAAGAAACCACACACCGTGGCAAACAAAGCACGCGTGAATAATTTCTTGATCGCCAAGATGGGGCATAGGCGCCGCACGAGGTAGAAGCATAGGCACTTAGCACCAGTTGTAATAATATAGCAGCCTAAAATACTCAGAACGGGGGTCTGGGGGTCTTTTAAAACCAAGCTCAGTCAGGATTCTAGGAGTAAGCTATTAGAACTTAGTAATGTTCGAGCCCCCCATATTACCAGCATGGGTTTTTATCCTGTGCGCCTCTCGAAAATTGATCTTCCATGGTGACTCAACGAGTCCGATGGTCGCTTCGGTTGCTTGGAATTGAGGATGAATAACCCGCTGGCTGATTTTTTGATCAGGGGCTGTCCCGTTTGAGAGGAGATCCAATGATCAGTTTTGTGGGAGCTGACCTCCTACAAATCTACCCGGCTAGGAATGAGAAAAACCAGACGAATACCAATCAGCAACAATACTTAACACAATATCACACACAAACAAAAAGTTGACTAACCCCGGGTCGCCAAATTTAAGCCCCTTTGTTCTTTTGGGCTTAGCTGCGGAGCCTGGACGAAATCCTGCACAACTTCCATCATTCCGTTGGGTTTCTGAACGGCGGAACGAACGAAGTTCGTCCTGGACTCTTGTCTCTATCGAACCGGCGGCTCGCTGAGTTCCCTCGAGTCTTTTAAAGACCAAAACCAAATCTAAACCAGTCTAGGTCCTCCAGTAGAGAGGTTAGAATAAGGGTACCCTTTTTACTGTAGTCTATTTTAGTAGGGGAACCCTCCCAACCAAAAAAGGGGTGAGAAAGGGCACCTAGCTGGGGGACCTAGCTAATCCAAGTGGCGGTGCTTTGATGTCCGATTTGCCCCCGCGAAATTCCTTGCGACCAAAGGCGCTCAGCGGCTCGCCCTTGGACAGCACGTTGCTGCGCGCCTGCCACTGGGTGACCCGCAGTCTGCAGGCTAGAGCCAGCCTCAAATCAATGAGGTGTGGCTCCCTTTTTTTGGAGTTGGTGCTCCTTTTTGGTGGTTTTAAAGGACAACTAAAAGGAGAACTGCCATTGTTTTTGTGGGGGGGAGGGGTAAGATAAAGACAGACAAAGGCATTTACAATGAACAACCAGGTTGCTCATTCTAAATGCCTCCCTTCTTGGTGAGTAAGGTCGGTAGTTGGAAGTACTTAGACGTGTGGCATTGAACTTAGCATGGGTAGCAACGTCCCAGAAAGGGAATCCGGTAGAATGGTCTTCCAGGTGCCAGCCATGTTTCACTTCCCTGAGGCCAAGGGGGTTCCCAACAGCAAACCTACCCCTCCCAGGTTGCCATGGCTTATGTCAGTGGGGAAGGTTTTTTTTCCACCACGAAAAGAAAGCAAGGGGGCACGTAGTACCCTTGATTGAAGGGAGGCATGCTTAGATGGCCTGGATGGTTATCTGAATGGTTAGCAGCGCTACTTACAAAGGCTCTGCAGGGGATTAGTGGGACTTGACTGGGCCAGGGAGATGCCACGCTTTCGACTCATGTTACCCACTGACCTCGGAGTAATCCGGCACAGCCCGGCCAACCGATCAAATGTGGCCCGGCTTTTACTAAGGAAATGACAGCACGAAGGGGGGTTCCTCCGGTATATGTCTTTCGGATTGGTCCAAAGGTAACAGTACTTGGCCCACAAAGAAAGGCGTGCACAGAACATGATGTGATTCGGTTTCATATAGATGCTTTACCCTCGAGTATCAACAGTTTCAGAGAAGACCCCAAATGGCCAATGTTTCATAGGGAACTCCCGTTAAAATTCATACCCAGACACTTCCGTTTGCTCAAGCCCCCAATCAAGTCTCAATTAGATCCCCCTTAAAACCAAGACCAGGAGAAAATAACAACGTATTCGTAACACATGTTGTGGACGCACGGACAAAGTTATGCACCACGTTAAAAATAGAAAAAAACATAGAAAGACACAAAACATGGGGAAACCACATTGCACCTCGGTATTTACGGGGAAACCTCATTCCGTTAGGTTTCTGTGGTGGGGCCAACGGACTTCGTCCATCCGCAGGGAAGGATGAACTCGAGGCGCAACAAGCCACAAGTCGAACAACACATCCAGTAGAAACTAAATCCCCTTTAAACCCAAAGAAACAAAAATAACAAATATATTCTTAACGACACGGCGAAGGATGAATTCACTGGAGGCGCAGGGCGTGGTAGTCCAGGTTGGTCAGCAGCTTCCCCTGGTCCCGAAGCTGCAGCAGGAAGTCCAGGATCCTTCGTTCCGTGAAGCTCCCAAGGCTCCACTTCAGGTTGTTGGAGACCTGCAGCGTCTAAAATGCGGAGCCCCTTTTTGGGCCATGGTTTATGTAAGGCCCGCCTTTTCAAGGGGTACAAAAAGGGGTCATATGTTTTGACACTTTCCCTGCGCGCGGAGTGCTTGGATGAACTTACCCTAGGGCTCCGATGGGGTCGGGGCTAGGAGGACGGGATCCGAAGCCGTACACCCCAATTTGCTTCTTCGGGGTCTCAAAACGTCACGGTGATTTTTCAGCCGAAGCCAACATCCATCGATCAACATCCTTAGGGTCATAAGTACCCAGTGCTTCTGACATGCAACCCCCGATATCCTAATGGAACATTTAAGGGGTGACCTATGTCATCCCCATGACTACTATATTCGGGCAAATACCCCCCCGTGCTTCCACTATGGTAGGTAACCAGGTCTTTCTTTCCTCTAGGTTGCACAAGGGTTTTCCCTGGTTACCTTCCATACTGTATACTGGTAACTGGCAGCAATGGGAGTGATTGTTTTGCATGGGGATCAGCTTCAGGAAGTGGAAACCTGGTTGGGGTGGTTTTTACTACCAAGAGGGTTGGCCCCAAACGTCACCAAACCCTTGTCATGCCCCTGGTAACGTGCTGTCAATCGAGCGAATCCTGGTGGCTGGGTGGATCCAACGTCTGAGTGGATGGGCCCCCGAAATATCACAGACGTGCTTGAATTCTGGGAGCCAATTCAGGCACTAGGTCCTCCAGTAGAGAGGTTAGAATACGGGTACCCTTTCTTGTGCAGTCTATTTTAGTAGGGGAAACCTCCCACAAAAAAAAGGTAAAAGGGCACTAGTGGGGGACCTAGGGTAACAGGGCTTCCTCAAAACTAAGGAAGTAAATAGTCCACTTGGGGCGAGTTGCTAGCAACTGTCATTTTCCGAACTGCCAAAAGGCCACAGGCCTAACCAAAAAGCAACCAAGACAACTGGGAAACCTTGTCCGTTTTGATACTATCTACATGGAACCCATGACTGTGAGAAATCTCCTTGTGGGGGACCGCCTTGTTTCCTTGTGGATCGTTGACTCCAGGGGGTCCCAACATCAATTGATGCTAGCTTCTAGCAAGGAATAAACGTTGGTGTGTAGGACCCATGTCAAACCACGTCTCGAGTTTCCATGAGGCAAATGGCCCAAGCAAATGGCCCAGGGGAGAGTTGTATGCTGCTCGCTTTCGGAGGACATGGCAAGGAACCCATCGCTGGTTCTCCGTCAATTGGGTCTCTGGTTCACGGAAAAGATAAAGGTCATCTGTTGAACCCCGAACCACTGCACATACCTCCCCAACACATTCTGGAGAATGAGTTGGGCCGGGCCATGGTACAACACCTAAGATCACGAAGGGTGAAGTTCACCCTGCCATGGAACAACTTATGTCATGTTGACCGCTCGAGCAACGATGCAACGATGCAACGATGCAATACATGTTTCGGGCGGGTGTCATGCGTGCGAGCTCGAGGCAGCTCTGAAAGCACGAACCAAAGGCTGGATATCCACCCAAGTCTCACCTCTCCTCAACAAAAAAAAAACTTCTGCTAATATTGCAAAGGCCGCTGGTAAAAGACCTTTTTAACATCCCGGTGAGCCCATTCTACCGTTAGGTGAGATAGCCATAAAATAGCCGGAGAATGCCAACCAATTGCTGCGAATTCGAGTTGTCTTTGCAAAGATCATAATTACTGATAGACATAAAAGCACAAACGTCCCCGACCCTGGAAGGCTATACCAAAACCAGTCTTGGAAAATAACTAGACCTATAGGTCATGTCTCTGCCCATTTAGAAAACAAGTCACACCTGTCAACAACATGCACATCTTACCTTCCAACTTTGCAAAATGGGCGTGTTGCGTTTTAAGCTATCTTTGAACGCCCATCCAAACCGCTTTCAAACATGCGATGTCCAGAAAGCCGTCTCGTGGCAGGTCGGGAGTTGTCGCAACCCCCCGCGAAGAATCCAAGGCACTTTAAAGAAGACACCCACCCGAAGGGTCAATTTTGGCTTCGGCTCCTCAAAATCACGCATGTTTTAAGCCCCCAGTGAGCGGGTGTGGTGCGGCTTCGGTTGTTTGGGTCTTCACCAAGCCGAGGTGCGGGGCAGCCGCGGAAGAAGGCGCCGCATCCGTCCGCGAGCTGCAGAAGCAGCGCGCGAAGCAAGGCGTGGTGGAAGCCCGGCCGCGCCCGGCGCAAGCTCTCGAGCTGGTCCTTTCAAAGGGTCGCAACTAGCTCCTCCAGTGGAGAGGTCACAATACGGGTACCCGATTTGTGTTTCTCCTGTTGTAGAAGAACCCTCCCAAAAAAAAGAAGGTAAAGGGCACTACTGGGGGACCTTGACAAACTCCTGTGGGAAATGGAATCCACTTCTGTGATACAACACAAAGGGCCCGAGAACTAACCCCCCATATAAAGAGGGGATTCCCTTGTATCACAGAAGTGGGGATAAACCCCTTGATCCCACAACCCTGTTTCAAATGATCACAAACTCTGAGACAATCCCAGCACGCATTCTCGTGTGCTACCCAAACTGCTTAAAATGTCCCTAGGATGCTTAGTGAACATAACTATGACTTCCCAAAAGTCAACCCATAAATCCAACGTGGAAAAGCGTATGGTAGGCGCACTGACATCAGCGATCTCAGTGCCGAAAAACAATCTGAGATACTTGACACGACTATACGCGTAGTTTTCGACCGGCACTGGGAACCCCAAAGCAACTGACAGACAGATCCTTTGGTTTCCCGTTGGTTTCCCTTCGGACATCTTTCGGCTTCCCTTCCATTTGATTCCTTTCGGTTGACTTTTGACTTTGACTTCCCTACGGTTTCCCTTTGAACCAACCTCAAAGCTTGGTTGCTGTTGACCCCCCTGCAAAAAGCTTAATTTTTGGGGGGTTCAGTGGAAAGCACCATTATTTCCCAAAAAGTTAAAGTCTAAAGATCCAACCCAATAGCAGCCAAGACAGGAGCGCCACCCCTCGGAAACAGAGACACCCGCGCAGCGCGTGCAGCTGCGGCTGCACCTGCGAGCCGAGAGGCGTAGCTGAGAACCGCGATGCAGCCATCGTCCAAGCCTCGCAAAGTGTACCTCAATTCGATTTGGAGCCATGGCGCTTAGCGTCCACATGGACCACTCGGTTGCGAAATCTGCTCCCCTGCTAAAGTTCAACTTTTGGTGGTTTAGTACGGAAACCCCATTCGTTGGCAAAAAGTTGAAGTCCGAACATCCAAGCAAAATGAACCAACGTGGATGTGGTGCCCCTTTGTCTTGACGCTCGGTCCTCGTTTTTTGGGATAAGTTAAAGGCAAACCAAAGAACCTAGGTCCTCCAGTAGAGAGGCTAGAATAAGGGTACCAACTGTTCTTTCTGTAGTCTATTTTAGACACGGGGAACACTCCCCCAAAAAAGTTAGTGAGAAAGGGCACTACAAACCCACGTCTGCTTTTCAACACACGGGTGTGGTTCCTGTTTTCGAGGACTTTTTCGTTTTGGGGTTGTGTTAAACGGAAACCCGCTGTTGGAGGCTTCCCCGATTTTGAGACAAACCCACATTTGGCGCAGACAAAACGTATGGTTCGATTCTGTTTCACATTTAGTCCACTCTAAAAGGTGTTTTTGTTGGTGAAGATCGCAGGGTAGGACTTGGCTTTGGTTGCTTCCCCCTGTTGTTCAGTCGGCAAAGTTCTACCACTTCATCAACTCGAAACAATAAGGAATCCCGAAGTAAGAAATCATCATGAGCGAACTCGTTTTGTCCCCATGAGCTCGTTGTAGTTTATCCAGCATCATCGCTCTTCTCAAACATCCGTCGTTTCCATGCGTTGTTCCTTCTGACAAGAAAGATCAGGCGGTTCAGAAACGAATTAACCCCCTCCCCCCAAAAAAGAGTAGAGGGCACTACCGGGTGAAATGGAAAAATCATACATCACTAAACCAACTAAACAACTAAAAACCACTAACACCCTAAGGAACCAGACGGCTGGAAACCGCCAAGGTGAGTGTTTTTTGCCCAACAAGAGAAACCATGGGACATGCGTGAAAAGGGTCCCCTTGGACGCCTGGGGAACTCCAAACTCCGGTTGCAACGCTCACTTCACCGCTTCACACATTGACGCTTGGCGACATAGTTCTAAAGGGAACTTCCATTTTCTTTCCAGGGATCCTTCTTTCTAGCAAACCACTAAAACTTATGGGGGACATGCCTGGTTTTTGAAAGAAAGATGGCTGAAAAGAAGGGAAAAGGAATCAACCCCTAGAATGGCAACCAGTTTTGTATGGCCCAGTGCTTCCCGGCGAGCGACCAGTGCGAAACCCAGAGGTAAACAACGCCGAGCTATGGCTTGCCTGGAAGCGCTGGGCCGGCTGTACCCTTCAATCTCACCCTTTTTGCAACCAAGGAACCGAGCCCGGACATTCCACCGCCAAACCCAGCCCAAAAGTCGAATCGATGCTTTGGGCGCTCAGGTGATCTACCCTAGGTCCTCCAGTAGAGAGGTTAGAATAAGGGTACCAACTTTGTTTTCTGTAGTCTATTTTTGTAGGGGAACCCGCCCAACCAAACAAGGGGTGAGAAAGGGGCACCTAGCTGAGGGACCTACTGTGGATGGACGAAATCCTGCACCGCTTTGCAATCGTGGGACACCTTTGTGTTTGTTGGTATTTGCGTTGGGGCATCAGATTATTCCGTTGGGTTTCTGAACGGTGCGAAGTGGATCTCGCAACCATCCACAGTACCTGTCCAAACGATTCGCCGTGCTCGGGCCCACGGGCCCACCGCAACCGATTGCGTCGAAGCACGGCCGCGCGTGACTGCGCTCCCAAAGCGCCACCCGCGCCAGTCCCAGCATCTCCTTAGGTCTGGGGCTCGGGAGTCGTTGGGTCTTGGGACTGGACAGCAAGCGGATTCCGGTTCACAAGCCAAGAGGAAACTAATTAAGGGGATGGACACAAATCACTTGCTCTTATTGATCATCAAAGCTCGGGTTCATGTTCAACAACTTTCTAGGGGTCCCTTCCCCATTCTTTCCAGGGATCCTTCTTTCTAGAAAACGTCTGGAACCCCCCGCTCGAAATTTTGGCGGTGGGTTCTATCTGAATTTCACAGCCAGCTTGATTCCTATTAACTGGCAGCTGGGATCCACTGGGCGGAGAGCCAGCAAGAAAAGTGAAACCACTGGGTTTATCCACGCAATGAGACGATTACACGCATGGCCATGGCTCAAAAGCAAAAAAGCCAAATCGTACCCCCGGTGAACATCCGATTCAATCCCCACTGATATAGACAATGGGTGGTGCACCTATCCCAAAATGGTACCATTGGTTTTGAACCATGGCCACATGAGCCTCCTTGGATGGTAACCCAATTTGGACCCAGGTTCCCATTCCAATAGTTTGACCCCTAGAAGCTCACTGGTTGGTAGACCCACAGGGATTGACAGGGGGAGTGGGGCTTCATTAAGGGTCACTTGATATATGAGGATGTACCGAATAACACCTGTTTGAATCCTTAAGTACATCCTTACAACAAATGAAAGTCTGTGTTGTTGTTGTTGTTGTTGTTGTTGTTGTTGTTGTTGTTGTTGTTGTTGTTGTTGTTGTTGTTGTTGTTGTTGTTGTTGTTGTTGTTGTTGTTGTTGTTGTTGTTGTTGTTGTTGTTGTTGTTGTTGTTGTTGTTGTTGTTGTTGTTGTTGTTGTTGTTGTTGTTGTTGTTGTTGTTGTTGTTCCCCCCTGGAGTTCATGTGCGAACTCCCTTTCGGGAAATCAATGCCACCACCTTGAAGGGATGTCCGCATTCAATTACACCCTAGGTTTGATCCTTAGATGCTGAACTCTACAAGAATCACTACAATGTTTCCCACTATAATTATTCTCATCTTGTCCCAACAAGAGCAACCAACTAGCAGAAAAGGACAAGGAATACTAGTATGTTTCAACCTACTTAGTATACAAGCAGGTTATAACCGTGGCTATGGGTGGGACAGCAGGAGTTGGTTTACTTATACCCGCGGATATAACCTACTTAGCAAGCATAGGTTGAACATCCAAGACTACAAGCGACCAAGAAAGCATGCAGCCCTTAGAAAAGAAAAAACACCTTCGTAGTGATCGCCTTCTTCAGCCCACGCTGTTGGATCTCGACATGTTTCGTTGAGCAGAAAATGCGGCGCCCTCCTCTGACCGACGGCGCACGTTGTAAAGGTTGAAAGCAAGCAGCATGGACGGAGAACAAAAGGAAAGTTATCAAGCAACAAATGAAAGGAGTCGAGGTGCTCCAGATTTGAGAGAATAGGAGTACTACTTTTTTCTGTAGTTTATTTTAGTAGGGGAACCCTCCCCCCCAAAAAAAGGTGAGAAAGGGCACTACTGGGGGACCCCCAACCAAACAATTCATATTTGGTCGACTCTTGCCGCGGGTTGTCCGCAGGCTCCTCTTGTTGAGCACCGCCCCACTCCCTCCCCCTCCCCTTCTCTCAGTATCTATTACAACTGCAATGTCCGAACTAGTCCCCTTCATCTAGGGCTACCTTCCATGTTCATTCTTTCCAGGGATCCGAATCTTTTCAGGAAACCATCAAACACCCAGGGAAACAGCTGGTTTTTGAAAAGAACTATGGTTGAAAATAATGGAAAAGGAATCAACCCCTGGACTTAAGGCAAATAGGAGAAATCCAATTTGCGATCCCAAGTTTTGACTCACAACTCACACCTGGAAAACGATCAACAAACACTGCAGAAGCTTGGCTTACTCCTTTGCTACATTAGTTTGACGTCTCTGAAAACAAAGGATTCCACATGAGTCACAGTCAATATTCATTGGGTCCCCAACTTACATTGGATTTGGGAGAGTAAACCCAATTCCCTAAGGGTAATTGAGTGAGTAGACCCGATGCGGTCTCTGTACGTACATAGGCGTTTCTCATATCCAAACCTTATCCTAGAGAAGTCAACGATCGGGTGCTGTCCGGTTCAAGAAATAGATGGACACTGGTAAACCGCGTGAGCCGAACTGAATCCAATCTGGTTTCCTACAATTTTTCACCCCACTTGTCCGACAAGGACACGCGTCAGGCGAGTGTAAAGACAACCTGGGCCCATCTCAGAACCCCTTGCAGTAAGCCCACTGGGTTTAATTAAGCACCCTGTGCCTTTTGAAAGGGGAAACTAATACCCCGGCCCAACTACATCCAATGGCAAAACCCCCCACACCTCAAATATTACTCCCCAGCAAATCTACATGGAACCCCAACATCCCAAAAAGAGGGAGTCATCGCCCCGTTAAAAGCCCAAAGGCTTCCCTTTTGGGGACAATTAATCAAGCCTGGTCTTGTTTCATTCTAAATTTGGGAAGTAAGCAACCAATCCCAGTTCCAGCTGTATAGCGGGTAACCAAGGGAACTCTCTAGAATGGTCTTCCCACAAAGTGTAAAGTCCAGGAACGCGGGAAGTGAGGGGTACCAGCTACGGGATCCACTAGGAGCCTGTCACCTCCCACCCACATCTACCGGGACTTGTGCCATCTACTTTTATCCTTACACCTGAAAATAGGCGATTCCCTAATGGTCGGCTCATTTAAACCCACCCCAAAACAGGTATACACCACTCAGTTTCCCCACAGGACCGGCAATAGCTTCAAAATGGGGCGAACAAAAAGTCAAACCCGGGCTGTTCCCAGATCTCCCGCTAAAAGTCTAACCTTTAGTGGGCGAGATGGAAACTTTACCACTCAACCAACTACAAACCAAAACCTAAGCGACCAGACGGGTTGGGATTTCTTTCCCACGTAGAGGAGTGAGTCGCTCTCTTCGCTTTCACCAAGTCGAGACCGTCCACCAACCCCACCCAGCCAGCACTTCCCATAGGTGTCCTTTTAGAGGAAATAGATGGGTTTCCCTGGTAGATTGAACCACCACATAAACCAGGAATCGCAATCAATTTATTTCTGCCAAAACAACCAAAAAGGACACCAGCGAGCACTTCCGAGGCGCCCCGGGCGCGTGCTCCCCCAAACGCAGCTCCCCGCTGCCGCCGCCGGACGCTCCGCCGGGCAGCAGCGCGGAGGCGCGGCCGGCGAGAAGCAGCCCCAGCCAGCTGCAGGGCTCCCCGCGCGCGAAGAGCAGCTGACGGCGGGTGGGGCGGGGGTTGGGGCGGGGTTGGGCGGAGTGGGCTTTGGGGCTGGGGGGTGGGTTTGGGGTTCGGTTTTGGTGGCTTTGGGGGGGTTCGGTGGTTTTAGTGGTGTTGGGGGGTTTTGAGTTTGAGTTTCTTGGGTTTGGAATTTGGGCGGTGGCTTTTCGGGGATTGGAGATGGCTTGAAAATCGGGAATCAGAATTCCGAAGGTTCGTTTCAGGGTTCCCTATGCAACGCCTAGCTGGTCAAGGGCTTTGCAAGTCTAAGTGGGTTTCAGACTCCCTTTGTTTTCCCGCTAAAGCCCAAAATGGCAACTTGAAAAACACACTCCCCGTTTGCCTCCCAGGACATCTTCTTAGAACCTTCTTGGAAGCGGGTTCCTAACATGACTCTTAGCTGAGCTCAGAGCCCCTGCTAAAAGTTTAGCTTTTTGTGGGTTAGATGGACGGCTCGGAACCGCCGAGTTGAAAAACTGTCTAGGGTCCAAGTAAAGGCCAGCCCGTGTTCCCTCAAAGGACGCGAGCTTTGCTTGACATGCCCAGAAAGAATCCCGAACAGCCTTGGCGCAACCCCAAGGCCAAGCATAACATGTTCAGATGCGGTTTCATATTCCATCCACCCAAGTCTTTCAGTTCCCATTACACTGCAATTCAACAACACTTCCAAAACCTGAAGTATGGGATCCCCAAGCAAGGATATTTGCCATGAGCTAGTTCTCCCCCAAAATCGGTCAGCTCGTCATACATTATGCAGATTCTAGTACGCAACCTTACAATGGTAGTAAGCACTGGGAACCTAAAGCACATATCAAAATCATATCCTTGGTTGCTGTTGAACTGTTGACCCCTGTGCAAAAAGTGTTGACCTGTTGTGGGTCCGATAGAAAATCCAACCTGTTTCAACCAACAAGTTAAAGTCCCAAGATCCGCTACCCGATAGCTCTAAAGTTATATACTGAACCCGAGAAAATCGTAGTTTCCTCTTGGTTTCCCTTTAAACCATCCCTAAAAAGGTGGTTTTCTCAGGAAAAATACACACACCCGAATGGGTGCTCCCACCCCATGCCATGCACTCCCCACCCCCTCATCCAGTGAAAATCCATGGATTGCGCTCGCGCCTCCCCGCGCTTGAAGGACAAAGGCGAGCAGAGCTCCGCAAAGTCCTGCGGCGGATTGGTGTTGAGGCTCAGGGGTGTCTTTTGGCTACCTTGTGTGAGAAAATCTCAGTTGTTCAGTGACCCTTGAAAAAAAAGGAACCCTTTTTAGGGAAGACCATTTTTTGTGGGGCGGCCATCAAAAAAAAGGGGAAAAAGGGTGCCACTGAACAACTGAGAAAATGGCAGAGCCCCTCAAAAAGGAGTCCTTCACTACGAGGGGCTCGATCAATTGTCCACAAAAGCTTGTAAAAAGACCCCCCTGTTGAGGCTGCCCTTTGCTGGTTTCGATGTGAGAGATGCAGGGAAGGAAATGAATGGAACGAGCCTTAACGATCCAACTGGTGGTTTCCGTTAAGGGAATCCCTGGGTTCATTCCCGCATTCCCTACTGAGCATCAGCAAGAAAAGAACATCACCGTTTTGGCGGGTCCTCCCTGCTACTGGGTTTCGATTGAAGGAAAACGTTCAAGGACCCCCACCGTCATCTCCACCACGAGATGAAAAGCAACTCGAGAGGTTCAAACCAAATGCCAGAAACAAAGGCCCGGTTGCCTAGAAGGCAGTCCTCAAAACACCTGAGCCCCAACGGACCGCTTCTGGTTGTTCAGGCCTTTGTATAGGTCAGGGCTGAGCGGCCGGGGTCCAGGTCCCGAAAGTGAACGTTGCTGCACCAGGGCATAGTAAGTGGGTAAGCAAGATTACAACCCACTTGTCATATCCGGGGTCAGCATTTAAGTGGATAAGCATAATTGCAGCCCACTCGTCATGGTTGTAAGTCCCCATTCAGTGGGGTATCACCATGGTTACTAACCACTTACGCCCCTGAAAGCATCCCAAAAAGGGATTCTGTGCTGGACATCCCTAAGAATGCTGCGCCCAGTGACACGACCGATAGACAACCGATTGGAACCCTGTTGACGATTTCTTAGAGGGGCTAGGTCCTCCCGCAGAGAGGTTAGAATGAGGGTATCTTTTTTTTTTCTTGTATTTAGTAGGGACACCCTCCCCCAAGAAAAAGGTTAAGGAAGGCCACTACTGGGGGACCTAGGTGGCCTTGATCCACCAAACCAAAAGGGCAAACATACTGACACATAAGAATACAATGTGCTTGATCGGGGCGATTCTGTCACACCAAAGACCAGCCATGTTTAAGGGGCGTAGGTGAACATCCAAGTGGAGGCCCTCAAAAATACCCAAACTGAATGGTGGTTTGAAGGGAACTCACTGGAAGCCATTTTTGTTGAGAACCCCACAACATGCATCCCAGTTGGTTCGCGTTGTATTATTTCTGGCTGGAAGTCTCACTTCCTGCGTGGACTGGCCATAAGCAAAAGTTTGATCACCACTAGCTCTACCTTCCCATTTCGTGGTGGCAAAACCCCGGGGTTTCGAACTGGTTTCGATGGTATGGGGAATCAAGCCCGGCTCAAGGCCAAACTTTTGGTTGACGTTTGAAATTGTGCAGACATGAAAAAACCATAACCTCAAAACTGATTTTTGTGGATCAAATCAAACGGCCCAGACCCAAGAAAGCACAAGCTTGAATCAAGAGCTTCGTCGGATTTCCTAGAGGGTCCCTTGGTACCTTCTGAGGACGGCTTTTGGGGAGTCAAAAGGGGTCGTTCAGTCCATCCTTAGAAGGTACCAGGGGACCCTCTGGGTTTGATTTGCCTGCCTTGCGACCAACGCAAAGTGCAAAAAAAAGAAGCAGAGAGGCGCCTCGCCTCCGGAGTCTTGGACCCTCTGGGTTTGTTGCGAGGGTTCCAATTTCAGGGACCCCTGGACGCCCTGCGAGAACTTTGCCTCGAGCTCCGCGAGGCTGAGCTCCGTGAGCAGGTTCTCCTGACGGAGGTGAGTGAAGACTCGTCCACTTCCGATCCAGCGACAGGATTAGAGTTAGGCAACCAGTTCTAGAATGTATACTTTATTTGCTTCACTTTGAGTCACTGGTCAAATGTTAAATGTATCCTAAGTCTACCCCAGAATGGATTGGCAAGACAAAAGTGACGAAACTTACGTCGTTTACCACCTAGGTCCTCCAGGTTGATTCCCTTTAAAACCAACAGAGCTAAATAAAATCCGCCGACCCCTTCTCCTCAAAGGGGGAGGCGTACGGGAAGGGCGGTTACAAGTCCAAGGCTGGCTGGTGAATGATGCGTGGACATGATTATCATCATGACTGCTGGTGATGCTGAGGATGCGTCATGATGATTATCATGTCAGTTCATCATCATCATCATCATCATCAGCATCACTTCATCATTATCATCACGGTGCTCATCATCATCATCTTCTTCGTCATCGTCCTTATCTTTTTTTAATATACGTTTCAAGTGTGCTTTTAGACCCGATTTGAGATGCAGAAGATGCGTGGACATGATTATCATGACGACTGCTGGTGATGCTGAGGATGCGTCATGATGATTATCATGTCAGTTCATCATCATCATCATCATCACGGTGCTTATCACCATCATCTTCTTCGTCATCGTCCGTATCTCTTTTTTATGTACGTTTCAAGTGTCCTGTTAGACCCGATTTGAGATGCAGAAGATGCGCGGACATGATTATCATGATGACTGCTGGTGATGCTGAGAAGGCGTCATGATGATTATCATGTGAGTTGGTGTTCATCATCATTATGTTCTTGGTCATCGTCCTTATCTTTTTCTATACGTTTCAAGCGCCCCGTTAGACCCGATTTGAGATGCAGAAGATGCGTGGACATGATTATCATGATGACTGCTGGTGATGCTGAGGATGCGTCATGATGATTATCATGTCAGTTCATCATCATCATCAGCATCATCACGGTGCTCATCATCATCAGCTTCTTCGTCATCGTCCTTATCTTTTTTTATATACGTTTCAAGTGTCCCGTTAGACCCGATTTGAGATGCAGAAGATGCGCGGACATGATTATCATGATGACTGCTGGTGATGCTGAGGATGCGTCATGATGATTATCATGTCAGTTCATCATCATCATCATCATCAGCATCATCACATCATCACGGTGCTCATCATCATCATCTTCTTCGTCATCGTCCTTATCTTTTTTGTATACGTTTCAAGTGTCCCGTTAGACCCGATTTGAGATGCAGAAGATGCGTGGACATGCTTATCATGATGACTGCTGGTGATGCTGAGGATGCGTCATGATGATTATCATGTCAGTTCATCATCATCATCATCATCAGCATCATCATCAGCATCATCACGGTGCTTATCATTCTTCGTCATCGTCCTTATCTTTTTTTATATACGTTTCAAGTGTCCCGTTAGACCCGATTTGAGATGCAGAAGATGCGCGGACATGATTATCATGATGACTGCTGGTGATGCTGAGGATGCGTCGTGATGATTGTCATGTCAGTTGGTGTTCATCATCATCATCTTCTTCGTCATCGTCCTTATCTTTTTTATATACGTTTCAAGTGTCCCGTTAGACCCGATTTGAGATGCAGAAGATGCGTGGACATGATTATCATGATGACTGCTGGTGATGCTGAGGATGCGTCATGATGATTATCATGGCTGTTCATCATCATCATCATCGCTCATCATTCTTCAGCTTCTTCGTTTCATCGTTTCTTATCTTTTTTTTATATAGTTTTTTTCAAGTGTCCCGTGTTGTTTTTAGGACCGATTTGGAAGGCAGAGATGCGCGGATCATGTTATTCATGATGACTGCTGGTGATGCTGAGGATGGTCATGATGAATTGTCATTGTCAGTTCATCATTTTCTCATCAGCTCATCACGGTTTGCCCATCAACAGCAGTTTCTCTTCGTCATCGTCCTTATCTTTTTTTATATACGTTTCAAGTGTCCCGTTAGACCCGATTTGAGATGCAGAAGATGCGTGGACATGATTATCATGATGACGGCTGGTGATGCTGAGAAGGCGTCATGATGATTATCTTGTCAGTTGGTGTTCATCATCATCATCTTCTTGGTCATCGTCCTTATCTTTTCTTTATATACGTTTCAAGTGTCCCGTTAGACCCGATTTGAGATGCAGAAGATGCGTGGACATGATTATCATGATGACTGCTGGTGATGCTGAGGATGCGTCATGATGATTATCATGTCAGTTCATCATCATCATCATCAGCATCAACACGGTGCTTATCATCATCATCTTCTTCGTCATCGTCCTTATCTTTTTTTATATACGTTTCAAGTGTCCCGTTAGACCCGATTTGAGATGCAGAAGATGCGCGGACATGATTATCATGATGACTGCTGGTGATGCTTAGGATGCGTCATGATGATTATCATGTCAGTTCATCATCATCCGAACCGCCGGCCAATCGCAATCCCACGGCTTCCTGTCGCTTGGAAATGATGTTTTCTCTTCGCATCACTTGAGGAAACACCTCCTAGCAGTGTTGCGTTAGTCAACTTAAGGCTTTGGTTCTTCTCTGTCCCTCCTCATTCTCTGTAGCGCTCTGTTTCCTCCTCTGCTTCTGCTGCGTCCGCAAAAAACTTGCGCCCCGCCCGAACAGCAGCATGGGGAACCAACTGCGCAGTGGCATCTGAACACCTTGCGCAAGCTCTGAACTGATCTGCCTTGAAACATGTGCCGCTCCGTGCTGTACGAGGGCACTTCAAACGCCGAAGCAATCACGCCGTTGCCACGTTAAAACTGGGGCACTATGATTTCATGGCAAAGCGGCTGAAGGAAAACGGCTCACGCACGAGCACATGCTCCCACTACTGGTTGCACTAGGGCCGGTTTACATCTTACCGTTTGGCAAGGTAAGCATAGTCGTTGCATGGCGTGAACATGCCAACATTACTTTTACCGGTCTGCCCTCCAGACCTGACTCTTGCAAGGCCAACATTGCACTGCCACTGAAATCACCTATTAATTGTGCAATGTTCAGAAGTTCCCCGGGATGCATGGCTAGTTCGCCCTCACCTTCCGCATCAGCTTCTGAACACATGAACAGCAATACGGATAGCAGCCAGCTCATGTACATCTGGTTTCAAATCGCAGCGCGGCCATTCCGCTGTCACTTGTCATCTGATGCTTCAGGCTGGGATGGAGATGCGCGACGAAGTCCGTCAACCTGTTTGATTCTGGCGCATATGTACAGCGAGCCTTAAACCCTGAAATGTAAATCAACTCAACAAAGACCCAGCTGGGGCCGTTTAGGGCCCTGCTCATTCTGGTGATCTGCCTCGCAACGCACAGCTGAAACTGATTAATTGTTGGACCCTGATGTGAAGAACAACGAACCTCTGCAGGGCACCACTAGTGCAAACTTCTGCGAAAGAAATGTCAGTACATCCTTGCCCTGCGGACAAAAGGTCTGCAAATGATCAGTGAGCCCTTCTGGCAAACCGGGTTGAAACCGAATACTCATCGGAGCGTTTCGAGCAGGAGGGATACGGATAGGCACGGCCCACGTAGCGCCTCGAGGACTCGTGAGAGGAGGGCGTGTCTCTCTTCGAGGTTATCCTTTGGTGGTTTTGAAGAGAGGCAAGCCACCAGGAAACCACAATTCTTGGCATCCCGAAAAAAAAGAACACACCCAGTGTTTATCAGCATACCAGCCCTTTTGTTTTTCCGCAATCCAAAGAGTTGTGGTCAAAAACAAAAATCACGCAGATTTCCCCAAGACGACTTAAATTCAGCGAGTCCCCCGTCCCTCCGAAATTCACCATCAACCACCGGAAGCTTCGACCCAACCTCAGACTGGGTTGGGGGGCTGACAGCTGAGTGGGCTGAGGCAGACAAGTCGAGACAGACCTTTGGGAGAACACCGAAGACTCACCTCGCGGTTCAAAGAGCCATACTTTGACCCGGTCTTCTGAAGGGAAAACGATGAGCAGATTAATCAAAGAACACATCAGTAAGTGACACGGATGAGCTTTGCCATGGTTGAAAGGGTGGCATTTCGCAAAGGGTAGCCTGGTGAGGCGAAAACAGAAGCGAAACCCACTGCTTGGGTTATTCAAAATAGAGCGATCTCTAACCCACAATCAGTTGTGTAGCACCACGAGGTTGGAAAGCAACCACATCTAATATGGATTAAGGATGAACTATGAACATCTCAGACTACGGTTTAATTTCTCTACCGGGTTCCCATTCATCCCCAAACTACTGCATTTAAGGGAACATGGTACACATGGTGCCTAAACTTTGAAGAATGCAAACAGGTGTCTCAAAATTAAAAACACTTGTGATTTCCCTTTTGGTTCCCATTCAACCCAACCAAATCGGGCTCCTCAACCCAAAAAAACAACATCCCCCACTTGGCTGGAAAAGCAGAAACTATGTGATTGAATTAGAATCTTGTCATCACCCGACAACCAAAAAACCGATCCAACCATCGAGAGGAATCTGACCCAGTCAGCAGGGGCCTGCCACCGGTGATCTCGAGGTTCCGCGGCGAGACGAGGGAGAAGATGACGCGGGCGTAGCGCTTCCGTTCCTCGGCTTCAGTTTAAACCAAACACGAGTCCCCTCATAAAGAAACACACTCAAATCTCTGGGATCCTCCGGACAACTTTGTGATATGCACTTCTCATGTGTGATGACCTGGTCGCAGTTGGTTGCTTGAGATAGTACATCTTCCCAGTGCATCTGAGGTTCATCGTGCTGTCTCACAACGGTAAAAACATACCAATAACATGTCATCTAGTGACTCGTGACAAACTCTCGGTTTGGGGAAAGATGTCAAGAGTCGTTCACCTAATATTTATGTATGTATATATGTATGTATATGTATGTATGTATGTATGTCTGTATGTATGTTTGTATGTATGTATGTATGCATGTATGTGTGTATGTATGTACGTGTGTATGTATGTTTCTTTGTTTGTTTGTTTA